GTCGCCCTTGCCAACAGGACCTCCCCAATGCCATGAATGCGGCTGAGATCACGGACAAGCTGGGCCTGCACTCCCTGCGCCACAGGAACTGGTACATTCAGGCCACCTGTGCCACCAGTGGGGACGGGCTCTATGAGGGACTGGACTGGCTGTCCAATCAGCTCCGGAACCAGAAGTGAGCCAGCACTCCTCTCTCTCCCTTCACCCCCTCTCCGCCCTCGCTTTTCTCTCATGTGGCAAACGTGCGCCCTGTGGTGTGAGTGCCAGAAGCTGTCTCCATGGTTGGTCACAGTGTGCTTCACCATGCTGTAAATGTGCAGACGCAGCCTGCAACCGGGTTTTTATTTAATGTAAATAGTTTTTGTTCCCAATGAGGCAGTTTCTGGTACTCCTATGCAATATTACTCAGCTTTTTTTATTGTAAAAAGAGAATCAACACACTGTTAGTACTGAGAAGGGATTTTAGGCACGTGTGGCCTCCAGGAGTTGCTGTGTCTGACAGGCTCGGCGCACCTCCTCTGGGCTTCAAATCTGTGTTAAGATCCATTTTGAGGTTGGTTTTTAACCCAAACTCAGTGCATTTTTTAAAAATAAAATTAAAATACAAGATAAGGAGAACACTTGAACACAGAAAGGAGAAATGTGCCTAGTGTAGATTCTGCAGTAAAGGCCTGACTGAGTGTGGTCCTGTTTCCTGTCGGGAACGTGAGACGATCCATTCTGCATGGTCACAATAGGGTCCCTGTGATTTGCTGTCGGGTCATCCCGTGTCCATAGCGTTTGTGCTTGTATTCGTGCTTAAATGGCCATCCAGGAGATGGGCTGGGGGGCTGCGGCCAGCTGCTCTTGGACCTCTCGCAGGGACCCGGGCCTTCCTTTGGGTCAGCGTGGCTGGAAAGCCCTGTCATCCCCATGCTCACTCTGGGCTGGCTGGGTCTCACCAGCAGGAGTGTGGGCAAGCGGGCAGGGCTGGTCACCCTGGAGCCACACCCCTTGGAGCACCCGCTACACGTGCTTTCCCTCCCTCAGCCTGCAAGGGTCAGATTTGCCATCAAAAACAACGACCTCTACTTTTTTCTTTTGTATTTTGATAAACACTGAAGAAGCTGGAGCTGTTAAACTTTATTTTGGGGAAACCTCAGAAATGGTTCATTTGGTGTCGTGGAACCTCTTACTGCTTTCAATACACAATTAGTAATCAACTGTTTTGTATACTTGTTTTCAGTTTTCATTTCGACAAACAAGCACTGTAATTATAGCTATTAGAATAAAATCTCTTAACTATATCACAGGCTCTAGTGCTTGGCTGCCACCTACCAACCTACAGGCTGCCTGAGTGTGGGATACTCCAGAAGGCTGCCTGCACTCATCCTCCTGCCCACACCCAGTGATGGGGAGGACTCTGGCTGGACACACTGGGTAAATTGGTCTGACTTGTGTGCAGTGGCGAGTAACGTCAGGCCCTTCTCGTCAGGGCCATAAGAAGGGAGGGTGTTACCGTATTGGCCAGGCTTACTTTGGTCACTGCTTCTGGAATCCTGATCTGCATGCTAGATGGGTGATGGGGAAAGGCTCCTTCCCCTGGTAGTCAAGACCAGGGCATTGGACGCCTGCAAGTGTGGGCTGGCCATCTCGACTGGCACCCTGTTCGGTGACTCTGATCCAGTAGGTGGGTGTGGCTGTAGGCAGATTCAAGGTTTCCTTCCCTTTGGACCCCTGCCCTGGTACCCTGGTCAAAGCCAGCCACACCCCACTTGGGAACTCAGAAAACGTCTACCAGCAGGCTGAAAACCAGTGCTGTAGCTCGGAAGATCAAGTCACCTTCAGAGTTTACCCTTAAAGCGAGAAAAGAAGGCATTTCATCAAAAATGAATTCATCCTGGGTTTCATCTGTAGTACTCAAGCTATCAAGTCATAGTAAGCTTGAGTACTTGACTGACACTTGTGAGAGCCCGAGTTCCATCCTCACATAAAGAAAAATCCTTCTGTGGACAAGGTTGCAGGCTCCTTGGTAGGAGACAGAAGACCAGGCAGGTGGCGGCCATTGCAGGGACACGTCTGGGGGTAGTGGGTGGGAGGAGGTACCTTGGATGGAGGCAGTATAAGTGATTCCAGGTTGGTTTAGCTCTTCTCTCCCAGTCTGACTTCCTGAGTGAGGCTCTTGAAGCCATCACGACGTCGACCCTTACTAGTATAGTTCCTCTTTGTAGCCCTTTAATACTAGGACACTTTATCCACTGAAAATAAACTATTGTGTTTATTAAAGTAAAAAGAATCACTTTAAAAGACTGAAAAATAGCAGCTGTGCTCGGCTACAGCTAGGCTGGGGGTTGGCGCTAAAGCTGACAGCAGGGATTGGAAAGCATGACCAGACCTCCAGGGGGGCGGGACTTGGGTGCTTTGCTTGTTCACAGGGAGGGAGGTGCTTCCACAGAGTTTGTCCAGCGGGGCCCCTGGCTTTACTCCAGGTTCAGGTATCAGTAGGTAGGGCTGGGCCCACCGGGCCTCAGTCACTGTCATGCCGTCTCCTCCTCTTGTGGCTGGGGGAAGAATCTGAGTCCTCTTGGCAGTGCCCAGTCCTGGAGAAATAAGGGGACCCTGGTGTGAGGAAGGGCAAGCTAGTCCATCGCTGTGCATGACCTCAGAGAGTAGAGCTGCACCCACCGGGCAAGGGATGGGGACACTGGGGAAGCTGCCTCTCTCCGGTGCTCCTTTTCTTTCTTCTTTTCTTTTTTGTGCTTCTTCTTTTTCTTCTTTTTCTTCTCCTTCCTGCTCTTCCTTTGGCTGTCTGGGCTGGAAGGCGTTCCAGAAAGCGCAGAGCAGAGTTTTGGGGAGGGGCAGAGGCAGTAGCCACCAACTACCGACCACCACAGGGTCTTTCCTTAAGCGTTCGATGCAGCTCGAAAGAGCCAGCGTATGGCCAGTGGCTGCTGCCCGTCCGCGCAGACAGGCCTGCCGGGTCCCAGTCCCGAGCTGGGAGCGCCTCCACGCCCCCAGAGATGGGGTCCTCCTTACCCCGGGTCCACCTTCTCCTCCAGACGCGTCTTCTTCCGGGCCGGGGAGGTCCCTGCTCGGCCGCTCTCGACGCGGTGGTGCTGCCGAGGGAAGCCCCGGTTTTCGCCCCTGCAGACAGACGGCCCCTGCCGACCCTCACGGCGGAGGAACCCCGAGCCCCAGCCCGGGCGGGGCGTCCCGAGGCCTGGGGGCGGTTACCGTGAACACAGACAGCCCGAGCTTGGCGGCCTCCTTGTCTTCGCGGGACAGCGCGACGCGGCCGGCGGAGCCGCTGCGGGGCGGGGCGGGGCGGGGCGGGGCGGGGCGGGCGAGCCCTTACTTAGCGCGTCCCGGCACCACGCGGGCCCCGCCCCGCCCCGGCCCGGCCGCCAGCCCCGCCCCGTACCTGGAGCTGCCCAGGCCCAGGAGCCGGTCGACCCCCTTGTCGGCGTCACCTTCCCGCTTGCAGACCTCCACGAAGTCCTGCGGGGGGGCGGCAGGCCTGGGGCTCGCGCGGCGGCGGCCCCCCGCCCCCCCCCGCGCCCGCCCGCGCCCCCCGCCCCGCCGAGCCTCGGGGGCGCCCGCCCTCACCTCCTTGCTCAGGCCCGTGGGCTGCTTCCTCACGTTCTTGTAGCCGCTGCAGGGGCCGCGCGCGGGCGTCAGTCGGGGTCGGCGCGGGGCGGGGCGCGGGGGGCCGCCCCGCCCCGCAGCCCCGCACGCCCCCCGCCCCCGCCCCGGCCCCGCCCCGGCACTCACAGCGCCGCCATGAGCGCCTCCTGCTCCGCCTGCTTCACGGCCGCCAGCTCCTGCTCGCGGCTCAGCCCCGCGCCGGCCGCCCGGCCCTTGGCGTACCACGTGAGGTCGCGGCCCTTCTGCCAGCGGCCCACCGGCGCCATCAGCGAGTTGCCTGCGGGCGGGAGGCCGTGACCCGCGGCCCGCGGCCCGCCCCCCCCCAGCCCGGCCGGCCCCTCGCCCACCTAGGTAGTTCTCCCGCTGCTTGTCCGTCTTCACGTCCTCCCAGCTGAACTGGTCCTGCCCGCCGCGCACGCCGCCCCGGCTGGAGCCGAACATCTTGGCCGAGACCCCCGCGTCCGCGCCCGGTCGCGCGGCGTGACGTCACGGCCGCGCGCCGCGCCCGCTCCCCGCGCCTGCGCCATGCCCGCTCCCCGCCCCGCCCCCCGCGCCTGCGCCGTGCTCGCCTCCGCCTTCTGCGCTGTCATTGCGCGCGCGTCCCCGGGGCCGGCTTCTCGGAGGGCGGGAAGGACGCGGCTGCGCCCCAGCCCGGTGAGCGAGGCCCGCGGCGCCGCAGGAAACCCGCGAAGAGCGGGGCCAGCGCGAAGCCTGTGTCCCGTCCGCATACCGATGCCCCGGGGTCCTTCCACCAGTCCCCGGGGTGCCGCTTGGCCGGAGCCCCCGCCCGGATGTGCCCTTGAGGTTGTCCTTGGACGCAGACCTCCCCTGCTGCTAGACACCTTCGTGTTCGCCCTGCCAGGGACCCCCGGGCCGGTCACTGTGCCGCCCCCCACCCCGGATTCGCCAGTGCGGGCGATCATGCCGGGCATCTCCCCAGAGGAAGTGAACTGTGGCAGCGGCGGCAAGGGCTCCCAGGAGGCTGCCCTGGTGTGGCTGGTGGACAGAGCCACTGGGGCGTCCCTGTGGCCCCCGAACAGTGGCAGGAGGGCACAGGGCTGGGCGCAGTGGACATGGCTGTGTCCAGCGTTCAGCTGCAGGGTCACCGCGCTTGCCACTTGTCACATGACTTACACCCTGGAGTTGGCCACTGCAGGCCCACTCTGCCCTCAGAGTCTGACTACTGTGACTCTATGGTGACATACGGCCTCCACAAGGACTGGCCCTTTGGGGCGGGAGTTCCTGCCCATTGACGGTGAGGGGGGCGTGAGGCCTTGCCTTTCTCTCCCACGTGGGCCTTGTCACAAGCATCTTGACCAACTTCTACGGCCTTAGTGGGCTCGGTTTAGGAAGGAGACAGACACATGATGCACACAGCTGGGGCAAAACCTTGTTTAAAACAGACACCGCTCCACTCCCAGAGCGCCCAAGGCTGCTCTGCTGGCAGCCCTGATACAGTTATTTCTTGGTCCAAAACTGCTTGTAGCGCTCCTGGTCAAAGTCATCAGCAAGCTGAGGCTCCTCCACCTTCTTCTCTCTGAGCTGGGCCTCCCGTTTCCGGAAGCGTGTTCTCCTCTCCTCCGGGGTCAGGCTATCCAGGTCCAAAGGCATCTGTGAGACAAGAGAGGTGTTCACAGGGCTGGCACGAGTGGCTTAGCCTCTCCCTGCTCTGTTCTCCTGCCACTACTTCACAGCATCTTCTTTTTTTTTTCTTTTTACTTGGGGAGGGGGATCACCGAAATCCGATAAGGAACTTGCCTTGCGTGTGGGTTTGATCCCTGGCATCCCACATGGTCTACCAAAGTCCCTCCAGGAGGAGCCCTGACCATCACTGGGCAGGGCCCAAGGCTGGGGAACATAAGATTTGGGCTGGGGTGTAGCTCAGTGGAGAAGCATGCTGGCATATATGAGGCCTGGGTTCAAGACCCTACCCTAAGCTAAACAACTTACTGTAAATTTTCCCAGGGCGCGGGGTCCTCCCGCCTCCCACCCCACCCCCAATACTCCGCTCCTACTGCTATGTGAATTTGGTGTGTGCAGCAAGCTCTGATTTACCCTCCTACCTCTGAGCCTAGGATTCCAGCTTCACCTGGAGTGAACTAACAGCTTCATGGGGGGCAGGGTTCAAGGGGAACATGCTGCACAGAGCAACAGGGAGGGAAGCATACCACCAGCATCCTCCGTGGCTCTCGGTAGCGGATGTGGATAGTGGAGCCGTCCTGCCTGACCAAGAGCACAGGGTAGAGCCGTGCGTAGGCCTGTCGGTGCACCCGTGTGAGTGAAGCTCTGCTGCTGTCAGCCCGCCGGGAGGATGTGTGCAGGCAGCGACCCATTCCTGCAGCCCGAAGCACCAGGCTGCAGACAGGAAATGGTCAGTGGCGGGTGCTCGAACCCGGCTGGGGGCCCACTACTCCAAGGGAACATGCACTTCACGCCTATGTAGTACGAAGCGGCTTACCCTTCCTGCTATAGACTGCACATTTATGTCATCCTACTCCCACGTGAGAAAAAGGTGGCTTGGGCCAGAGAGACAGTACAGCGGGTTAAGGCACTTGCCTTGCACACAGCTGACCCTTGAGCATGCCAGGAGTGATTCCCTGAGCACAGCCAGGTGTGTGGCCCAAATACCACCCCCCACTCCCAATAAAGGTGGATTTTGTGCAAGCCAGGAAGATCCCTCGCCGGTGGGTACCGTGATGCTGAACATATATATATTTACTATGATCCCAGTCTCTAGGATCATAGTAAATATTTAAATTCCGTTTATATTTCCTAGACTGTGGCACTCCTGTAGGGCAAGCCGAGCCCATTTGATTCCTGAATGGGCCTGGGAGGATGAGGCAGGGTTGGTTCCACCAGAGACGGCAGTTCCCTGTTCTGGCCCTGCTGTGTGACCTCCAGGTTGCCCTGCAAGTGCAGGCTTGGGGTGCCCGGGTGAGGGCCACGAAGCACGCCGGAGGTGGCCGCCTTCTCTAGGACGTTTGCATCCTGCCAGAGAACGCGGACGTTGCGGCCACCTGGGCAGTGTCCTGCCTGGTCTCCAGCGAGCCCTGTGGCAAACACAGCACTTCGGTCACCCCCAGGCGGAGGGACGTCTCTGGACGCCCACCCTGCACAAACACCGCTGCCTCTCTTAGGACGCCTCGGTCCCGAGCGGGGCCCGAGCCAACCGGCCAGCGAACCCCGCCGCAGCCTCCAGAAGCATGCGGGAAGGGCGCGAGGGGACCCCGGGGTGGCGGCTCCAGGGGCAGAGCAGAGCGCCCCGTCCTGCAGGGCAAAGCCCCCGCCTCTCCGAGCGCTCCGGACACGCGTCTCCCGCGGCAGCACTCGCACGCGGGGGGATGACGGCGATCGGCAGCATCTGCCGGGCGGGCCGCGCTGGACGGAGAGCGCGGCGCTCCCCGGGGCGGGGGTCGCGAGGGCGCTGCGTGCCCCCGGCCCTCGGCTCCCGGCCGACCTCCCCTCGGGGGCCGGGGGGGCCGCTTACCCAAGCAGGCCGCCCGAGGCTGCCATTCTGCACAGTCCCCGGCGAGCCCGGCGCGCGGCCTTCGGGGCAGGACGCTCTTCTTCGGGGCAGGAAACCTCGTTCCCGAGGTCCGCGGCGACGGCGGGTCCCCTGGCGCGCCCCCCGCCCGCGCGACCCGCACGAGCCGCGCTCCGGAGCCGCGTGCAGCGCGCCCAGCGGCCGGTAGGCGGCGCCGCGGCGCGTGGCCCGTGCCGTGACCCGGGAGGGCGGGCGGGCGCGGTCGGCGCGCTCGTGACGGCGCCTCCGATGACGAACTTCCCGCGGGGCGGGGGCGGGGCCCGCCGCGACGACGCACTTCCGCGCGCCGGAGCCAGGCTCGCTTTGATGACGCGCTTCCGCCGGCGCGGCGGTGACGCGCGCCGAGGCGCGGACGGACGCGGACCGGCGCCGTGACGTAATGCGGAGGGGCGGGCCGACGGCGCGCTTCCGGCGGCGCGGCGCGGGGCGGGGCGCGGGGCATGACGTGAGCGGCGGCGTGGCGGCGGCGGCCCCTTATGCTGCGGCGCCCGCTGGCCGGGCTGGCGGCGGCCGCCCTGGGCCGAGGCCTTCCGGACGGTGAGTGGCGCGCGGGGGCGCGGGCTGGGGGACCCGCGGCGGCGCGGAGGGACGACGCGCCCGGGCCGGGACCCGCGGGCGGCGGGGCCTCGGGCCGCGGCGTCGGGGGGCGCGGAGCCTGCGCGCGGCCCGGCCCGGCCGGACCCTGTCCGGAGACCCCGGGCTGCCCCCGCTTCTCGGCCCGCCACCCCCGCCGCGGCTGGCTCCGAGGGGCCCGGCAAGCTGGACGCCCCCCACCCCACCCCCAGCCCAGAACTCGCACGCCTGCCCGTCCCGGGGCCCCTGGCTCGGGGACCCCGGGGGAGGGGCCTCCCTGGAGGCCCCTGGACCTTTTTTTTCTGTTTTTCTTTGCTCTTTGGGTCACACCCGGCGGTGCTCAGGAATTACTCCTGGCGGTGCTCGAGGGGAGCCTGTGGGATGCGGGGATTCGAACCCGGGTCGGCCGCGTGTAAGGCAAACGCCCTACCTGCTTCCTGCTTTGCTATCGACCCAGCCCCCTCCCTGCGCCTTTGGGTTTTTTTTGCTTTTCCGGCAATGCACAGGGTTACTCCTGGCTCATGCACTCAGGAATTATCCCTGGCGGTGCCCCGGGGACCATATGGGATGCGGGGAATCGAACCCGGGTCGCCGGGTGCAAGGCAAACGCCCTACCTGCTTCCTGCTTTGCTATCGACCCAGCCCCCTCCCTGGGCCTTTGGGTTTTTTTTTGCTTTTCCGGCAATGCACAGGGTTACTCCTGGCTCATGCACTCAGGAAGTATCCCTGGCGGTGCCCCGGGGACCATATGGGATGCGGGGAATCGAACCTGGGTCGCCGGGTGCAAGGCAAACGCCCTACCTGCTTCCTGCTTTGCTGTCGACCCAGCCCCCTCCCTGGGCCTTTGAACGGCAGGTGGAGCTTGAGTTTGCAGAGTCTGGAAGTCCCAGCCGCGGCTTCTCTGTTCACTCTCATCACTGCCCAGCCCCGGTTTCGGTCCCAGCACTGCGGAGGGAGGAGGGCGCGAGTCAGCTCCGCTCACACGTTTTCATGCTGACGGAGAGCTGGAAGGAAGGAAGGAAGGGGTGACCTTCGCTGGGGGAAGCAGCGGGAGAGCGCGGAGGGGCGCACGGCCGAGGCCCAGCTCCGCGTCCTGCTGGCCTTGAGCGCGCGGGCACTGGTGAGGCCAGGCAGCCTCGGCTCCGTGTGCCCGGCGCCCACATCTCCATGTGCTGGGCCTCCCTCCCCTCCATGCTGACCCTCTCACCTGTGCCCCTCGCCCTGGGAGCTGGCTGGAGCCGAGCCTCAGTACAGATGGTTTCTTGCACCTCTTCCCATGAGCCCACGTCCTCTGCCTCAGGAACCGCCTCTGGAGGGCTGTCGGATCCCCAGGGTGCGGTTGGGGGGCACTTTCCGTAAAGGGCGCTGAGGGCGGCAGTGCAGAGGTGAGCAGGAGCCTCTGCTCTCATGAAGGTGCGGCAGGGGCGAGGCTGGCAGTGCCCGGTGCTTTGTGCCAGACTCCTGGCGTGGCTGCCCTCCCTCCCGCTGAGCCCCCCGTGGTGTCTGGGGCTGCTGGGAGTGACCTGGATGGCGAGTGGGCGAGAGGAGGCCCCCGTGGGAGCAGGGCACCGGGGCTCAAAGGGTTCCCACAGAGGGTGCCCAGCACACTGGCTGTCCTGTGCAGGGCGTGAGGGCCCGCCTGCCGCTGTGCTACCCGGAGTGCCCATGGGGAGAGCCAGCCTTCCCTCCCTCAGCTTGGGATGAAGGCGCAGTGCTCCCCCTGAGAGGGTGGGATGGGCCAGGTCCTGGGCCCATCCTGTACAGCCATGTGCCCCCTGGCCCTGCCAGGCCCTCCCCTCCCTGGCGGCCACCCACCCCACCCCACCTCCCTGCAGAAGCTTCTTATGGCTCATCTCCATGGCAGCTCCAGCATGGAGGGGCCTGTGTCCCTGCCTCAATACCGCTGGCTGCCCAGGTGGGCATGTGTCGAGCAGGCCACTCCCTCCATGGGCTTTCCTTGTCCAGGGCTTGGACTTGGGCACTGACCACCACCACTTTTTACCAGAAGCACCACGAGGCCACTGCCGGAATGACTCCAGGCTCTGTCCATGATGGAGCCGAGTTCATTCCTGGCTGTGGTGTGTCCAGAAGCCTTGCTCAGTCGCCAGCTCCAGGGCCGTGAGGTGGCCTGGCTCCAGTTTAGAAGCTGGGCTCTTTGGTGCTGGGACATCGAATGTCTGAAACCCAACTGTGAATAACTGTAAATCACGATACTTCAATAAAATTTTGTTTGTTTGTTTTGTTTTGCTTGGTTTTTGGGCCACACCTGGTGATGCCCAGATCACTCCTGGTTTGCTCAGGGACCATGTAGGACGTCAGGGATCGAACCCAGGTTGCACATGTGCAGGGCAGATGCCCTACCCTCTGTACTGTTCCTCCAGCCCTTTTTTTTCCCCCCCTTTTAAAGCAGCTGGACTCCAGGGCTGGAAAGGCAGTGCAAAGCTCAAGGGGTGGCCCAGGAGCCTGGGAGGAAAAGGAAGCTGGTCTCAGAGGGAGGCGAGCGGGCCTGAACCCTGCTCCTTCCCTCCAGCCTGAGTCTGCGCAGACCCCCGGGAGTGGGCTGGGCTGACCTCCAGGCGGAGAGGCTCAGAGCAGGTGGCAGTGAAGGAGAGCAAGACCGGGCGTGTGGACCCACGTGAGGGGGGGAAGGTGCTACCTCCGCTGGGGCAGGAGAGCGGTTGGGTTGGCCGGGAGGCAGAGCGTGGCCTCCTCAGCCCTCAGCAGGGGCCCAGCTGCTCCCTTCTCTGGGGGAGAGGAGGTCCCCAGGGGCAGCTCTGTGGGAGCCAGGCAGGAGATTAATTAGGCTTGGCCTACATTGTGGATTAGGGGAGCAGCCGCTGCTCTGCTCACGCACGGCCTCCTGGGGTCCCCCTGCTGCTCTGCGGCGGATCTCGTTGGCCCCCACGCAGACCCACTGGCCGTCCACCTGCCTTCTCAGCCTCTGTGGCTCCCAGGCCTTCCCGTCAGCTGTCGGGAAAGGAGCTGCTCCTTCTTCCTTCCCTCCCTCCTCTCTTCACTCCCCCTTCTCTTCTCTCCCTCTCCCCTTTTCTTCCAACTCCCTTCTCTTTTTTCTTCTCTTTTTCCCTCCCTGCTGTGCTGGATCACTGGCTCTCTCAGACTGCTGAGCACTGACTGCAGAGGCAGGTCCTGGGGTGCAGAGGGGGGCTCGGGAAGTGGCTGTTTCTGCTCTGTCCCTTCCTCGTGGCAGCTCCTGGGGCAGGACCTGGTTCTGCCTCTCAGCAATGGTGCCTGCATCTCTGGAAGAGGCAGGAGCCAGTGGTTGTGGGGGGGGGGGCAGTGGGTGGAGCAGGGGGGGCAGGCCCGAGGTCTGAGCGCGGCTCCTGTCCATGCCCCCACAGGGATGTCAGGCCCCAGACCCGTGGTCCTGAGTGGCCCCTCGGGTGCCGGCAAGAGCACCCTGCTGAAGAGACTCCTGCAGGAGCATGGCAGCATCTTTGGCTTCAGCGTGTCCCGTGAGACGGGGGCCCGGGCGGGGGGAGCCCCTGGGTGGGCGGCCGGGACTCTGGAGGGGCACTCACTGGGCTCACGGGGGCTTGTTTGCAGACACCACGCGGGACCCGAGGCCTGGAGAGGAGAACGGGAAAGGTGAGTTTGCCCGTATGCGTTCGTGGGGCTGCCTGGGCTCTCGCGGGCAGTGGGTCCGCCCGCCGCATCCCAGAGCCTCCAGCGGCTTGGTGAGGACAGTGAGAAGTGGGGGACAGGCCCAGGGGAGTGCCTTGGGCGGCCAGCCTGGCTCTGGGCTGCCCTGACTGTCCCTCACCCTTCCCAGATTACTACTTTGTGACTAGGGAGGTGATGCAGCGCGACATCGCGGCCGGCGACTTCATAGAGCACGCGGAGTTCTCGGGGAACCTGTATGGGACCAGGTGGGCGAGTTCTGCGGCACCCTGCCCGGGACCGGGCCTCACAGGTGCCCACTTGGGATGGGGGGGGGGGGAGGTGGAGCCTCACGGGGCTCCCCCGCAGCTGTGTGCCAGCTCCGCCCCTGGCTTCCAGCGCCCGAGCAGTGTCGAGGCAGAGACAGGCCCAGGCCTGCCCCTGTGTGCGCCTGTCCCCGAGCCTCTGCAGGCAGGAGGCAGGGCCGCAGTGCAGACCACAGGGCCGGGGCACGCTTCCCGAGGTCAGGCGGGCCCGAGGACTGCCCCGTGGGGTCACACCAGCCTTCGGTCACACCGTGCCCTGCCCTTCAGCAAAGCGGCCGTGCGGGCTGTGCAGGCCATGAACCGCATCTGCGTGCTGGACGTGGACCTGCAGGGCGTGCGCAACATCAAGAAGACGGACCTCCGTCCCATCTACATCTCCGTGCAGCCGCCCTCGCTGGACGTGCTGGTGGGGGCCACGGCGGTGGGCTCGGGCGGGACAGGGCTGGGCCCCTGGAGCCTCTGACCCTTGCCCGTGTCTCAGGAGCAGCGTCTGCGGCAGCGGAACACGGAGACAGAGGAGAGCCTGGCCAAGCGGCTGGCCGCTGCCCGGGCTGACATGGAGAGCAGTGAGTGGCGCTGGGCACCCACCCCTCCGGGCCCCCCCAGCTCCTACTCCCGCAGCTGGTCCCACACACCGAGGGAGAGGGGTGGGGGCAGCACCGGGTCCCCGCGGACGCTCTGCTTTGTCACCGGGGCCTCTGCTGACCCACCCCTCCCCAGGCAAGGAGCCCGGCCTGTTTGACCTGGTCATCGTCAACGACAGCCTGGAGCAGGCCTACCAGGCCCTGAAGGAGGCTCTCTCTGAGGTGGGCTTGTGCTGGCCGGCAGGTGTGCACGAGAGGGCAGGATGGCGGTGGGAGGCAGCGGGCTACTGTGTGGTCACTTCAGCCCGCTCCTCTCCTGACAGGAGATCAAGAAGGCTCAAGGCACTGGCTGCTGCTGAGGACACCGCTGGCCGTGTCCTCCCTGCGAGGAGACGACGTGTCGGGGGGCTGACCCCCACCTACCCCACCCCATTTCAGGACACCCTCTGCCCTAGCCCCCTTCCGGTGGGAGCTGGGGTGATGTCTAATAAACAGGCGCTGGTCAGTGCCCCAGAGCTGCGGGCTTGATGTCCCTGACTGGCCAGACCCCAGGAAGGCTGCAGGCTGGGGTCTCCTGCTCCTGCCACTCCGTGGGCCGCCCTGCCAGGGGAGCGGGGGACTTTTGTTGGGCTGTTTTCTGTCCAGCGGCACCTGACCAAGAGTGACTCGGGCCCCCTGAAGGAGCGGGCAGGGCCGCCCGCCCACCCTCCCCGGGGCCTGGGCCAGTGACATGGCCCTTCTGGTTCCAGGTGCCCCGATTCCTCCATGCCCCGCCCGGGGTAGCAGATTGTGACTGCCAGAGGCAGCTGTGCTTCCGGTCAGGGCCGCATTGGAAATGGGACGGGAAGGCTGGGCTGGCTGTGGCCTGAGGCCCCGAGCGGCCTGAGCGTGAGCTGGGCCTGATCCCGGGCCAGCAAGGGTCCCCTGTTGCCCGCTGACCTGCTGTGCAGCCAGAGGCCCCTTCCCTCGCTGGGCCCTGTCCAGCCTCAGGGACAATCGGAGATTCAGACCCTGGGCCTGGGGGGAACAATGGGTCCCTTGAAGGCCTCCCCCCGCATTGTGCTTGGTGGTGAGAGGTAGCTCTGGGGCCAGCGGGAGGCGCATGGCCCTGGAGGGCCAGTGTCTGCCCGGTAGGTGCAGGGCTCAGAGGGACTCCTTCCCTGGCCTGCCTCCCCCGGAACCGGACAAGCAGCCCACCCTCCTCTCTGGCCTCTGCTGTGAGGTCAGTGAGTCTTGTGTCCACTGCAGTGGGTCAGGGCTGGCCGCTGTTTCTGCAGAGGTTGGGAGGGGGGTGTGGAGCGGAAGTCGGGGTTGCCGAGCCCTGTGGCTGCGCAAGTCAGCTGGTGAGTGAGGAGGGGTGGGGGTGCGCCCAGCAGCTGGGACCCCTCAGCCAGGCAGCTGCAGTTTGTCCAGAGGCTGGGAGGGGCCCACCTGCTCGCTCGCACCTCCCTTGGGCTGTCTGGGGTGACCATCCCCTTCCTGGCCCTGGGTGCGCTGGCTTGGGGCTGCGGAGGGGCTGCTTTCCGGAGAGGGCTCTCCTGCCCAGGCCCCAGCGAGTTTGGCTGCAGGAGGATCGAGTGGAGACGGGAGCCAACAGCCAGCGCAGGATGGGGGCCCCTCGGGGCCCAGGACCAGCGTGATGCCCAGTCCCAAGTCGAAAGGATTGCAGGTCCAGGTGGCTGTGCTGGGCAGGCTGTAGGGGTGGGCGCAGGGGGGCGGGTGCTTAGGGAAGCTAGAGCCAGGGCCTGGGGTCTGCCGGTCTGGGGGGCTCCAGAGGGAACTGGCTCTGACCCCCACTCCTGGCCCAGCCTCCGGTAGCTCAGGCCTCTCATCAGCACCTTACTGGGGTCCTGGGTGAGGGAGAAGGGGCTTGCGGGGCAGGGGAGGGAGTGTGTGCGTGCACGGGGGTCTGGGAGTGATGGGTGTCCGACTGGAGAGTCTGACAGTGATCCACACTGAGCAAGGCGCAGTGAGCCGGGAGTGGTTTGGGTCCTCCTTGAGGGGCAGGTGGTGTGCTTGCTCCAGCTGGGGAGGGGTGCATGAGTGGGTATGAGTGGGGGGATGGGGTTCCTCAGGACCACCACAGCTGAAGGGAGCCCTGGGGCAGTGGGGTGGGCAGGAGGCACCCTCGGGGCTGCCAGGTTCCCGGTACCCAGAGTCCCAGGGGTGGAGGAAGCTGCTCTGGGCCCCCTGGGCCCCACCTAGTGAGCCCTGGGACCCTGCCCAGCAGCCCCGCTCCAGTATGGCCAGGAAGCTCCACTGGCGTGAGGGAGGACTGGCTGGGAGAGGAGGAAATTCCTGGGCGGCCCTTGGCCTTGCTGGCCCGCAGGAGCGGCTATGGCTCTTACCCTGCCCCTGTGGGTTGGAGGCAGAAGGCGGCACCCCAGCTATTCCCGGGACTGTGGTGTTCCTGTGGAGTGCACCCCCCCGGGGGCCCCGTCACCCCCGGAAGCACCCCACATGCCCCCCAGAGCCACTGTGCAGCATCCAGCCCCCTCTCTGCTCCTCTGGCACTGCTGTGGTGTGGTGAAGCGGTGCCCCTTAGCCTCTTGTGTGAGGGGGACTGTGTTCTTCAGGGGCATTGCCACACCTGGGGCCCTTGGAGCTGGGCAGGGAGGGTCAGCCTGGAGCAGTGAGACCTTCCTGTGTGAGGCAGAGGGCTGGGGCTGCCCTTGGGCTCAGAGTGGACATGTGCCTTTCCACATGTCAGCCTATGTGCACGTGTGTCCTGTCTCATCCTAGTGTGTGATGGACATGATTGTGCACATCTGTGCTGATGGCACCGTGTGTGGTGCATGTGGTTGTGAACACATGGATGTGTGCCGACGGCATTGCATTCAATGAGTGATGCGTGATTGTATGTGCAGAGGTGTGGTACCATGTTCAGTGTGTGCAAAGGATGTGCATGGGTGTGAGTGCTGATGGCACCATGGTCGTCAGTGTGATTCATGTGATCATGTCACACGTGTGTGCTGCATTTAGAGGTGCTTGTGTCTGAGCGAGGATCGATGTCTGGTTCTGAGGGGCGCTGCACGTGCACGTGAGGAAGTGGTGTCACTTCCCTAGGAACCCTGGCTGGCCCCTCTTCCTGACCCCCCCCACCCAAAGGGAGAGGCCCTGGGGCCCCTAGGCAGCCACTGCGACACCAGCTCACACCCGCCCACCCTGCCTCGGCTCTCAGGGGTCTAAACTACGGAACAGGTCCTGAGCTTGCTTGTGTCGGGGGTGCTGGGAGGTGGAGGTAGCCCCGACCCAGGAGGTGCAGGGGGAGAGAGCACGTGTCCTACCGAGAGGACCCCGCTGGGCACAAGCCTGCCCAGGGTCCGCAAAGCTGGGAAGGTGGCTCGCCCGGGACTGGACGCCGGGAGGAGCCTGTCTCAGTCTGAGCAGCTGCGTGCCTCTCTGCTCCTCATGAGAAAGGGTGCCCTCGGGACGCGCCCTCACCCACAGCCCAGCCGGGCACAGGGGTGTCCGGCGTCCACGGAGAAGCGGGAGGGGGGCGGAGTCCTTGTGAGGAGGGGCCGAGACTGAGCGGGCCTGGGTCGCTCTGCACCCGGGCACCTGCCTGCTGGGTCCTGGCCTGCTCCCACGGACTCCGGGGGCGCTCGGGCCCCGGGGTGCGGAGCGTGGGGCTCGGGAAGTGTTGGCCTCGCAGGGGACCGTGCGCGCGCGCGCGCGAGGCTGAGACCCGCTGCCCGCAGGTCCCGCGCCCCGCCCCTATGACCAACATGAGCTGGAGCTTCCTGACGCGGCTGCTGGAGGAGATCCACAACCACTCCACGTTCGTGGGCAAGGTGTGGCTGACCGTGCTGGTCGTCTTCCGCATCGTGCTCACGGCCGTGGGCGGCGAGGCCATCTACTCGGACGAGCAGGCCAAGTTCACGTGCAACACGCGGCAGCCCGGCTGCGACAACGTGTGCTACGACGCCTTCGCGCCGCTGTCGCACGTGCGCTTCTGGGTCTTCCAGATCGTGGTCATCTCCACGCCGTCCGTGCTGTACCTGGGCTACGCCGTGCACCGGCTGGCGCGCGCCCCGCACGCCCCGCGCCGCCGCCGCCGCCCCGCGCGCGCGCCGCTGCCGCCGCCGCCGCCGCCCGGCTGGCCCGAGCTGGGCGACGAGGAGCCCATGCTGGGCCCGGGCCTGGACGACGACGACGACGACGACGACGCGGGCGGCGGCGGCGGCGACGGCGACGGCGCCGGCGGGGACGCGGTCGAGGCCAAGGGCGCGGGCGCGGGCGCGGGCGCGGCGCCGCACGACGGGCGGCGGCGCATCCAGCGCGAGGGCCTGATGCGCGCGTACGTGGCGCAGCTGGTGGCGCGCGCCGCCTTCGAGGTGGCCTTCCTGGTGGGCCAGTACCTGCTGTACGGGCTGGAGGTGCGCGCCTCCTTCGCCTGCGGCCGCCGGCCCTGCCCGCACGTGGTGGACTGCTTCGTGTCGCGGCCCACCGAGAAGACGGTCTTCCTGCTGGTCATGTACGTCGTCAGCGGCCTCTGCCTGCTGCTCAACCTCTGCGAGATGGCGCACCTGGGCCTGGGCAGCGCGCAGGACGCCGTGCGCGCCCGCCGCCCGCCGCCCGCCGCGCCCGCGCCGCGCCCGCCGCCCTGCGCGCTGCCCGCCGCGCCCGCCGGTCTGGCCGGGCCGCCCGACTACAGCCTGGTGGTGCGCGCGGCCGAGCGCGGGGCGCGCCGCGACCCCGGCCTGGCCGGCCTGGCGCTGCGGGCGCTGCGCGACGGGGGCGGCGGCCGCCGCGACCTGGACCTGGGCCTCGGGCTGCCCGCCGCCGCCTCCAGGCCGCCCGCGCGCCCCGCGGCGCCCGCCTCGGGCTCGGGCTCGGGCTCGGGCAGCGCCGCGTCGGGGGGCGCCAAGGCCCGGGCGGGCTCGGAGAAGGGCAGCGCCAGCAGCCGGGAGGGCAAGACCACCGTGTGGCTCTGAGGCGGGGCTTCCCGGCCACCCGGGTCGGGTCGGGGCCCCTGCCCACGGCCTCCCTGCCCTCCGCCCGCCGCACAGCGGGAACCGAATAAAGCCGACTTCCGTGGACAGCCGAGCGCAGCTGGTGTGCGCGCCCCCCGGGCTCGGGCCGGCGCCTGCGGGTGGGCGGGCCTGCGCGGGGAGGCCGCCCCGCGGGAACCCGGGCCGCGCGGCCAGGAGCGGGGCCCCCGCCCAGCCCACCGGCGGCGCCCGGGGCCCGGGCTGCGTCCGCCCGCGGCGTTCCCCGCGCTGCCCACGGTCGGGAGCCGCGTCGGGCGCGCAGGTGGGTCCGTGCCGCGGGGCGCTGCAGGCGCTGCCCCTTGGCGCCCTCTGCCGGCCCGCGCGGGCTGCTGCTGCTTCCCGAGGGCGCTCTCCCCGGGGTGCGTGCGGGTCGGACCCGCTTTGACGGTCTTCCTGTCCGCGCCCTCACCTCCTTTTCCCCTCTACGAGTGCTGGGACGGAATCCTGGTCTTTTGGGCAAGTGCTCCGGGTTCAGATCATGTCCCCAGATCCTGACCTCAGATGGACCCGAGTGGGATTAGGGCCCACCCCACCTCAATTCCTCTTCTGACGTCTATCACCAGCTTTATTCTCAGGTCTTGGGATGGGGCTTCCTCCGATGGGTTGGGAGGCAGGTGTAGCCCAGCTGGGGGCTGGTGAGCTAAAAGCTCCTGACCCGTCGGAGAAGGCCTCCGCGCCAAGGCTAGGGGTACGGTACAGTCGGTGTTGTGAACTTCTGATTTTGGCCTGAGCTCTGGTCATATTTCCTCCCTACCGATCTCACCTGCCTGGGGAGTCCATGGCCATGTGGACGAGCTGACCATTGTTCTACTGCGATGCCTGACGCTCCGAGCAGGACCCGTGTCATGTTTGCGCTCCACCACCTTAAGGCAGACAGCCAGCCGGCCCCAACTGAAATGTCGCAAATGCAGGTGGCACCCAAACACACATTCTGCCCAGCACAAAGTCAGAGCTCCTTAAAACCCTCTGGGAGGCTGGCTAGCCTGCAGGGCCGGACCCCTGACCACATTGCCCTCTGGCTCAACGCGCTGCTGGGGTGGCGCTGCTGGGGTGGGGCCGGGGGATTCAGTGTCTACAGGCCCTGCCCAGGAGGCACCTGCCCTAGAGCAGGATCAGACGGAACAGCCTGTCACATTTTCATCCGTTTCCACAGCCTGAGCCAACTTGCGAGTGGTTCATGGAGAAGGGGGGGGGGGGGTACTCTGACACCCCTGAGAGGGGCAACTTCCTTCTGCCTCAGGGAAAGGAAGAAGCCATGAGGTGAGAACACATGGCCCTGCAGCGGCTGGGAAGCAGGGTGCAGGGCCCCCACACGGACCCTTTCCAGCCCTCAGCTCCCACCCTTCACAGCAGGCCTTGTGGCCTCAGCCAGGGGCAGCACATGAGCTTGAGTCTCAGGACTTCAGGCTGGACCTGGGTCCACGAACAGTATTATTCACAGACCTGGGTGCAGTGCCCCCTCCCAAAGCTGAGGGTATGTGGAGAGTGGGCAGAAGGCAGTTCTGAGGAGGGTCACCCGCAGGCTGTACACAGGTGCAGGATGTCAGGCTGGTGCAGAGACCCAGGAAGGCGTCCCAGAGGAAAAATGGTTGGCGCATGGGGTGTGTAGGCTACTATCTGCTTCACGCACTGAGCCACTCCCTACGAGGCTCTGGGAGATCCCAAAGGTCACTGACAGCCCCGGAGTGAACCTGCAGTGAAACAGCTCCGGCCTCTCAGGGGCAGGGCTGCCCTTGGTGCTGGATCGGAAGATCCCGGAGGTTCTGGGTGGCCCCGGATCAATTGTTGGCACTTCCTATGGCCCAGCTGGTGGGAAGCAGATCTCTCCCCTCTAGGGCTGATGGGAGGCTGGAGGAACACACCCCACCCTGGGCTGTCTTCACCATTTCCTTTCTGTCTTTGCCTGGTTGGCCAGAGGGAAACCTTTTCCCTAAGGGGCCACATACCAGCACTGGCTGCCACCACCAGCAAGTCAGGGGGGAGGGAATAAGGGGAGGGGGGAGGGGGGATTCACAGGACTGCTCCATGCCCCAGACACACAATCAACTCAGACCCATCAGCTGGGAAGGTTTGGGACCTCACAGGGCTGGATCTGGTGAGCTCTGGACAGCAGAAGGGGAGCTGGAGAAGCAGGGGCTGGGATGTCTCCAGGGTGTGTGTGTGTAACCAGGTCATGAGTGCCAAGGGCAAGCCCCCCTGCATGTTCTGACACCTCGAGTCAGAACCAGAAGCCCGGAAAGGTAGGGGGACTCCTCTGTCTAGAACCCTCCATCAGCACTCTGCCCTCGGACAGGCAGATGGGCGGGGGGGGGTGGTCTTCAGGAGTGGGGCGTGCTGGAGGGGGCTGGGCTCTCTCCAGTGTTCATTCCCATCACAGCGGGGGAGGACATCCCACGCCAAAGGTCAACAGGCAATGACGCCCAAAGGCAGCTATGAAGGGCTCGGCCACCAGCTTTAGGGAAATGACACCGGTGTGCCAGGGGGTCAGGAAGCGCGCAGTGACGTGGGCAGGAAGGAGCCTGGTCACCAGACAACCTGCCTTCTGCCGCTGCTGCTCCAACGTACGGGCGCACAGACGGATGACAGCCAAGGACACGCGGATGCAGGCACAGAGGCGGGCACCCGGCTGGGCAAAGTGCTGACGCTGGCGAGGAGGGCGGAGGAGGACACAGCAGCTGTTTCATTATTGCTGCGGTTTTGGGGTCGCACCCCGCTCCGTCTGCGGCAACCAGGGGTCTGACGCTGAACTCTCGCACGCCCAGCAAGTGCTCCTGCCCTGTGCGCACGCTCCCGATCCGGATTTTATTACGCTGTCGATTAAAATTCCAAAGGGGAACTTGGCACCCTCGTAGGGGCGGGCCTGCGCGCCCAGTCCCGCGGTCGCGGCGGGGGCGGGCCGGCCCGGACCCGGGAGGGAAATGCGGGCCGGGCAGCGCCAATCCCAAGCCGCGCCCCCGGGCCCCGGCAGTCGCGCGTGCGCAGAGCGCCCAGGCACCGCCCCGCCCCGGCCCGCCCCGCGCGGCACGTCCCGCCCGCCGCCAGGGGCCGCTGTGGCTCCCGCTCTTGCCGCGCCCGCTCTTCCCGCGCGCCGCCTCACTGGTGCCCGAAATGGCGGCCGCGGCGCTGCTCCGGGGCGCGGCTCCGCGACGCGGCGGCACGGCCTGGAGCTGGCGACTGCGCGACGCCCCGCGGCGCCGCCTGGCCCCCGGCCCCGCGGGCGGCGCGGCCTGGACGCGCTACCCGCTGGAGGCGCGCGGCCTGCTGCGCGTGCGCGGGCCCGACGCGACGCCCTTCCTCCTGGGGCTGCTGACCAATGAGCTGCCGCTTCCGCCTCCCGCGGGCGCCGGCCCCGCCCCGGCGCGCGCGGGCTACGCCCACTTCCTCAACGTGCAGGGGCGCACGCTCTATGACGTCATCATGTACCGGTGAGTGGGCGGGGCGGGGCGGGGCGGGGCGGGGCCTGGCCTGTGGCCGCGTGCTGCTGCTGCTGCTGCCGCCGCTGCCGCTGCTGCCCGGGGCTGGGGCCGCGCTGTCCGTGCTGCCCCCGCGGCCCCGCCTGGCCCCGGCCCCTTCTCCGGTCTGTGCCCCCGGGGAGCGGGAGCGAGCACGGCGCTGCAGCGGGGCAGGAGGAGGCGCGGGAGGGGCTGGCTGCCTCGTGGGGCGTCGCCCTCGCTCCCCGCGGCCGCAGGGGAAGGCGCCGCGGGCCCACTGTGAGCGACGACTCGGAGGACGGCCTGTGCAGGAAATACTGGAGATGCACTAAAGATGATCTTTGGGGCCCCAGAGATTCCCCAGGGCGGGAGTGGAGCTCCGGCCTCACATATGCGGGGCCCCAGCTTCCGTCCCCGCCGGAGCGTGGCTGGCCCCACGAGCAGTGGTGAGCGTGGGTGCCGCGAGAAAGCCCTTTGTTTAGCTGAGGCTCGGGCTCACCTGGGCATCATCATCTTACCTGTCGCTCTGTTGTAGCGGCACTGGACCTCAACGGAGACCTTTTGTGGCTCCACCCATGGAGATGTGCACTAGTCCCTGTTTTGTGTGGGATGGACCCAGAGGTGCCCTCCAGCTGCAGTGCTCAGGGTAGCGTGACTAGTGCTCCCCTGGCACACACTCAGCCTCCTCAGCCCTCTTCCGGCTGACCGGAGGGCAGAGGTCACACTGAAGCTTGGTCAACCAGGGACTGCCAGTCCACACAGAGACAGGAGGCTGAGAAAGTGCAGAGCCCAGAGCTCCCAGGTCCACACTGGGGAGAGTGGGCCCATCCACCTACCCCTGGGCACGCCTAACTCTGTCATCCAGCCAGGCAAGCCTGAGGCCTGTCGCTGGTGGGGGCTGGATTGCTCCCCTCCCTGGAATGGACTTTCATCACACCCACAGTCTTAGTGGCTATCCTTTCCCTTCAGGGACACGTGGTGGCTCTTTGCCTTGAAAGACACGTTAGAGCTGCCACTGACATCCATGGCTCTAGGGCACCTGGCCACAGGGTTTGCTTTCCATAGCGATTCCTGGAGATTAGCTTCATCCTTGCCTCCTGAGAGCTCTTTCCTTGGTGATGGGGCCAGCCTCTGAGAACTGGTGATTACACTAGTTTTGCCTTTTTTTTATTTTCCAGATATCTTGTTTTGTTCTTCTCTAAGGATCACATTTGGGTTCCTCCTGGTAGTGCTGGGATGAGGGTGGTCCCTGGAATTGAACCTGGGCCTCTGGCATGCACGGCCAGCCCTTTGCCACTGAGCTGCATCCCCAGCCCTCCTGCTGGTTTTTATTTGTGTTTTCCTCGTGACAGGACACCAGCTTTCTGCTTGTTTGTTTGAAGCGCCTGCTCTTAGCTCTTTCCTCTGTTTCTTCTGGCATTTAAAGTCCTTCTGTGGGGCTGGAGCGATAGCACAGAGGGTAGGGCGTTTGCCTTGCATGCAAACCCGGGTTCGATTCCCAGCATCCCATATGGTCCCCCGAGCACGGCCAGGAGTCATTCCTGAGTGCATGAGCCAGGAGTAACCTCTGTGCATCGCTGGGTGTGACCCAAAAAGCAAATAAATAAATAAATAAATAAATAAAGCCCTTCTGTGTGAGGTGGTGCCCTTATCCTGTCTTGTTCTTGCTCTGCCATCTCTCCTGAGGGTCCGTGGGATGATGCGCCCCAACCAGAATGTGAGTTGCAGGGCACGCTCACAGCTGGGGCTAGGCCAGCCTCTGCCACCTGCTCCTTGGGTGCTGGACCCTGCAGGAAAGACTCTTCCCCACACCGGGGAAGGGGCCTACAGGGAGACCCTGGATGAGGGTGCAGGGATGTGCTTTCATGTGTGTCATTGGCTCTCGTGTGTGTCGCTGGTTCTCCTGTCTCAGCCCTTGCTTTGCTGTGGTCCTTGCTGGTCTGGAGGCTGGGCGTGTCCACATGGCCCCCCTGCTCTCCAGCCCATCTGTGGTCCTTCATACAGAGGGCCCAGCTGGCCACCTGCGCCTCACATCAGCTTCTCCGGGATTCCAGAGTGTGGGGCCACCCCAGTGTGAGTGGGGCCGCTGTGGGGGTCCCCTGGGGGAGGCAGGAAGTGCCCCTCAACCCCAAGAGTTTTGGTGCCTCCCGTGTGGAGGAGGCCAGCCAGACCCACTCTTGGGGTTTCGATGTGCCCTCTTAGAGCCAGCTGAGGCGGCCCCAATTTCTGCCTTCAGCTCCCGGGGGTGGGGGGAGGCTCTGGCACAGCACAGACTAGCACTAGTCAGAGAGGACCCAGCCCTCTGTGCCACCCTGCCCGCACATGTCAGCCTCCCGGCACACAGACCCACGAGTGCTCTCCCTGCAGGCTCCCTGAGAGTGCGGGCCAGGCTCCGGCCTTCCTCCTGGAGTGTGACAGCTCTGTGCTGGACGCCCTGCAGAAGCACCTGGCACTGTACAGGATCCGGCGCAAAGTCACCGTGGAGCTGTGCCCCGAGCTGCGTGTGTGGGGCGTACTGCCCAGTGCTCCTGGGGTGGGAGCGGCCACAGCCCTGCAGGAGGCGGCCGAGGGTGGTTCCATCCTCGCCCGCGACCCCCGCACTGCCTGCATGGGCTGGCGGCTCCTCACCCAGGACGAGGGCTCCACCCTGGTGCCTGGGAGTCAGCTGGGACACCCCCAGGATTATCACCGACACCGGTACCAGCAAGGTATGGTTGTGACTGGACCTCAGAGTCCAGGGAAGGTGTGTGGTGAAGGGAGTAGGGTGTGGATGCAGCAAGAGGCCACCTCTAGTGACCCCCTACTTCATGGCCTCCAGGAGACAGGTGCCCACCTTACCAGAGGGGAGTAGGAGGAAGGGGAGGGATGGGATGGGCGAAGGATGGGGGTGAGGGGGAGGACAGATGATGGGGGGAGCCATGGGTGGGGCCCCTTCCTGCCCTCTGAGGCCTCACTGAGCTGCCCTTTCTGGCCCCCACAGGTGTTCCCGAGGGTGTCCGTGACCTGCCCCCAGGAGTGGCCCTGCCCTTGGAGTCTAACCTGGCCTTCATGAACGGCGTGAGCTTCACCAAGGGCTGTTACATGGGCCAGGAACTGACCGCCCGTACCCACCACATGGGTGTCATCCGCAAGCGTCTCTTCCCTGTGCAGCTCTGTGGCCCCCTCCCTGCTGCTGGCATTGATCCTGGCTCCCCAGTGCTCACTGAGTCGGGGCAGGCAGCTGGCAAGTACAGGGCAGGCCAAGGGGACGTGGGGCTGGCCCTGCTGCGGTCGGAGAAGATCAAGGGCCCGTTGCACATCCGAACTGCCGACAGTGGCCGAGTGACCCTGACTGCGTCTGTGCCGGACTGGTGGCCCACAGCTGCCAAGTAGCCCTCAGATCCTGGGGTGGACTGCCACAGGGCCCCCCGGCTTGTGCGGGGTTTTCTGCTCTTGGTGCACACGTGTCCAGCTGGGCCGTACCTGGAGTATCGGAGTCAAAAGGGCCTGTGGAGCAGAAAGGCCACCAGCCTCCCGGAGAGGGCTTGGTATCGTGCACAGCACAAGTGTGTGATCAGGAGTGTGTGTGTGATCCTGCCCTCCCAATGTGACAGCATCAACCAGGAAAAGCTCTTAGACAATCGAGGGCTGGCCATGGAGATCAAGCATCAAGACCGGGATTTTGTGCAAAGACTTTTTCATTTTGTTTAGCTTTTGTTTTTGAGCCACACCTGGCGGTGCCCAGGGCTTGCTTCTGGCTCTGCACTCAGGGATCACTCCTGGCGGGACTTGGGGGGGGAATCATATGGCTGAACCCAGGTCAGCCATGTACAAGGCAAGCATCCTACCTGCTGTACTCTCTCTCTGGCTTTTTTGCAAAGATTTCAAAACCTGATGACATCTATAGGCTTATCAAGTTTTTTATTTTATTCATTTGTTTGGTTTCTGGGGCTACATCCAGTGTGTTCAGGGCTTACTCCTGGTTCTGTGCTCATAGATCATTCCTGGTGCAGCTTGGGGGACCATGGGTGGTGTTAGTGATCAAGTGTGGGTTGTCGGTGCACACGGCAAGTGCCCTACCCACTCTTATCACTCTGACCCGAATGTGTTCTAATCAGTTGACACCAGTTGGCATGTTCAGTCATGAAGCTGCTCCTCTACAGTAGCTGCCCAGCTGCCTGCGGTCAGCACTCTTGGACACTTCACGTCTACCCACCCGGGGCCCGCCACTGTCAGGTGCACCTGCACCCGCACCCTTTCCACTTGGAAGCTGCCCTTCCCTCCTCCCTATCACCCTTACTCTGCCAAGTGCACTGCAGGTGGTAGAGCCCTTGGCTGAGCAGCTCAGAGCAGCTCTTATCTCCGCTGAGTCAGGGCGGGCGCCAGGGCGGGCACCAGGCGGGAGCTGCTGAGTGCATCATGGGACCTCTCGGGCTGTGCCCTGCCAGCATCTGGTGCCGTCAGTCTGTGCCGTTTCTGTTTGGAGACTGGGTGTTTTTTTCTCTCGGGCGCATCTCAGAAGAAAGGGCAGCCTGGCCGAGCTAAGGGAAGGAGGGTGCACGGCCAGACCCCGGACTCCAGTGCTCCTGTGTTCATATGAGGGGTGTGGCTCCCGGCCCCCTGGAGGAGGGAGAAAGGCCGGGTAGAGAGGGTGCATCTGAGCACATGCATCGAGGAGTGGGTGACACTTGTCCTGGCCTCGGAGAGGGCGTGGGGTGGGGTTAATGTCTGGGGACAGCCGAGCAGGGACAGGGCTGTGTGGATAGCCTGACTGGGCCTGCTCTGACCCCCGGCACCTGTGCTACTCTTGCCGTGGACTCGACCTTTGTTTGCGAGGGGCACACGTTGTGCCCTAGATGGAACGCAGGCCTTCCACATACGGGACAGGTGCCCACCCACCTGCGCCACACCCAGGGTCTGTGGCAGGAAGAGGGTGTTAAGCCTGTGGGAACTTTCTGCAAAGCTGCAGTCAGAATTCTGGCCTTGCTGCACTCCCACCTCAGCCAGTCACTCTTGGCATCACGGTGAGGCCCCTCCCCAGGGCTCCTTGTCCCTCAGCCACCCACCCTCCTGACCATGCTGTGCACCCTTTCACAAACCTGTAGAAGCGCAGACACCGTTATTCTGTGTGCACTGTTGCGGTGCTGCCCAAGGCCCACTCGGCCTGTCAGTTTTCTCCCGTCCAGCCAACCAAGGACATCGGGGTTATTCTGAACAAGCTGCTGTAAATACCTGAGTACACTGTCTGTCCTGTGAGCAGTCTCTCTGGGGTCCACACCCAGGAAGCGAGTGACACGGTTCATTATGAGAGACTGCAGACCTTGTCCAGAGCCTTGTCTCACTCCCTGGCCCATCAGCCATGTGGGGAGATGTTCTGAATCTGTCCCTGCCGGGGTTGCAGGGGCCAGGTCCTGTCCAGGTGCTCTTTGCTGTATCTCATCAGGACTTTTCCCCATGTTCTAATCAGATTGTTTCATTTTCCCTCTTTTTCTTTGGAGGAGGTAGGGGTGGTGACACACCTACTTGTGGTCAGGGCTTACTCCTGGTTCTATGCTCGGGAATCATTCCTGGCTGACTCAGGGGGTCCTTTGGGGTGCTGGGGTTGAAACCTGGATGCAAATGCCCTTCCCACTGTTCTCTCTCGCCCCTCATTTCCCCCCAAGTCCTATTTTCACTAGTTCTTTGTTCCACTGCAGAGGGTGCTCAGCTGAAGAGCGCCACAGTCAGTGGCCAGGCAGCTCTGGTCCCCGTCTGCAGATGACTGCCCATGTCTTTGCTATGGATACCCTGGTTCCTTTGCATGGCTGGTTCCCAGCACCTGTGTCCAGTGAAGCTCAGGAACACCTGTGTCTCCCCAGCACCTCATTGTAAACAGCAGTCATGTACACAAAGTAGAAGACATACAAGTGGCTCTAGCCCCATGGAAAGTGCCGCTGTTGATAGTGGGAGCCAGAGCCCACAACCTGGCACTTGTCCCTGTATGTGCTCAGTGCCATGGTTTGTCCGCCTTGAAGCCACAGTCCTGCTTATCCAGTTTCCCAAGCAACCTCATGATGTAGTCTAGGGTCAGTGCTTGGAGAGCCAGAACTATTTCTTCTTGGACATCTTAGCCAGCAGTGGCCTGGGGTCTTGGGCAGCCCAGAGTGCGTTTCTCCCCGCCGTCCAGGAAGGAGACACTGAGTGATAACCAGGAGAGGAGGAGCCTTAGGAATGCCAGAGGCTGCCAAGCTGAAGCCACTTTTAGCCAGGCCTATTCGAAGGGCCATGTTGAAACCATGACAAGAGAACAGGATTGCCCCATTCCCTTAACCAGTTAAGTGTGGCCCGTAGTTTCTTCAGAACATTGTGTGGGCCTAATCTTGGTATTTCCAGGGAGGGCAGGCAGCTGTTGGGGGCTGGGATGACCACCAGGCCAGATGGCTAATTTTAAATCATGACACAGAGGAGGGTCATACCACCCACTGGTGTGGGGACAAGGTTTCTTTCTGTGGACTTGTAAAGAACCTTTTCAAGGGTTTGGCCAGTACATGGGCTGGAGTTTTTTTCCATAAGCATTTACAATTATTTGCTTAAGTGGCCACAAGGAATATCACGAAAAGTCCCCAGGAGTTCTTCAGCTTGCTCCAATTCTGCTCCAGTGTGGCTTCCTTTGGAACCGGTGAGAGAATGGAGCCAGTTCCCTGCCTCCTTGCCATCCAGTGGGGGTCATAGTGTGGCCTGAATAATGGGAACGGAACCTCAGGCACGTGGTGTTTATTTTCATGTTCTGACGCAGTGCTGGTCGGGATCCTGCTGGCTGCTCCGCTGTGGTGGAGAGAACTGTGTGCCAAGGAGAAGGAGCAGGGAAGCATTGGCCTTCCTGAGTGGGTGTTGGGACCTGATGGTGTCCCTCACTTCTCAGACTGTTCATTTTCTTATGTCTTTTATGAAGATCATCTGGTTCCCTCTCCTCTGTACAGGCATGCCCCTGGGGTTCTGGTCTCAGCTCTCCCAGCACCCAAGGGACCACATGGCAGAAGTCCCTGGGAACTGTCCCCTCCTCAAGGCCCCCTTTTCACCTGATTAGTGAGACCCAGACTAGCCACCATCTGTCCCTAGTGCCCATGGTGGTCAGTGGTCTGTGTCCACCAGTGATCCTGTTCCTACTGGGCCCTTGCTACCTGGTCCTCGCCCCCCTTCAGAAGACTGACCTCCTGGAACGTTTCCAGGGAACATCTCTGAGCACAGGGTATGAACAGGTCAGAAGACCAGACAGCAGGTCTGGTCTCACCCAGACTGTCCTGCCCACCAGGGCTCTGTGGCCTGGTCTTCCATCATGTCCTTCCTCCCCTATGGAGCCATTTATCTTGCAGCATCCTTCTCTGGCCGGTATCCGGGCACCAGGCTGCAGCAAGAGCAGCAGAGAGGGGCTCCTCCACCTTTGTTGGAGTCAACTTCTGGTGCAGTTCTAGTTCGTTCCTTCACTGCCCCATGACTGTCATCTGTCCATTCCAATATCCTCAGGCCCTCAGGTTCTTGCCACTGGGAAAGCGACCATACCACTGAAATCAAACCTGCCTGGCCAGTGGCCTGCGGGCTCCACAAGAGCTTTGGGTCTCGCCTGTTTCTTTAGAGCTGAAGCCCAGACTTCACTGGCTTTCACTCTTTCCCAGCAGGGTCCCTTTCTTCCCAGGACACTGTGACTGATGGTGAAATCTTGTCCCGTGGCCCTGTCCGCGCGCTGTCTTGCATTTATGCTCAGGAGCAAGTGGGTCAGGTGCTGTGTGCCGTGGAGCTGTAAGCGATCACTTTCACCTCTCTGACCCTTGGGTCTGCTGCTGTGTCAGGACATGGTGCCGTGTGGGAGAAAACCCAAGATGCCATCATCCGACTCTCATGTGTCACACTGGATGGGGACCTGCTTCATGGTGATTCACGTGAGGCTGACCACCACAGAGGCCTTCCTTATAACCCTGTGGGAGGGAACACGACTCTCTGCTCCCATGATTCATGGTTTCACTTTGGGAGCCACAACCAGCAGTGCCCAGAGGTCACTCTTCTGGTGCCCAGGGGACCATATGTGATGCTGAGCCTCCTGTCTCCAGTCCATTGAGCTCTCTCCAGCCCCATAGTTTGGTCAATCTAGTTGCCCTGACTGGACTCGCACACAGCATGCACAGGCAGTTACATGCACATGCACAGATACAGCACACACATGCACGGATATAGCACATACATGGACAGAGCACACACATGCACAGATACATGCAGCTCAACACACACAGATACAACATACATAAGTACAGATACACAGAACATGTATGCAGATACAGCACATGCACAAATGCAGCACACACATGCAGATACATGCAGCACAACGTAAACAGATACAACATGCACATGTACAGATACACAGAACATGTATGCAGATACAGCAACACACAAGCACAGATGTAGCACGCAGGTATAGCACGCACTTGCACACATGCACTTGCACAGGTGTACAGATGCAGCTCACGGCACAGAATGCAGTACCCAGGCAGATTTGGCAGCCACATGCACAGACCCAAAGCACACATGCACAGATACGCACAGAGGCACAGGTCCAGGTGCACAGGGTTGCATGCAGGCAGCACACACTTGCATTGGCCAGGTCAGCGGCCATGTTTGGGGGGCCTGGGCTCAACCTTCCCATGGTGACAATGTTAACCTGTGGGAAATTAGTGTCCTCATTTATCTCACTGTCCTTGCCACATGAGGACAGCAGCACAGCTCACTACACAGTCTGCAGCCCCTCGCTGCAGCCTCAGAGCTGTGAGGCATGACCTGTGAGGCATGGTTTCTGTGGCCCATCTGTGGTGTCTAAAGCATCCGAGATGACTGAGGTCTTGGGACCACCCCGAGCAAAGGCCACTGAGTCCTGAGGCAGGAGCAGTGTGTACCCTGGGTGGCCTGCTTCACCCTAAGCATGTGTGTGACTGGGGTGGAGGCCTTATCCCTTCTTTTTTTTAAAAATGTTTATTAGTGAAACACCATGAGGTACAGTTGTAGACTTACAAATTTTTGTGCTTCGGTTTCAGTCATACAATGATCGAGTTCCCATCCCTCCACCAGTGCCCGTTCTCCACCACCACTAATCCCAGTATCCCTCCCACCCCCAACCCCCCATCCCCCCTGCCTCTGTGGCAGGGCACTCCCTTTTGTTCTCTCTCTCCTTTTGGGTGCTGTGGCTTGCAAAGGGGCCTTATCCCTTCTGCCAGCCCGGCTGGTGTGGGGGTTTTCAGGGACCATCATTTCAGGGATCTGGGAACAAAGAACCTAGCCAGGGGGGATTCGGTTCTTCAATGCTGGTTCTTCATGGTCCTTGCCCAGGGACAAGCAGGGCCAAGATCCAGGCTTGCTCAGGGACAGGAGGGCTTTGCATGTGTGAACAAGGTGGAGCCAGTGGAACTACCCGGTGGGAGTGCAGAGGCCTCTCCCAGGCTGGCCGTGAGAATCAGGGCTGCCCCTGTCTGCACCCTCTGCATGTGCTAGAGGCTGACCACCTCCATGTGGGGCGAGGTGGCTGCTCTGTGCCCAGCTTCCCCCAGCCTCTGACCCAGCAGCGGGACACCCCTTCTCCCACCTGTGCCCGCTGCACCTAACTTGTACTTGCTGAGTAAACTGAGACTCTGAGCATAGACCAGGTCCCCCATGTGACTGGAGGAATTGATCCTCTCGGGGTGGGTCTCCTGGGGTGGTCCTGAGGCTCTGGGTTCTTTCCTGCCCTGTACTTGTGGATGCTGGCCTGAGAAAGGGTCCCAAGCAGCTGGGGCACCCGTGTTGTTTGTGTCATCATAGAAAACAGCTCTCCACTTTTCCCCTGCTCACCCCCAGCCTCTGCCCTTTGCCTCCTTGGGGCTGGGGGTGAAACCGAATCCGGGGCAGTGACACCAGGCTATTTTGGAGCTGGGCTGGGCCTGGCAGTGTTGGGGCGGGGTGGGGTGGGCTGGCCTTCTCCAGCTGACAGTGTCTGCCTGTCCTTTCGTCCCCGTCCAGTCTGAGGGCCGGCTGGAGTGTGGGCTGCTAGGTGGGAACTGTTGGTCCTGGGCCTGCTGAAGGAGGTGAGATCAGGCAGCCCCCCGCCCCACCACCTAACCCCCGCCTGGGCACTGCCGGTGTCTCTGTTGAAGGTAAGGAGGCAGAGAGGGGGCTGGGACAGGCCAGCCCGTGCCCCCAGGGGGCAGCTCAGCTGAAGGTCATGGCTTTGTGGGACCCACGTGCTGGAAAGAAGGGGGCTTCCACCAGCCTGTGCTGCCCTCTGTGAGGGTGGCCTGGGGGGTCTGGCCGGCCCTGCCCCCAGCTCCACTGATAGATGTCCGCTGACAGCTGGGGCTATTTTCGGCTCATTGGCTCAGCAGAGGGGACAGCCAGAGGGGCCCTGACACCTGACTCCAGGGAAGAATGTCCCCCAGAGTACAGGAATCCTGTGGCTCCAGGGACTAAGGGACGTGTCGGCTCCCTGAGTTGCCCTTGGGAATCTGAAAGGCTGGGGGTGCAGCAGAGGTGGAGAGGAGGGCTGGGAAGATGGGTGTGGGTGGGACTGAGGTTCTAGCAGGCAGTGACAACTCCTCCCTGGCTCTGCTGGACAACTGGCACCGGCCCCCCACCTGCCCAGTGGAGTCAAGTCTGAGAATGGAGTTGGCTAGAAGATGAGGGGGTAGAGCCCACTGACAGTGGCACCACCATCCCACAGTGGGGCTCTTGGCCCTGCCAGGTCTCTGAGCAGCCCAAGTGGGATTCACAGGGAGCAGCTTTCTCAGGGATTTTTTCAGAGTCTGGGGGCTGACTCCAAACCCTCCAAAGACTGCTGCTTCTGCCCATCTGCATGTCCAGGTGCAACTCCACCAGGGCAGGGGCAGGAGATGCTGCTGCAGGGGTTCCCGTGTCAGAGGTGATCTCAAACATCTGCCTAAAGGGGACAGTTTCCATGTGCCTATGTGGCTCAGCATCCCTCTGTCCCTCCCTGGCTTGAGCCCCGAGGCTCTGGGGAGGCATTAGCCCTCCCTGGAGCCCGTGAGGGATCTTGGGATCTCTGCTCATCCTTGCCAGGCCACAGGGCTGGGGCCACCCCCTGCTGGAGTCCTGCGGTTCTCCAGGGCACAGAGGTGATCCCTGCTCCCACACTGCTGGCCTGTGAGCTGAGGGCAGCATTTCTGCACACCTCCAGTGAGGTATGCTTTGGAGGGGCCCACGGGCCTCTGCTTACTCTTCCGGCAGTAAGCTGGAAAGAGCTCAGTCTCCTGATGTCAAAGCAGCCTTTCCATAGGTCGCTGAGGCCCGGAGGTGCTTATGGAGGCAGGCGTGGGTGTTCCCCAGCCCAGAGATCAGGACAGGCCGTGTGCGTGTGGGGCTGGTGAAGGTAGCTGGGTGCTGACGCACAGTGAGTCAGCAGGCCATCCTGCTCAGAGTCCTGGAGGAGGATTAAGGGGATTAGGCCCAGAATCATAGGACGGAGAGGCTGAGGCCAGGAACGCAGGCCCTGCTCTTCCCTCCGCGGGCAGTCCATGACCAGGGGAGCTCCCACGGGGTGGGGGGGCAAGGGAGATTCAGGTCCGAACGGTGGCGGCCGCACTCCCACGCCCCTGGGCCCGGGACGGGAGGTGGCTCTGAGCCTCGGGCTCTGCATGCGCGAGCCTGGGGGCTGAGCCCCGGAGAACGCAAGGAGCAGCCCCCGGGCCCGGGAACGGGCACAGCCACCCCGCCCAGGGCCTTGGACGCGTGCACGTGCGGGGAGCGCCGGCCGCTCCCGCGGTGACCCCCGCCTCGCTCTGCCCAGGTCCCCCGCCGCCCCACACCATGGACCCCTCCTCGTTCAGCGGCGCGCCCCGCTTCCTCACCAGGCCCAAGGCCTTCGCGGTGTCGGTGGGGAAGGACGCCACGCTGAGCTGCCAGATCGTGGGCAACCCCCGCCCGCAGGTGAGCTGGGAGAAGGACCGGCTGCCCGTGGAGGCGGGCGCGCGCTTCCGCCTGGCGCAGGACGGCGACGTGTACCGCCTCACCATCCTGGACCTGGCGCTGGGCGACAGCGGGCAGTACGTGTGCCGCGCGCGCAACGCCGTCGGCGAGGCCTTCGCGGCCGTGGGGCTGCGCGTGGACGCCGAGGCCGCGTGCGCCGAGCAGGCCCCGCACTTCCTGCTGCGGCCCACGTCCATCCGCGTGCGCGAGGGCGCCGAGGCCACGTTCCGCTGCCGCGTGCGCGGCTCGCCGCCGCTGGCCGTGAGCTGGGCCAAGGACGGGCGGCGCCTGGGCGCGCCCGACGCGCCCCGCGTGCGCGTGGAGGGCCGCGCGGAGGCCGGCGGCGAGGCCAGCGCGCTGCGCATCCGGGCGGCGCGGCCGCGCGACGGCGGCACCTACACGGTGCGCGCCGAGAACCCGCTGGGCGCCGCCTGCGCCGACGCGGCGCTCGCGGTGGACGCGGACGCGGACGCGGCGGGCCCGCCCGGGGCCTCCACGGCCGCGCTCCTGGCGCACCTGCAGCGGCGGCGCGAGGCCATGCGCGCGCCCGGCGCCCCGGCCTCGCCGCCCGCGCCCGGCGGCACGCGCACCTGCACGGTGACGGAGGGCAAGCACGCGCGCCTCAGCTGCTACGTGACGGGCGAGCCCAAGCCCGAGACGGCGTGGCGGAAGGACGGGCAGCCGGTGGCCGAGGGCCGGCGCCACGTGGTGTACGAGGACGCGCAGGAGAACTTCGTGCTCAAGATCCTCTTCTGCAAGCAGTCGGACCGCGGCCTCTACACCTGCGCCGCGTCCAACCTGGTGGGCCAGACCTACAGCTCCGTGCAGCTCGTCGTGCGGGGTGAGCGCGCCGGGGGCGGGGCCGGGGCGGGGCCGGGGCGGGGCCAGGCCGGCCACGCCCCGTCGGCTCCCCTCCTCCCCCCACACGCGCACCCGCGGGGCCGGATGCGCCTGCGCGCGAGAGGGGGCACGTGCGTGGGTGAGGGGTGCGTCTGCGAGTGTGAGAGGCACGCCTGAGTGTGTGAGGCGCATCTGTGTGTGAGGGGGCACTTGTGCGTGTGAGGCACGCCTGTGTGTGAGGGGGCACGTGCGTGGGTGAGAGGGCGCCTGCTGAGGCGCGCCTGTGTGTGTGTGAGTGAGACGGACGCGTCTTCGTGTGTGAGGGGGCACGTGCGTGGGTGAGAGGGCGCCTGCGCGTGTGAGGCGCGTCTGCGTGTGTGAGACGCACGCCTGAGTGTGTGAGGGACATCTGTGTGAGGGGGCACTTGTGCGTGTGAGGCACGCCTGTGTGTGAGGGGGCACGTGCGTGGGTGAGAGGGCGCCTGCGCGTGTGAGGCGCGTCTGCGTGTGTGAGAGGCAAGCCTGAGTGTGTGAGGGGTACGACACGCGCCTTTGTGTGTGAGGGGGCACCTGTGTGTGTGAGGCGCGTCTGTGTGTGAGGGGGCACTTGTGCGTGTGAGGCACGCCTGTGTGTGAGGGGGCACCTGCGTGTGTGAGGGGGCACCTGCGCATGTGGGAAGGGTGCGCCTGCGTGTGTGAGGGGGCATGTGCGTGTGTGAGAGGGCACCTGCGCGTGTGAGGCGTGCCTGTGTGTGTGAGGGGCGCGTCTGTGTGTGTGAGGGGGCACCTGCGTGTGTGAGGGGCACTCCTGAGCGTGTGAGGGCCATGCCTGTGGCTGTGAGGGGCGTGACTGCATGTGGGGGGCGTGCCTGCGTGTGTGAGGGGGCCTGCCTGCCCGTGTGGGGGGCCACGCCTGCTCATGAGAGGGGGCACCTGCATGTGTGAGGGCCACGCCTGTGGGTGTGAGGGGTGTGACTGCGTGTGTGGGGCGCACGCCTGCATGTGTGAGGGGGGCACGCACATGTGCACGTGTGAGAGGCCTGCGTATACCTACAGATGTGAGGGGGCGTGCCTGAGAGTGCCTGTGTGTTTGTGTCTATGAGGGAGCGAGCCTGCGTGTGTGAGGGGCTGTGCCTGAATGTGTGACTGTGAGACTGTGACTGTGTGTGAGGAGTGTGCCTGTGTGGGCACGTGCTGGGGTGTGAAAGGGTGTCTGTGGGTGCGTGTACACCTGAATGTGCATGTGCGTGTGTGGAGGCATTCTTGTTTTGGGGACAGCAGTTGAGACTTCGCAGGTATGCTTAGAGGGTCTGGGTGGCAGAGCTGGTGGGATTGCGGTGGGAGGGGTGGGGAGCAGAACAAATTGTCCCCCGGGGTGGGATGGCGACCTTGGTCGCGACTGGGGGAGAAGCAAGCCTCCTTTGCACGAGGAGCCTGTTGCTCCCATCCTCACGGGTGTGTTGCTGGGAAGCGACCCTTGGTGTGCGGTGGGCCAGCGGAGCCCACTGTCCTTTCCCGGTCTGTGGTGCCTGGAGCTCACTTCCTGCCCTCCCTGCAGAGCCCGCCGTGCCCTTCAGGGAGCGGCTGAAGGACATAGAGGTGCGGGAGAAGGAGTCGGCCACATTTCGTTGTGAGGTGCCACAGGCCGCCACACAGGCCACCTGGTACAAGGAGGAGACGCGGCTGTGGGCCAGTGCCAAGTACGGCATCGAGGAGGCAGGCACTGAGCGCCGCCTGACTGTGCATGATGTCTCCGCGGATGACGATGCCGTCTATGTGTGCGAGATGGCTGAGGGCAGCCGAACAGTGGCCGAGCTCTCAGTGCAAGGTGGGAGGGCTGCTCCAGGAAGGGTCTCGGAGCCCTGCGGGAGGAGGGGGGTCTCTGGAACACCGCCCCAGGCAGATCTCTTAAGGCAGCAGCCCCCCAGACAGTGGCCCTCCAGAAAGTACTCCCTCAGATAATACCACATTGCCCCAGGCAGAGCCCCTCAGGCAGCACTTCTTCCCCAGAGAGCAGCTCCCTCAGACAGCAAACCCCCAACCCTAGCAGTAATTTTCCAGACAGTGCCCTTTTTAGTGTCTTCTCAGATAACGACCGAGCAACCCAGACAGCAACCCCCTCAGATGGTGGCAACCCCCTCCGTGCCACAGTGCCTCTTAGACAGCTCCCTCGGTCAGAGGGTCCTCCCCACAGCTCCCCTTCAGACAACTCCCCCCAGACAGCACCCCCTTCATACTGTGGCTCCCCAGGCAATGACTCCCCAGACACTGCCCCCAAAGAGCAACCCCCTCAGAAAGCATCCTGCAGGCTGTGACCCCGCAGAGAGCACCCTCCAGACAGTGATCCCCTCAGCTGGCATCCCTCTCAGTGCTCCTCAGATGACAACCCCCTCAGACCGTGCCCTCAGATCTTCCCCCTCAGATAGCAGCCTCCAGACAGCCTCCCTCAGAATGGGCCCACCTGAGGGAGCCCCCTTTCGCAGGCAACACTGAGTCTGATCAGTCCCTGCTGTGCATATATAGGCAACCTCATCCGGAAGCTCCCTAGGAAGACTGCAGTTCGTGCTGGTGACACGGCCATGTTCTGGGTGGAGTTGGCCAAGCCCGAGGGCCCCATCCGCTGGCTGCGCAACCAGGAAGAGGTGGTGCCTGGAGGCCGTGTGAGCATCACAAGCGAGGGCTCCTGTCATACACTGACCATCTCCCAGTGCAGCCTGGAGGACATGGGCGAGGTGGTGTTTGTGGCTGGGGATTGCCGGACCTCCACCCAGTTCTGTGTGTCAGGTTAGTGCCTTGCCAAGGTAGTGATCTTCCCTCCCTCACTAAGTGTGAAAGGGGCTGGGTGATAACTCCGGTTTCCTCTGATTTGTCCACTGCATTGTGGTCAACACGAGTATCTGCGAACTAAGATCCCTGATTCTCTTCTCCATAGATGGTGAAGACCCTTCTAGAAGGAGGGTATGGGGAAGGGGTAAGTGAGTGTGGTCAACTCACAATAGGTCAACTTTTTTCTTTTTGGGTTACACCCAACATTGCTCAGGGATCACTCCTGGCTCTGCACTCAGGAATTACTCCTGGCAGTGCTGGTGAGACCATATGGGATGCCAGGGATTGAACTCGGGTTGGCCGCGTGCAAGGCAAATGCCCTACCGGCTGTACTATCGCTCAGGCCCCGAAAAGTCAACTTTCTATTGACCTCTGGAGTGAAATTGGGTGGTATGCCAACCCAGGACTCTGGGAGGTGCTCCCAGTTGTGATGTCAACTTGTGCTCCCCTAGCCCCCAGGAAGCCGCCTCTGTATGCCCCAGAGACTCCTGTGGTGAAGTCCAAGACAGAGGGCTCTGTGACTCTCAGCTGGTCCCCACCACCACATGGGGACCGCCCTGTTCCCATCAATGGCTATCTGGTGGAGAAGAGAAGACTTGGAGCCTATGCCTGGAGCCGATGCCACGAGGCTGAATGGGTGGCCACGTCTGAAGTGACCGTAGCGGGTGTGGCCCAGGAAGGGGACTATCAGTTCCGGGTGTCAGCTGTGAACAACTTTGGCCAGAGCCCCTACCTTGAGTTCCCAGGGACCATACACCTGAGTAAGTGGGGATGGTTCTGTCCCATGCTCTCTCTTGAGTCACCCATTTCCGGGTGCAGCCCAGCCTCATAACTGAGATTAGGGTCACCTCATAGATCACTTTGTTGGGGATGGGGCACCAAAGTCCAGATGTGTGGGCCTCCTTTTGGGGGACGTGGAGGGAGACCCTAAAACAGCTCTCAGTTCTGTGGGAGCTAATTTTTGTCCAGCTCCTGTCCAACCTGCCAGGTTTGTGGGGCCCAGAGGGGATTTGGGCTGACTCATCCTTGTTTTGTGTTTGGTCCCACATACAGTCTGCCTGTGAGCTTCATGGAGAAGGGGCCCTTTGGGCCCAGGCTTGGAAAGGGTGGGGAAAAGGTAGGGGGCCTTGATCCTTTCTGAAATTGCCATCCCACAGCTCCGCAACTGGCCGTGAAGACGCCCCTAAAGGCAGTGGAGGCAGTAGAGGGCAGTGAAGTGACCTTTTCTGTGGACCTCACTTTGGTCTCGGCGGGCGAGTGGTTCCTGGATGGGCAAGTCCTGAAGGCCAGTAACGTGTACGAGATCCGCTGTGATGGCACTCGGCATGTCCTCACCATCCATGCAGTGCCCGCTAGCCTGCATGGTGCTGAGCTCAAGTTTGTGGCCAACGGCATTGAGAGCAGTATCCGCATGGAGGTCCGAGGTAGGGAGCCCCTGGACCCTCTGGAGACCCCATTTCCTTGAGGATGGGGTTGGGACTGTGAGGAGCTTGCCTGGGTGAGGGAGAGTCTATCAGTGGGGGGTGTGACTCCAGCCACTGTGTGAATGGATGAGGCACTTGGGGGCCCCTCATGGGGAGTCTCAGGCTCTTCTATGACTTTCCCTTTTTTCCACCCCTTCCACCTCTCTTTTCACTGGATCCTTACCACTCCTAATCTTGTCCTGTCTTCCTTCACCTTCCTGTGTCCACCCTCTGTCCACTCCCCCATAATTACCTGCACACTCATTTTCTGTCCACTTTCCTCTCTGCTGTGCTTTTCTGCCCATTTCACTTGTTCTTTCCCCTTTGCCCACCCCCTTTCTTTGTTCATCTTCCATTTTCCCCAGCAGCCCCAGAACTGCCCACAAAGCACCCAGCAGCTGCACAGGAGGTGCTTGTCCGACTGCACGAGGAGGCGAAGCTCCTGGCTGAGCTGTCAGACCAGGCTGCGGCTGTGACGTGGCTGAAGGATGGCCGTGTACTGCCCCCAGGCCCCAAGTATGAAGTGCAGGCCATGGACAGTCGGCGGGTGTTACTGGTGCGGGACGTGGTGCGGGACGATGCCGGCCTCTATGAGTGTGTCAGCCGTGGGGACCGTCTTGCCTACCAGCTGTCTGTGCAAGGTGACGTCCTTTGGAGATTGGGCAGGCGGGGATCAGTTTTCTCTCTCTCTTTTTTTTTTTTTGCTTTTTGGGTCACACCTGGCGATGCTCAGGGGTTATTCCTGGCTCTGCACTAGGAATCACCTCTGGCGGTGCTCAGGGGACCATATGGGATGCTGGGATTCGAACCCGGGTTGGCCGCGTGCAAGGCACACGCCCTACCCGCTGTGCTCTTGCTCCAGCCCCGGGGATCAGTTTTCTCACTGTGACCACACAGCCTATGTCACAGCTCTGCCAGTCTCTGGGAGTCTGGACAGCTAAAACCAATATTCTTTGGCCCTGTGGGGAGTTGGGAACGTGCAATCCTGCCAGTTCCATGGGTGTAGGGTGGGGTTCTGCTGTTTCATGGGAAAGACCTTCCTCGGTGGTTTGCCATTTGGACTGGCTGTCTCTGCAGGGGAACCTGGTGGGGCTGGTATCCAGGGCTCCTGTGATCAGGACTGTGAAATCCTAATCCTGTGCTCCATCCTGGTCCCTGCAGGGCTTACATCCTTCCTGCACAAAGACTCGACGGGGGGCTGTGTGGATGCAGTGGCTGGGGGCCCTGTCTATTTCGAGTGTCAGACCTCAGAGTCCCAGGCCCATGTGTGCTGGTACAAGGATGGCAAAGAGCTCAGCCGTTCCAGCCAGCACTTCACATTGGAGGACCAGGGCACGTGGCACCGGCTGCGAGCTACCTCGGTTACCAGGCAGGATGAGGGCACTTACTCGTGCCGTGTGGGTGAGGACTCTGTGGACTTCCAGCTGCGTGTTCATGGTGAGCATCGCCGCCTCCAAGGCTTGGTGGGGAGAGAGCAGGTCAGGCTGCATCTAACATTGGTGAGGCTGAGCTGCCTGACCTGCCTCTGGTGCGCATGAGGGGCTGGAGCTTCTCAATTTAGGAAAACAAAAGGTTCACAAACTAATGTTAAAGGAGAGGACAGTGCTAGAAAATCCAGGGGAGGAAGGACTTCAGGCTGACCGCAGAGTACCTGTGCTTCCAGCTCCTGCGTGCTTATGACCACTGCCTGCTCTGTCCTGAGGAGTCTCCTTTGTTGGTTTGATGCTGGTGCAGGAAAGGTGCTTTTGAGCCCTTTCTTATGCTGAGGAGGGGGCTCAGTGCACCTAGAGTTGCCAAGAGAGTTTGTGGAAGGCAGGTCTCAGTCTGTAGTCCCTGGCTCTTCCCAGAAATCTTGGGCCCTAATACATTCTTCTTCTTTTTTTTTTTTTTTTGTGGGGGATTCACTCAGGAATTGCTCAGGAGCCTGGCAACCACTCCTTGCAATTCTTTGCCAATAAAATCTGGTGATTTAATGTATGGGCCTGAGGATGTGGTGCTGCTTAGATCTTGCAGTGCCAGGGACCACCTGGCCCATCCCAGTGATGCTCAGGATTCAGCAGGACCTCGCATGGCAATGCTTAGGCAGTTAAATGGTGAAAACAGACTAATCCCTGACCTATCTCCCTATCCCCTCATGACATATTCTGAGGCATGCTTTGCTCCTCACTGACCTCAGAGAGTCTAGGTGAAGCCCCTAAACTCTCCTTTCAGCATATCTACTTGTGGTGCAGTGAGACTGTCACTTCCTTTTCTGGTATATGTAGAGACATTGAGACATTTGTACCGGGGGAAGCTGCCATATGCAGCAGTAACCATGCAGGGCCTCCACAGTGGGAACTCAGACTTATTGGGATCTAGAGTGTGTGGCAGTTGTAGGATTGTGTCTCTTCTTGTCCTCAGAGCCCAAGGCGGTGTTTGCCCAGGAGCAGCAAGCAGGCCAGGTGGTGCAGGCTGAGGCGGGGGCCAGCGCCACCCTGAGCTGCAAGGTGGCTGAAGCCCAGACAGAAGTGACGTGGTTCAAGGACGGGAAGAAGCTGAGTGAGAGCTCGAAAGTGCGTGTGGAGGCCCAGGGCTGCACGCGGCGGCTGGTGGTGCAGCAGGCGGGGAAGGCGGATTCTGGGGAGTACAGCTGTGAGGCCGGGGGCCAGAAGCTCTCCTTCCGCCTGGATGTCACAGGTCAGTGTGGGTGGTGAATTGCCTGTTGGGTGGGGCAGGTCTGGCTGTGGTCCAGGTGGTCTCTGCCTTGGTCCTGCTGGAGTGGGCTGATCTCGTGCGTCCTGGTGGGGCTGACTGGGGTGATGGGGATGACAGGTGATGACTGAGAGGAGGTGCAGTGTGAGGGTCCCCCTGGCCATTAGCACCATCATGTGCCTGTGGTGACCCAGACAGATGGAGGAGCAGGTCTGGCTATGGATTTCACAGGCAGCTTCTCTGAGCCCTGTGCCTGGTCATGGTGGGCACAGGTGGAGGGCAGAGCAGGCCTGGGCTCGGTACCGGGGGCTGTGCTGTCCCTGAGAGCAGCCAGTGGTGGCTGGACAGAGGTGGGAGGCACGAGGCCGTGGCCTGTCAGCTGTGTGTGTGTGGCTCAGGTGTGCAGAGGGAGGCAGCGGGCTGCAGGTGAGAGCATTTACTGTCCAGCAGGTCAGCATCCCTGCGGGGCCCTGCCTGGACCATCACCTGCAGACATAAGCTGGGTCTGATCCAGGCCTCTGACTCCATGTCCCTCTGTCTCCAGAGCCCAAGGCGGTGTTTGCCAAGGAGCAACCAGCAGGCCAGGTGGTGCAGGCCGAGGCGGGGGCCAGCGCAACCCTGAGCTGTGAGGTGGCCCAGGCCCAGACAGAAGTGACATGGTTCAAGGACGGGAAGAAGCTGAGTGGGAACTCGAAAGTGCGTGTGGAAGCCCAGGGCTGCACGCGGCGGCTGGTGGTGCAGCAGGCGGGGAAGGCAGATTCTGGGGAATACAGCTGTGAGGCCGGGGGCCAGAAGCTCTCCTTCCGCCTGGACGTCGCAGGTCAGTCTGGGGTTCTAACTACATTTATGTGGATGTGCAGTGAGGTTGATTATTGTCCAGTGGACCATGTGCTCTTTCTCAGAGATTGCATCTCATGTTTCCTACTTTTCATTTTGTTTGCTGCCTGTTGTGGGGCCCAGTGATTTGGAGTTTAAGTATATGTGTGGAATTGTGTGCGTGTATATGGGGGTGGGTGGGAATTCTTATAAATTTTCTCTGTTATTTTGGGAGCCACACCCAGTGATGCTCTGGGCTTACTCCTGGCTCTGCACTCAGGGATCACTCTTGGCGGGGCCCAAGGGGACCATTTGAGGTGCTTGGGATCAAACCTGGGACAGCTGCAGGCACAGCAAATGCCTGACCTGTTAGACTATTTCTGCAGCCCCAGAAAGAAGCACATGTTGAATCCTGCCTGATGAGTTCTCAGTATTTATTGATAGATAAGAAGATTATCATCTTTCTCTTTGGTGATGTGCTCTGGAACATTATTTTACTTGGCTGTGTTGAGCTCACCTGCATCCCGCCTCAAACAGATGGATGATTCTCTTGATGAGATGTTGCTTGATTTGCCAAGGTTTTGTGGAGGAGTTTTTGCAGTTCTTTTTGTTAGCGGATTGGTCTGTAGGTTTCATTTTTATGCTTTTTTCTGGTGTGGGATGAGAGAGACTGATGTCTAGATGATGCATTAGGGTGTGTACCCTCTTTTTTATTTTTTGAAGGTTTGAGCAGGATGGGAGAAATTTTTCCACAGTTTGTAGGTTTCCCTGGTGAACCCTCTGATCAGACTTGTTATTCTCAGAGATGGTAATGTTTCTCTTTCTCTGCTTGTGATGGGTTGGTCTGTTTCAGCCATTTCTCTCAAGTGTTCAGTCCTGGGAGGCTACCAGATACTGTTTGCCCATTTCTCTTAGAATTTCCAGTCTCTTCTGTATAGATACCTTGTTTGTTTGTTTTTGGGTCACATCCAGGGGTGTTCAGGATTTACTCCTAGCTCTGCACTCAGGAATCACTTTTGACAGGCTCAGGGGTCCCTGTGGGATGCTGGGGATCAAACCTAGGTTGGCTGCATGCAAGGCAAATGCTTTACCCACTGTACTATCGCTCTGACCCCTATATAACCTTAATCTTATTTTTTTCCCGCTTTTTGGGTCACACCCGGAAATGCATAGGGATTACTCCTGGCTCTTCACTCAGGAATTACTCCTGGCACTGTTTGGGGGATGCTGGGAATTGAACCCAGGTCGACCATGTGCGAGCAAATGCCCTACCCGCTGTGCTATTGCTCCAGCCACTGTAACCTTAATCTAATATTTAATTACGTTTTTTTAGTTAAATACTAGTTTTATGGGATATGAGGCTAGCAGTCCTCTCCACTTCTCTGCATTTTTGCCTTGAACTCCTCCCTTATATCTTGTGAAAGACCTGTGTAGTTGAATCCTACTTGTAAAAATCTATCTAGCCATTCTGTGTGTTTTGATGATTACATTTGAAACTGACTGATATTCTTTTTTTTTGGGCGGGGGAGGTGTGGGGTCTGGTGTACTATATTTCTGTTATTGCCTTTTCCCACTTGTTTCTGTATGTCTTTTGGATGTGTTTTCTTGTTGATTCACTCAGTTTCATCATTTTTTCTTTTAAGTCTTTGGTCCAGAGTTTTATGGTTACCATAAAAACTTAAAAATTTTTGTGTCCTTAGTATTGTCTATTTTGTGCTGGTATTGATTGGTTCTCTTTAGAATAAGCAGATTCTGTTTCATTTTTCCTTTCCTTTTGATATTTTATTTTTGACTTATTTACCTCTTGTTTCTGAGTCTACTAACCTGTTATAACCATGCCCAAGGTTTCATGGACTGGAGTTCCTTTCTGCATTTTTTCTTTACAGCACAGATTCAGTGATGATAAATTCTATTAGTGTTCGTTTATCTGCATACTTAAATAATAGTTTTCCGAGCTAGAGCATTATTGGTTAATTTTTAAAAATCTTTTAGAACTGTGACTGTGTTATTCTTCTCTTTTCTGGCTTGTACAGTTTCTGCTAAGTCTGATGAAAGCCTGATCGAAGTGCCTTTGTGTGCTACTTAATTTTTTTCCTCTTGCCAACTCTAATACTTGTTATTACCTTTGATTACTTTGCATGATGTGTCCTTGTGTCTAGAAATATGTCTGTTATGTCAGTTTAATGCCTTAATATGGCACGTTTGTTCCCTTCTCTCTCCTCACCTCTTGGTGTCCCCATACCCTGGTATTTCCCCATCTATTGGAGTCCCCAGTTCTTCTCCTTCCTCCCCTGAGTCGTGGCTGGAATTTCGGCTTCACTCACATCTTCCTTGGTGATTTGGAGCCTCTGTGTTGTTGTTTCCTGGGAGGTTTTCCTTTGACTTTGGAGTTTGTCAAAGCCAGCATTGTGTGCGGTGTTTCCTACCTTTTCTCCTTTGCGTTTCCTTTCTCATTTTGTTAACTCTTTCGCTCTGAACTCGGTGTGCCTTTGGTGTTTTTCCCGGCTTCCTTCACAATGGTTATTTAGACTTGTCTGAGAGATGCTGAGTTTCTGTGGGGCTCAGGTTCCTTTCTGAAGGCTGCCTCCGTTCTGTCCCTAAGTTTTATCTTTGGGGCATTTTTTTGTTCTTCCACCAGGAGGTGCTACAGCTCTAGGTTTGAGAATCCATTTTGCTTCTCAGGACCCCAGTGTGTGTGGGGGGATAGGGGTGGATTTATTGAATCCATCCTCATGCAGAAAGTAGACCCACACACCTTACCTTAGGGCTTTCTGAATCCTTCTCTCCTCTGGAAGGAGTCTGAGGTGCCTCGGATGTTTCTGTTGCCCATGTCCAGACACCTGCCCTGCTGGGCTGACAAGCTGATACAGCCTTGGTGATCCAGATTTCTGGTGTCCGGAGCCCTTACAACTCCCAGCTGGGACAGTGAATGTGTCTTTACCTCCTCAGGGTCCCTCTGGGCTTCTGGAGCCCTGAGTGGCCTCAAGGTCCTGCCGAGTCCCACCCTGGGTGGCTCTGACCTCGTTTGTCCTTTGTCCAGGCAGCATCAGGAGCAGCAACCTCCATCCCTAACTGTCAACAGCTCGGCTTTGAACCTCTCACCTTCAAACATGCAGGGGTTGGGACCGATCCAAGTTGTAGAAAACTCGTAATTGATCTCTGGATTTTCTAAAAGGGGGTTTCCCTTCTGCCCAGGTCTGTTCCTCCTTACTCTGGTGTAGCCCCATTGCTGTCATAATATGCTCTTAAACCAAACTAGGTTTCTCTTTATGCTGTTAGAATATTCGTTGTCCGAATGACCCATAAACTGAGACCTATACATCAGGAGCACAGAGGGGTAGGGGTGCTGTTTCACCGCAGTTCTCTCGTAGGGTAGTTCTCACCCTGTCTGGGAGAGCCCTGTTTGTTCATCTTTTTGTCTTTTTATACCTTAGAGTATAATGTGCCTCCCTCACCGGCTCTGAGGCTGAGCAAATTTTTGTTTGATCTGAGGGTCTTAGCATTAGGTCGAGTTGTCTCCTGACTGCTGACTGTCCTGGAACCGTGAGGTGTCATGTGTGGTGCTTGTGAGAATTTCATTATTGAGCTTTGTGAAATGTCATTTATATAGATCAGAGAGGGGATGGGTAGATAGCTCCAAGGTCTAAAGTGCATGCCTGGATGCCTGGGTTTGATCCCCAGCACTGTATGATCTTCTAGACAATACCAGGTTGAGTTGTCCCCTCCCCCCAAAAAAAGAGCATGGAAAATTATGATAAAGTTATAAAGTCATAATTTGGTTAAATCATAAAAACTAACAAAACTAAAGAAGAAATAAAGAGGGGTCAGAGTGATAGCACTGCGGGTAGGGCGTTTGCCTTGCATGTGGCTGACCTGGGTTCGATCCCTGGCATCCCATATGGTCCCCCAAGCACCGCCAGGAGTGATTCCTGAGTGCAAAGCCAGGAGTAACCCCTGAGCATTGCTGGGTGTGCCCAAAAAAGAAAAAAAAAGAAGAAATAAAGACTTCTGGAAATTTTAATGAAATAGAACCCATAATAAAGAAATTTTTTTGGCCACACCTAGCAGTGCTCAGGGGAATATATAGGGTGCTGAGAATTGAATCCAATTTGGCTATATTAAAGGCATATGCCCTACCTGCTGTACAATGCTCCACCCCAACAAAGAAATATTTTCACAGAGAAATTTAAGTCTACTGCCCCCAATAATATATTCTGGTCTGGGAAGAATGAATTGCATGTTGGTGGAGATTCTCCTAAAGATTAGGGCCTGGAGAGAGTACAGTGGGTAAGGGGTTTGGCTTGCACTCAGCTGACCCAGGTTGGATCCCTGGCACCCACATAATGCAGTTTATGAAGATTCCGAAGCACTGTCAGGAGTGATCCCTGAGTTCAGAACCAGGAGTAAGCCTCGAGCACCCCTGGGTGTGGCCCCCAAACAAACACTCTCCACCACAAAAAATCCAAAAACCAAAAAAAAACCCAACCCAGTAAACTTCTGAATATTGGAAAAAGGAAAACATACCAACACTTGTAGTATTCAGGATAATAACACTGAACTCTTAGAAAGAAATGCACAGAACTGAAATTACGGTTTTAATAATCCCAATATTTACTAATAAATTTTGTTTAAATTTATTTAAATAGAAAATTTCATGGACCTGACTTTAAATTATTTAATTAAATTTATTTAAGTAGAAAATTTCACGGACCAGTTCACTTCCTGGCATTACTGGGTGTGGCTCTGGAAGTGCCTGACCTCTGATGGCATCACCCTATAGGCCTTGGTCTTGGTCGCATTGCTCCTTGGAGCACTAGCTCTGACTTCTTGGAGCATTTGCACTGAACTTCTGGGCTGTCTGATTATTTCTGAGAGTGGCCTGGGGTCCCCTGAGTGGTCATTCCCCTCCCAATTTGAAGTTGCACTCCAAAAGAAGATATTGTATTAAATCTAATATAATGCAGTATATGAAGATCCCAGTATGCTTGTTGGAGGTTGTCAATTTCTTAGAGTAATGGTCAAAGTTAAGATAATTAGAAAGTATAACACATTTAAAATTTATGCTAGCAACAACCAACACAAAAATGAAGTTTTAATGTTTTACATTATCATCAAATGTATTGTTTTTGGATTTCCAAGTGAAGTAAATGATGTTTAAGACCTTATTGTCCTGCTGTCTTGCCGACCAAGCTTTCTTTCCTCCACATTGTCCTCCTAAACCCCAGAGTTGAGGAGAAAGCACGGAAGGGGTGTCTCTGGGGAGACTTCTGCAGGCCGCAGAGATGTGTAGGGCCTGGGAAGGTCCCGGGGCTCCTGTCTCTCTGTGCTTGCTGCGTTTCTGATTCAACTGGTGTCTGATCCTGTGTTCCTCCCTGTCCACAGAGCCGAAGGCAGTGTTTGCTCAGGGAAAACCAGAAGGCAGGAAGGTGCAGGCGGAGGCGGGGGCCAGCGCCACCCTGAGCTGCGAGGTGGCCCAGGCCCAGACAGAGGTGACATGGTTCAAGGACGGGAAGAAGCTGAGTGAGAGCTCGAAAGTGCGTGTGGAGGCCCAGGGCTGCACGCGGCGGCTAGTGGTGCAGCAGGCGGGGAAGGCGGATTCTGGGGAGTACAGCTGTGAGGCCGGGGGCCAGAAGCTCTCCTTCCGCCTGGATGTCACAGGTCAGTGTGAGCGGTGAATAGCCTGTTGGGTGGGGTGGGTCTGGCTGTGGTCCTGGTGGTCTCTGCCTTGGTCCTGCTGCGAATGGGCCGACCTCATATGTCCTGGTGGGGCAGACCTGGGGTGATGGGGACCATGGGTGATGACTGAGAGGAGGTACAATGTGGGGGTCCGCCTTGCTGTCAGCACCCCCATGTGCCTGTGGTGACCCAGACAGATGGAGGGGCAGGTCTGACTGTGGATTTCACAGGCAGCTTCTCTGAGCCCTGTGCCTGGGCATGGTGGGCACAGGTGGGGGGGCAGTGCAGGCCTGGGCTCGGTACCAGCGGCCACGCTGTCCCTGGGAGCAGCCAGTGGTGGTTGGACAGAGGTGGGAGGCACGAGGCTATGGCCTGTCAGCCGTGTGTGCGGGGCTCAGGTGTGCAGAGGGAGGCAGCGGGCTGCACGTGAGAGCATGTGCACTGTCCAGTAGGTCAGTATCCCTGCGGGGGCCCTGCCTGGACTATTGCCTGCAGACATGAGCTGGGTCTGATCCAGGCCTCTGACCCCATGTCCCTCTGTCCCCAGAGCCCAAGGTGGTGTTTGCCAAGGAGCAGCCAGCAGGCCAGATGGTGCAGGCCGAGGCGGGGGCCAGCGCCACCCTGAGCTGTGAGGTGGCCCAGGCCCAGACAGAGGTGACATGGTTCAAGGACGGAAAGAAGCTGAGCGGGAGCTCGAAAGTGCGTGTGGAGGCCCAGGGCTGCACGCGGCGGCTGGTGGTGCAGCAGGCGGGGAAGGCGGATTCTGGGGAGTACAGCTGTGAGGCCGGGGGCCAGAAGCTCTCCTTCCGCCTGGATGTCACAGGTCAGTCTGGGGTTCTAACTGCCTCTGTCACAATTAGTTTTGGAGTTGATGATTGTCCAGTTGATCATGCCTTTTTACCCATGAGATATAAGCTTAATTCTCTCACATTCTCTCTATGTTTCCTGCTTTTGCTTGACCCCTGGAGTTTGTAATGAAAGAATGTTTGAAAAGGTATGATTTGTTCATGGGTATCTCAGTTGCTGTTTCTGTGTTATCATAGAATGCGACATCCCATCAGCAGTGGCCACAAACATTTATGTATTCAGGACTCTTGCTGTACCTGTCCTTGATTTTGTGAGAGACAAGTAATATCATCCTTGGAGACTATTGTGAAGTGTTCAAAACGTTTCTTTATTCACCACAGCCTCACTTACAGGTTCTGTCTACTAAGGATCTGTTGGATCATTGAGTGCGACCCTGAGTATATTTCAGCCTCCTCATTCTTCTTGGTATTCTGCTAGAAAATCAGGTTTAGTGTGACATATTTTATGGCCTCTTTAAAATGCACTTTGTTCCTTGTCTCTGTTAGAATTCTATCCTTGTGTGCCTGTACAATATGGTGTATTTATTTTATAGAACCTCCCAGGTGCCTAGCACTTCTGTACCTCCCTGGGTGGCTCATGGACTTGCAGATAGCTGATTGATTTTCCTTTCATGAAGTTTTCCTACCGAGAGTATCCCGCCTGCATGGCAGAGCCTGGCAAGCTCCCTGTGGCGTATTCAATATGCCAAAAACAGTAAAAACAAGTCTCACAATGGAGTCGTTACTGGTGCCCGCCGAGCAAATCGATGAACAGTGGGAGGACAGTGCTACAATGCTGTAGAAGTTCTCCTACATGGCAAACACCAGTAATGGCAGTCCTCGTCTGAGTTCTAGGGGCCAGTCCAGTAGCTTGGATTTATGTCAGTGACTTATAGGGGTGAATCGATACCAAAAACTCACTCTGCCTACATCTTTGCCAAGTGATATTTTAAAGAAAGTGTCAGGCTGTGGTGTGGCTTAGTCGTAGAGCATATATTCCTTGTGTGTGGAGGTTCAGGGTTTCGCCCATAGCACAGCAAAAACAAAAGATGATAAGGAATTTTATTATTAAAAATATGTAAAGTTTTGACAGTTTGGCCAGGTCTTAGGAAACAATGTCAGAATTTATCCCAGGGTCTATGGAGACAGCTCAAAGCAGTAGAGTGTAGACTTTGCATGTGGGAGATGCCAGGGTCAGTCCCTGGCATCACCACATGGTCCCCCCAAGCACTGAGGTGGAAGTGGCCCCCTGAACACCTCTGAGTGTGGCTTCAAAACCAAGAGAAAAGAAAACCTGATCCAAGAATGATTAGACAAATTTACCAGACTTATTGTAGATGTTTAAATAAATGGAGTCAAAGTAAATAACCAGTGGTCACTGTGCACCACGACAGGATGCTGAAAGGCGGTGAAGGGATCTGCATGATACCCTTGGAAAGGAAAGGAAAAGGCAGTGAGAGAAAGGCAAACAAAGTGCCTGCCATAGAGGTGGGCTTGGGACCAGGAGGGAAACTGGGGACATAGGTGGAGGGAAGTGGTCACTGGTGAAGGAATCAGTGTTGGGACAGCCTAAAACTCAATCATGAATAACTTTGTGACTTCGTAATTGATGACGATTCAATTAAAAAAATCTGGTGTTTAAAAAAAAGTATAACTAGGTGTGCCTTTTTATGGCAAATGCTACCACAAGAGACACCAAGTGTCTCGCCACTTGCTGACTCCTGGAAAGCAGTGCCCTTGGTGAGAAAATAGCTCCAGGAAGCTGCTGCCACAGCTTCTGGGTACCATTTCTCAGAACAGTCAGAAAATGATACGAAAGATGTGAAATATGGAGGAAGGGCTGAGGTCGAGTGGTATCCCAAGTGGCTCAATGATAGAGCATGGCCTTGTATGTGTGAGGTCCTGAGTTTGAGTCACAGACACGCATGATCTCCCCACCTCTGTGGTGTGGTACCCTCAGCACTGCCGGGAGTATCTCCCCAAGTTCTAAGTAGCATCGCAAATGCTGCTGATTGCGGGCTCCCCAAAGTGGGGGAGAAGCAGAATTCCAAGATTATGTGAATAACAATTTAGAATATCTAATAATTTTAATGTAAGAAAGATTACTTATAAAAATTAATATGCAGAAAGTACTTTTTTTTGTTTTGGGGCCACATCCAGCAGTGCTGCTCAGGACTTACTCCTGGCTGGCTTGGGGACCATATGGGGTGCTGGGGATCCAACCTGGGCCAGCCACGTGCAAGGCAAATGCCCTCCCCACTGTATAATGGCTCTGGCCTCTATGTGCAGAAAATACTCCTATATCTAAATGCCAACAATACGGTTATACCATGCTATTAAAAATACTGTGTTCTTTTTTTTAATTTTTTTCACATTTTGGGTCACACCTGGAGATGCACAGGGGTTAATCCTGGCTCTGCACTCAGGAGTTACTCCTCTGGCGGTGCTCAGGGGACCATATGGGATGCCGGGAATCGAACCTGGGTTGGCCGTGTGCAAGGCAAATGCCCTACCCACTGTGCTATCACTCCAGCCCCTTAAAAACAATACTGTGTCACTGTTACTGTCACTGTCCTCCCATTGTTCATCGATTTGCTTGAGCGGGCCCAGTAACGTCTCCATTGGAGGCTTTTGTTGTTACTGTGTTTGGCATATTGAATACATCACGGGTAGCTTGCCAGGCTCCGCTGTGTGGGCGAGATACTCTCGGTAGCTTGCGGGGCTCTCTGAGAGGGGCAGAGGAATAGAACTCGGGTCGGCCATATTGGCTGCGTGCAAGGCAAGCGCCCTACCGCTGTGCTATTGCTCCAGCCCAATACTGTGTTCTTAATTTCAATTTTAGTAAAGATGTCTGAGACTTATTGGAGGAAAATTAGTTTTTAATTTTTGAGATAGTAAATAAAAGAAATGGATAGGTATTCGTGGAAGAATCATATGTAGTCACATTTCATCAATATCCAGTAAGTGTATTTTTTGGGGGATTGAAAATGGACAAGCAGATTCCAGAGGCCATGGAGAGCCCAATTCAGTCTTGAAAAGCAAGAGCACTGAGTATATATCAAGAATAACCCTGAAGCAAGAGCATTACAGATAATGAAGGGAGTTTCCAGTAGTCCAGTAGTCTGAGTTCCCCAAAAGACTGCTGAATAAATGGGGCCCCTCGTGTCCTCTTTTTTTTTTTAAATTTTTATTAGTGAGACACCATGAGGGACAGTTGTAGACTTACAAATTTTGTGCTTGGGTTTCAATTATACAATGGTCAAATACCCATCCCTCCACCAGTGCCAAACATGATTGCCACTCGTGTCCTCTTTTAATCACCAGTTCTGTATAGGCACTGGAGGAAGAGTGCTCTTTTTCTGTCATGTAGTGTCGTATAGGTAACTCACACGATGCTGAATAGTAACCTCCAGGGATTAGAGACCTCAGTGTAAAAGATAAAGCCACAAACACTCAGGTGGTTACTTCGCTGTATGGTAACTTCAGGGGATGCAGAGATCTTTTTTCTGTCATTGTGCTTCTATAATTTTTCAGTACTGTCAGTGGTAGGGTTTCATGCGTACAGTCTTCCAACTCACACCCCATCACCTGAATGTCTGTTTCTCTCCGCCACTGTCCCCACTCAGTCCTCCACCCACCTCAGTTCCCTCTAGACCACGCCCCCCCCCCAAAGTCTCTCCACCATGGTGAGCTCCATTCCATAGATCAATTTTGAGGTTCTGTTCCTCTTGGTCAGTTGTTATTCCTTATCCGTACTTCTTTATATCCCACATATGAGAGAGATTGTTCTGTGTCTGTCTCTGTACTTCTGGTTGACTTTACTCATGCATGCTACCTACCTGCCATTTCTATCCATGTAGCAGCAGATTGCACAATTTCATCTTATAGCCCAGGAGTATTCTGTTGTGTGTTATCTACCACAGTTTCTTTATCCAGTCACCTTTCTTTGGACACTGGGGTATTTGCAGATTTTGGCTCTTGTGAATAGTGTTGCAATGAACATAGGAGTGAATGTCTTCTGAATAGTTTGTGGGCCCTTGGGATAAATGTCCAGAAGTGGGATTGCTGGCTTATATGGAAGCTCAATTCTTTTTTTTTTTCTGAGAGGTGTCTAAATTGTTTTTCAAAAGGCTTGAACCAATTGACATTCCCACCAGCAGTTTATGAGGGTTTCTTTCTTCCCCCACCTGTGCCAGAACTGGTTACTTCCAGTCTTTTCAGAGTATTCCAGTCATACTGGTGGGTATGTAGTTATCATGTGGTTATCACACCAAAATTTGCATTTTCCTATGATCAATGGGGCAAGAATTTTTTAATATATGTACTTGGCCACCTGTATCTCTTCTTTGAGGAAGGTTTTTTTTTTTAATTTTATTGAATCACTGCGACATAGTTACAAGCTTTCATGTTTGGGTTACAATCACACAATCATCAAACACCCATCCCTCCACCAGTACACATGCCCCACCACCAATCTCCCTGGTATACCCCCCCCTCCTTTCCCACTCTCCTCCTGCCTCCATGACAGACAATATTCCCCATACTCTCTCTCTACTTTTGGTCATTATGGTTTGCAATACAGACACTGAAAGGTTATCATGTTTGGTCCTTTATCTACTTTCAGCACACATCTCCCATCCCGACCGCTTCCTCAAGCCATCATTTTCTTAGTGATCCCTTCTCTATTCCAGCTAACTTCTCCCCTTTGCTCATGAGGCAGGCTTCCAGCTGTGGAGCAGTCTTCCTGTCCTGTGTATCTACTATCCTTAGGTGTCAGCCTCATGTTATGTTGTTGTATACTCCACAAATGTGTGCAGTCCTTCTATGTCAGTCCCTCTCTTTCTGACTCATCTCACTTAGCATGATACTCTCCATGTCTATCCATTTATAAGCAAAGTTCATGACTTCATCTCTCCTGACAGCTACATAGTATTCCATTGTGTAGATGTACCAAAGTTTCTTTAACCAGTCCTCTGTTCTAGGGCACTTGGGTTGTTTCCAGATTTTGGCTATTGTGAACAGTGCTGCAATGAACATATAGGTACAGATGTCATTTCTACTATGCTTTTTTGCATCCTTGGAATATATTCCCAGAAGTGGTATTTTGGGGGTCATATGGAAGCTCAATTTCTAGTTTTCTTTTCTTTTTTTTTTGCTTCTTGGGTCACACCCGGTGATTCACAAGAGTTACTCCTGGCTCTGCCCCTAGGAATTACCCCTGGCAGTGTTCAGGGGACCATATGGGATGCTGGGAATCGAACCTGGGTCAGCCACATGCAAGGCAAACACCCTACCAGCTGTGCTATCACCCCAGCCCTCAATTTCCAGTTTTTGAAGGACTGTCCATATTGTTTTCCAGAAAGGCTGGACTAGTGGGCATTCCCACAACAGTGAAAGGGTGCTCCCTTCTCCCCACATCCATGCCAACACTGGTTGCTTTAGTTCTTTTGAATGTGTGCCAGTCTCTGTGGTGTGAGATGATTGTTGTTTTGATTTGCATCTGTTGTTTTGTTATTGTTGTTTTGATTTGCATCTCCCTGATGATTAGCAATGTGGAGCATTATTTCATGTGTCTTTTGGCCATTTGTATTTCTTTGTTGAGGAAGCTTCTGTTCATTTCTTCTCCCCATGTTTGGATGGGTTTGGAGGTTTCTTTCTTGTTCAGTTCTACTAGTGACTTGTATCTCTGTTATCAGATGGGTATTGGGTAAATATTCTTTCCCATTCCAAGGGCTCTTGGAGAGATTTCTTTTTTTTTTTTTTAAATTTTTTTTATTAGTGAAACACCATGAGGTACAGTTGTAGATTTACAATTTTTTGTGCTTGGGTTTGATTATACAATGATCAGATACCCATCCCTCCACCAGTGCCCATTTTCCACCACCATGGATAATATCCCCCCCACCCCCATCCCCCCATCCCCCCCTGCCTCTGTGGCAGGGCAATCCCCTGTGTTCCTTGGAGAGATTTCTTAAATAGATTACTCAAACATGTTTTTATATCTGATATATTAAAACTTAAACTATGATTTGTTCAATGATATATTAATGAAAAGGCAAATCATAGAATGGATGCTTGTAAATGTTCACTGGAAATCTCTGACCTAAAAGCTGATGGAGACAGATACTGCTGTTGGGAGTCAAAAGGTTCAGTAGTAATGCCAGAGGTGGTACACACTAGTAACCAGAAAAACAGAAAGCATCCTGGCCCCAGAAAGTGCTTCTCTGAGGAGTGTGTGCAGGAAGAGGTCTTAGACCGTGGGGCTCCTGGAGCTGAGGGCAGGTACGGATGAAGCGAGCCTGGGTACAGAGTTGTGGGAGCATTTGTGATTTACAGCACTCGAGCAGAGCTCGAGTCTTCTTGCAGGCTTACATTTCCCACAGTGGCCCCTACTTAAGCGGTGTCTGACCCTGTGTTCCTCCTGTCCCCAGAGCCCAAGGCGGTGTTTGCCAAGGAGCAGCCAGCAGGCCAGGTGGTGCAGGCTGAGGCGGGGGCCAGCGCCACCCTGAGCTGCGAGGTGGCCCAGGCCCAGACAGAGGTGACATGGTTCAAGGACGGGAAGAAGTTGAGTGAGAGCTCGAACGTGCGTGTAGAAGCCCAGGGCTGCACGCGGCGGCTGGTGGTGCAGCAGGCGGGGAAGGCAGATTCTGGGGAGTACAGCTGTGAGGCCAGGGGCCAGAAGCTCTCCTTCCGCCTGGATGTCACAGGTCAGTGTGGGCAGTGATTGGCCTGTTGGGTGGGGCGGGTCTGGCTTTGGTCCTGGTGGTCTCTGCCTTGGTTCTACTGCGAGGGGGCTGACCTGGTGCATCCTGGTGCGACAGACCTGGGGTGATGGCGACCGTGGGTGATGACTGAGAGGAGGTTCAATGTGGGGGTCCCCCTGGCCATCAGGAGGTTCAATGTAGGGGTCCCACTGGCCGTCAGCACTCCCATATGCCTGTGGTTGACCCAGACAGATGGAGGGGCAGGTCTGGCTGTGGATTTCACAGGAATCTTCTCTGAGCCCTGTGCCTGGGCGTGGTGGGCACAGGTGGGGGGCAGTGCAGGCCTGGGCTCGGTACCGGGGGCCGTGCTGTCCCTGAGAGCAGCCAGTGGTGGCTGGACAGAGGTGGGAGGCACGAAGCCGTGGCCTGTCAGCCGTGTGTGGGGGGCTTAGGTGTGCAGAGGGAGGCAGCAGGCAGCAGTTGAGAGCATTTACTGTCCAGCAGGTCAACATCCCTGTGGGGCTCTGCCTAGACCATCACCTGCAGACATGAGCTGGGTCTGATCCAGGCCTCTGACTCCATGTCCCTCTGTCTCCAGAGCCCAAGGCAGTGTTTGCCAAGGAGCAGGCAGCAGGCCAGGTGGTGCAGGCCGAGGCGGGGGCCAGCGCCACCCTGAGCTGCGAGGTGGCCCAGGCCCAGACAGAGGTGACGTGGTTCAAGGACGGGAAGAAGCTGAGCAAGAGCTCGAAAGTGCGTGTGGAGGCCCAGGGCTGCACGCGGCGGCTGGTGGTGCAGCAGGCGGGGAAGGCGGATTCTGGGGAGTACAGCTGTGAGGCCGGGGGCCAGAAGCTCTCCTTCCGCCTGGATGTCACAGGTCAGTGTGAGCGGTGAATAGCCTGTTGGGTGGGGTGGGTCTGGCTGTGGTCCTGGTGGTCTCTGCCTTGGTCCTGCTGCGAATGGGCTGACCTCATATGTCCTGGTGGGGCAGACCTGGGGTGATGGGGACCATGGGTGATGACTGAGAGGAGGTACAGTGTGGGGGTCCCCCTTGCTGTCAGCACCCCCATGTGCCTGTGGTGACCCAGACAGATGGAGGGGCAGGTCTGGCTGTGGATTTCACAGGCAGCTTCTCTGAGCCCTGTGCCTGGGCATGGTGGGCACAGGTGGGGGGGCAGTGCAGGCCTGGGCTCGGTACCAGCAGCCTCGCTGTCCCTGGGAGCAGCCAGTGGTGGCTGGACAGAGGTGGGAGGCACGAGGCTATGGCCTGTCAGCCGTGTGTGCGGGGCTCAGGTGTGCAGAGGGAGGCAGCGGGCTGCACGTGAGAGCATGTGCACTGTCCAGTAGGTCAGTATCCCTGCGGGGGCCCTGCCTGGACTACTGCCTGCAGACATGAGCTGGGTCTGATCCAGGCCTCTGACCCCATGTCCCTCTGTCCCCAGAGCCCAAGGTGGTGTTTGCCAAGGAGCAGCCAGCAGGCCAGATGGTGCAGGCCGAGGCGGGGGCCAGCGCCACCCTGAGCTGTGAGGTGGCCCAGGCCCAGACAGAGGTGACATGGTTCAAGGACGGAAAGAAGCTGAGCGGGAGCTCGAAAGTGCGTGTGGAGGCCCAGGGCTGCACGCGGCGGCTGGTGGTGCAGCAGGCGGGGAAGGCGGATTCTGGGGAGTACAGCTGTGAGGCCGGGGGCCAGAAGCTCTCCTTCCGCCTGGACATCACAGGTCAGTCCTGGCTTCTCTGTTTTTGGGAGGGGCAATGGGTTGACTATTTCAGTGACCCTTTTTAAAAAAATTACTTTGTTTTCAATTCAATTCAATTTGAGCTTGTTTTTTGTTTAATTTTTGGCCACACTCAGCTGTGCTCAGGGCTTACACCTGGCTTAGTGCTCAGAGATCACTCCTGATAGGGCTTGGGGGACCCTTTGTTGCGCCAGGGATCGAACTTGGGTCAGCCACATGCAAAGCAAGCACTTTATCTGTTGTGCTATTGATCTAGCATCATAATTAAATTTGATTCTTAAGTTGTGTTATTTATTTTAAATTATGTTATATTATATTTTATTATTATTTTTTTTTGGCTTTTTTGGGTCACACCCAGCAATGTACAGGAGTTACTCCTGGTTCGTACACTCAGGAGCATTCCTGGTGGTGCTTGGGGGACCATATGGGATGCTGGGAATCAAACCTGGGTCTGCTGTGTGCAAGGCAAACGCCCTCCCTGCTGTGCTATTGCTCCAGCCCCAAAATTATATTTTATTTATGTGTGAAAAGTTTTTATATGGAATGCTTTATAGATTTGCAAGTCATCCTTGCATATGGGTCATGCTAATCTTCTCTATCATTCCAGTTTTAGTTTAAGTACGAAGTTAATATATTTATCTTATCTAAATCTATAGCTAATTAAATTAATAAAAGGTTTTGTTTAATTTTAAATATTATTTTTAAATTTATTATAGTATTTTTATTTAAAAATACATTGAATTGTATTTTAAAAAGCTTCCTGTGTGTATGTGTGGTTTTTCTTTTCTTTTTTCGGTTCGGGGGGGGGGTCTTACCTGATGGTGCTGATATCCTACTCCAGGTAGGAGGATATGGGGACCTTATTGGGTATTGAAACCAGGTCAGCTGCTTGCAAGACAAGAGCCTTCCCTACTGTACCATCTCTCCAGTAACTTTAAAGTTGGGGCTGGAGAAAGAGTACAGTGGCCTGGGTGCTTGCCTTCTTGTGGCCAACCATGGTTCAAACCCCATCATCCCATATACAGGCCCATCAAGAATGATCCCTGAGCGCAGAGCCAGGAGTAAGCCATGAGAACACTTAGTGTGGCCCCCAAAACAACAGCAACAAGTATACATATATATGTGTGTGTTTGTATACATATGTTTGATTTCATTTCTTTAAAAATTTTGACTATTTTAAATTAAATTTAACCTATAATAATTTTTTTGTGCTTTGTTTTTGGGGCATACCTGGTGGTGTTGTGCCAGGAATTGAACTCAGGTTGGCCACGTGCAAGGCAAACCCCTTGACAGCTGTATTGTCATTCCCTCCCATAATTTTTTTAATCTAAATTTTAAAATTTTATCTCACTTAATTTCAAAATATTTATTTTATGTTTAAAATTATCCTTTGTTATTTAAAGATTTATTAAAGTTCTTATTATTTTCCTGATTTGTATTTTTAATATTTCTAATCTTTTTAATTTTAGTTTGTGTATTTTAATAAACAGTTTTGTTTTGGGGGCTGGAGAGATAGTACAGCAGGTAGGGCAAATGCCTTGCATGCTACTGACCTTGATCCGGGTTAAATATTTGATCCCCAATCCCCAGCACCTCATATGGTCCCCTAGTCCCACCAGGAGTGATCCCTGAGTGCAGAGTCAGGAGTAAGTATTGAGTACCATCAGATGTGCCCCCTCCCCTGCAAGAAAAAAAGCATCTTGTGATCCCAAGATCAAGGTCATCATTGCTCAGAGGGTGTGAGGAGACAATTGTCCCTGAACCAGTAAGCATCTGGATTGTAGCATCTGATGATGTGAAGATTCCTAAAGTAATATTTTACTGAGAACAAGCATATTCCCTGTGGCAGAAAGCTCTGGGTGTGGAGTTCTCTGCTCAGAAGCAGCTGGTGACAGGGCAGGCTTCTGGCCAAAGCAGTGTGACGTGGAGACTGGGAAGTGGACTACCACCTGTTTCTAGAATTTTGTCTTTAACCTTGTCTCTTCCTGTCCCCAGAGCCCAAAGTGGTGTTTGCCAAGGAGCAGGCAGCAGGCCAGGCGGTGCAGGCCGAGGCGGGGGCCAGCGCCACCCTGAGCTGCGAGGTGGCCCAGGCCCAGACAGAGGTGACATGGTTCAAGGACGGGAAGAAGCTGAGTGGGAGTTCGAAAGTGCGTGTGGAGGCCCAGGGCTGCACGCGGCGGCTGGTGGTGCAGCAGGCAGGGAAGGCGGATTCTGGGGAGTACAGCTGTGAGGCCGGGGGCCAGAAGCTCTCCTTCCGCCTGGACGTCACAGGTCAGTTGGTTTCTAACTGCATTTATGGGGCTGGGCTTTCAGTGGACCATGTGCTCTTTCTGGGAGGTTGCACCTCATGTCTCCCATCTTCTATTAGTGGAAGGATGCATATGAAATTATGGGTGTATGTGGGCAGTCATTCTGTTTTATTTTTATATATTTGTTTGTGGGCCGCACCCAGCGGTGCTCAGGGCTTACTCCTGGGTCTCTTATGTATTGCTCTTGGTGCTTGGGGAACCATATGTGGTGCTAGGTATCGAACTCAGGTTGGCTGTGCATGGCAAGCACTTTACCTGCTCTGCTTTGTGGTGTGTGTATATCTCTCATTCCAGGGTCTCTTCATCTGGGTAGTCTGCACTGCTTTGCATGGTGCTGCTTACTCCCTTTTTCTCAGGGAGTAAACACCAAGCCTTATGCTTCCTTCAGTGCTGGGTCTAGAGATCCAATCTTGCTTGGACTCAGCAGTGCTGGGGGTCACAGTACACACTGGGGGTAGGGGTAGTGAAGGGCACAGTGGTGCTGGGAGTGGGGAGTGGACATGTGCTAGGGATTGAGCTCAGGGCCTTGTTCGTAAAGGGCATGCCCCCAACCTCTGAGTATCTCTCAGTGCTGTGGTTCAAATGATTTATTTCATTTTGTTTAAACAGTGCTTTATTGATTCTACCATTTTCTTAGTGGTGTCTTTAGGGCTCTATGACTATTAAATATGCATATATAAGATATGTATTTTATGTTTTTTTCAAATAATGATATTCAGACTTCTTTTCTAATTTGGATTTCTTTGTTTTTCTTGTCTAACTGCTGTGTTGGAACTTCTAGTACTATGTTGAATAATAGAGGTGATAGTTGATATCCTTGTGTCTGTTCTTATTTTTTATTTTTTTCTTGTGCCTGATCTTAGAGGAAAACCTTTCCATTTTTTCTCTGATATAGTGTTAGCTGTGGGTTTGCCATATGTGGACTTTATTCTATTGATGTACTTTTCTTCTATTCCCATTTTGTTGTGATCCTAAGTGGATCGTTCTTTGGTTTGGGTTAGTTTCTTTGGGGTGGGAGGTGTTTGGTGGTATTCAAGTACTCCTGTCTGTTTTGCTCTCAGGGGTTGCTCCCAGTCATGCTTGGACAGCTGTACGGAGTCAGGGTTCCAGCATCCTGCATGCAAAGTGTGTAGTCAGCCTTGGAGCCAGGTCTCTGGCTGGGGCTTGTCAGAGGCTTTCTCCGCATCTGTGGATAGAGAATTGTAGGATTGTTGTCCTTTCCTTTGTTGGTGGTGTATTACAGCCATTGGTTTGCATAGGTTGAAACATCCTTGTATCCCTGGAATAAACCCCCTTTGTTCATAATGGGTAATTCTTCCCCTTTGCTTCTGTTTTATACATGCTCAGTTGCAGTGCTGGCTAAACTGAGTTTCTTTTTACTTTTTTTTTTTTGTGACGCACCTTATGATTTTGGGCAACTCTGGTCTTCTAGATACTGGAAGAATGCCCATTTCTTCAATTTTTTTTGAAAAGCTTGAAAAGGATAGATAGTAAGTTGAAGGTGTGGTAGAACTCACATTGTAAATCCATCTTTATTTGGACTTAATTTTTTTTTTGGCTGAACTTTTGATGACTGTTTTAACTGCCTTGCTTTCAATTGGTCTACTTAGGCCTACTCGTTTTTCCTGATTAAGTCTATTTTTGGTTTGCTTTGTTTCTGGGCCATAATCCGCAGGGTTCAGGGGATACTCCTAGCTCTGTGCTCAGCAATTACTCCTGGCTGTGCTTGGGGAACCAGATGGAGTGCTGGGGATTGAACCTGGGTTCGCTGCATGCAAAGCAGTGCCCCACATGCTCTGCCGTCTCTCCAGGCCCCCTTACTCAGTCTTGAGGCTGTGAGGCTAAGAATTTGTCTAATTTTTGTTTTCCACACTTATAATAGTGTAATAGTAATTAATAAATTTGTTCATATAGTCTTTTGCAATCTTTGTAATTTCTGTGGTATCTGTTGTAATGTTTAGTTTCTGAGTCTATTAGGGTTTTCTCTCCTTTTTTTCTATAAGGCTACCTAATTGTTTGTCAGTCTTGTTCTTTCAAATAACCAGTTATTGCTTTCATCAACCTTTTATATTTTAAGTTTCTATTTTATTTATTTCCATATTTTTTTTTGTTATTGTCCCTGTAAGGATTTTGTATTCAATTTGCTGAGACTTTCTGTTAGTCCATTCTTTTCAAGGGCATTTCACTTGGAAATTTTTTTTATTTGGGCCATATCTGGAGATCCTCAGAGGTTATTCTTGGCTCTGCACTCAGGAATAACTCCTGGCGGTGCTCATATGGATTGCCAGGGATTGTACCCAGATTGGCCACGTGCAAGGCAAATGCCCTACCTAGTGTACTATCTCATTGGCCCTGTGAATATTTTTAAACTTATTTTTCTTGTGGTTGGAGGCCACAGTACAGCAGGTAGGTAATTTGATTTGTTTATGTCCCACCTAGGTTGATCCCTGGCACCTCATATGGTCCCTGAGTGCACCAGGAGTGATCCCTGAGTGCAGAGCCAGGAGTAAGCCCTGAGCACTGCTGAGTGTGCCCCTCAAGCCCTCCCCAGAACCCAAAACTTTCTTTTTCTTTCTTGGTGGTGAGGGGGAACATATTGATTGATGCTCAGAGATTACTCCTGGCTCTGTGCTCAGGCATCACTTCTGGCTATGGGGACCATTTGGGCTGCCAAAGATCAAACCAGGGCTGTCCATGTGCAAGGCAAGCACCCTGCTCGCTGTTTCATCTCTCTGGACCCACACTTGGAACATTTTGTAATGTCCATTTAAAGTCCTTTTTAGGTATATCCATGTCTGTGTCACCTTAACAATGGTATCTTTTAAGACTCCTTCCCTCACGTGTCCGTATTTCTTCAGGAGACAGGTAGCTTTGGATTGTATCCTGGGTATGTTTATTGAGCTGCTTATCTCAGCAGAAGGTAGAGTTCAGACTGTGGGTCGTGAAAGCCTTCCTGGGTGATCTTTCCAGATCTGCCAGACTGCATGCAGGGCGGCTTGGCTCTGACCGGAACATGCTCCCCCTGCTGGTGGGTATGGCCTGAATACTGGCCTGGCCCTAATTCAGGGATCGTGTCCTTGGTGTGTGCTCTTAGGCTAGATCCACTCATACAGGCCCAGAGTTAGTGGTGAAGTCCTTGAGTGACCACTATCTGTGCCGCTGGCAGCTTGGGTCTTCTGTTTCATTGCTGCTGTCAGAAAGCTGGAACTTGAGGTTTGCTGTTCTGATGTCTGACCAGCATCGACCAGCATTGGGAGGACAAGAGGAGGACGATAGAGGGCTCCTGTTCTTTTTTAGGAACAAGCCCCCTTCGCTGGGGAGAATGTCTTATATGTCTCTAATTATCATGCCTGCGGAAAGTGCAGAGCCTTGAAGTCTAAGCATTTGTTCTAGTCCTCACACCCTGAAAGAGCTGAGGAGCCTGTTTCTGGGCTGTGTAAGACTGGGGTGAAGAAAGGTCTGGGAATCACCTCTGGGAAGGTGAGACTTGGGGCACTGCTTCCCCCCAAATTTGCTACTGTTAGCTCTGAGTCCTTAAGTTCCCCATGCCTTTGGGGCTGTGATAGTGACAGTAGATGGTTTGGTCCAGATTGAATTGTGATTCGGCACTCTGTAGCCAAACCCAAGCCTCGATGCCTGTCATGTGGGACAATCCTATGTGTCCTTGCAGTGATTTATAGTTCGTTTGGGTAGATTTTGAGGTAAAATTCTGTGCCTCTGAGAGATATGAGAGTCTGGGCTCAACTAGGGAGCAGAGTAGCCATGTAGTTCCCATCTACTCTTTCCTAAGTGCTTTCACCATCACTGTCTCACCAGCTCATGTAAACACACGTGCATGTTCACTCTTACATACATATACAGATCTTAAAGATACAAGCTCAACACACTGGTGCACATTTAACACACTCACACATAGACTCATGCAACATACAAACAGTGTGTATATATATATATATACACACACACACATACACATACATATATCACCAAATACATCGTAGACATAAAGCACAGTGTCATCAGGAGTGATTTTGTGAAAGGCATGTCAGACACCATATCCCTTTGGGTTAGTTTGTGAGCCCTTCTTTTTTTTTTTTTTTTTTTTTTTTTTGCTTTTTGGGTCACACCTGGCGATGCACAGGGGTTACTCCTGGCTCTGCACTCAGGAGTTACTTCTGGTGGTGCTCAGGGACCATATGGGATGCTGGGTATCGAACCCGGGTCGGCCGCGTGCAAGGCAAACGCCCTACCCGCTGTGCTTATCTCTTCAGCCCCTGTGAACCCTTCTTTAAGTGGGTCACACAAGTAGCCATGGTCTAGTGAGGCCTCCCTTGGACCTGTGACTACACTGGGGCACAGATGACTCGCTGTCCATTCTGCGAGGTCTGATGAGCCAGCTATGGTCTCAGGAAACTGTTGACTGTGTGGTTGGATATTTTGTTTGCTTCCCTCTGACGGTATTGTGAGGATTTTCTGGGAAGTCTTAAAAAAGAAAATGGTGATGTGAGGTTATGGTTTCAAAGGTGAGGTTTATTAGCTGAGAGAACAGGTATATAAGAGGCACATGTGGGTTCAAGAATCTCTCCTGGGGGCATAAGGGACTGTATGAGGTGCTGGGATTGAACCTGGGCTGGCTGTATATAAGGCAAACTCCCTACGACTGTACTATCGCTGCAGTCCTAAGAAGGAAGACTTAGATGGCCAGGCCTACCCAAGGCAGTGGTCACGGAATGACAGGAGCAGTTGGGGGACATGTGGTTGAGTACAGTGAACCTGAAGGTTTGCTTCAGGTGTATGCAATTGAATTGATGGAGGAATTCCTGTGTGAGGTGTGGTGGTAGGTGGGACAGGTGTACTGGGAGGAGCAGCTAGTCTGCATGGTTGTCTGGTGTCAGCTCTTTGGCTGTGGTTTCTGCAGTGCTGAAGAAGGAGCTTGGGAGTGGAGATATGGATGGTGGAGATACAGGTTAGATGTTGGGGAGCCTGGCCCTGAGGTGGCATGGAAGAATGGGATGCTGGCAAGAACTGTACCAGGTGACACTGGGAAAGCTGGACCAGACAGGTGGAGAACCAGAGAGGGCCTGTTAAGCAGCAGTAACTACTGAGGCCAGATTGAAGTGGCTGTGGATCATGATAGAAAAGCAGTGGTCAGAATGGGCCCTCACAATAACATCATATGAGGCAAAACAAATATGATCAAGCTCCTTAGGACCTCTGGGACTGGAGTGGTGGTACAGTGGGTAAGGCACTTACCTTGCACATGGCCGACCAGGGTTTGATCCCCAGTCCCCAGCACTCCGTATGGTCTCCTGAGCCCCTCCAGGATGATCCCTGAGTGCAGAGCAAGAAGTAAGTCCTGAGTATTGCTGAATGTGGCTCCCCCTGCCCAAAAAAGCACCTTTGGATCCCAAGGTCAAGGTTGTGATTGCTCGGAGGATGCAGACTGTCTGAGGAGATAAGTGTCTTTGGGCCTTCAGTGCTCAGAGATCTCCATCACTTGGTGATATCATTATGGAAAATTATTTCTGAAAATAAAATACATATTCTAGGCTACACACTGCATATCCTTTTGTTTGGATAATGATAAGATCACGGAACCAGTAAGCTTCTGGATTGTAGCATCCACTGATGTGAAGATTCGTGAGGTGAAGGGCTCACTGAGAACAAGCATATTCCCTGCGATGGGAAGCTCTGGGTATGGAGTTCTCTGCTCGGAAGCAGCTGGTGACAGGGCAGGCTTCTGGCCAAAGCAGTGTGACGTGGAGACTGGGAAGTGGACTGCCACCTGTTTGTAAAATTTTGTCTTTAACCTTGTCTCTTTCTGTCCCCAGAGCCCAAAGTGGTGTTTGCCCAAGAGCAGCCAGCAGGCCAGGTGGTGCAGGCCGAGGCGGGGGCCAGCGCCACCCTGAGCTGCGAGGTGGCCCAGGCCCAGACAGAGGTGACGTGGTTCAAGGATGGGAAGAAGCTGAGCAAGAGCTCAAAAGTGCGTGTGGAGGCCCAGGGCTGTACGCGGCGACTGGTGGTGCAGCAGGCGGGGAAGGCGGATTCTGGGGAGTACAGCTGTGAGGCCGGGGGCCAGAAGCTCTCTTTCCGCCTGGACGTCACAGGTCAGTGTGGGTGGTGAATTGCTTATTGGGTGGGGCAGGTCTGGCTGTGGTCCTGGTGATCTCTGCCTTGGTCCTGTTGTGAGGGGGCTGACCTCGTGCGTCCTGGTGGGGCAGACCTAGGGTGATGGGGACCATGGATGATGACTGAGAGGAGGTGCAGTGTGGGGGTCCCCCAGTCTGTCAGCACCCTCACGTGCCTGTGGTGACCCAGACAGACAGAGGGGCAGGTCTGGCTGTGGATTTCACAGGCAGCTTCTCTGAGCCCTGTGCCTGGGCATGGTGGGCACAGGTGAGGGGCAGTGCAGGCCTGGGCTCAGTACCGGGGGCTGTGCTGTCCCTGGGAACAAGCAGTGATGGCTGGACAGAGGTGGGAGGAATGAGGCTATGGCCTGTCAGCCATGTGTGTGGTTCTCAGGTGTGCAGAGGGAGACAGCGGGCTGCAGGTGAGAGCGTGTGCACTGTCCAGAGGTCAGCATCCCTGCGGGGGCCCTGCCTGGACCATCGCCTGCAGACATGAGCTGGGTCTGATCCAGGCCTCTGACCCCGTGTCCCTCTGTCCCCAGAGCCCAAGGTGGTGTTTGCCAAGGAGCAGGCAGCAGGCCAGGTGGTGCAGGCCGAGGCGGGGGCCAGCGCCACCCTGAGCTGTGAGGTGGCCCAGGCCCAGACAGAGGTGACGTGGTTCAAGGACGGGAAGAAGCTGAGCAAGAGCTCGAAAGTGCGTGTGGAGGCCCAGGGCTGCACGCGGCGGCTGGTGGTGCAGCAGGCGGGGAAGGCGGATTCTGGGGAGTACAGCTGTGAGGCCGGGGGCCAGAAGCTCTCCTTCCGCCTGGACGTCACAGGTCAGTCTCGGGTTCTAACTATGTTTATGTGTGGGGGCAATGGGATTGACTATAGTTCACTGACCTTTAATTTTAAAATTATTTTAAATTTAATTCAGTTTGATTTTTAAAAGTCATTTATTTTAAATTGAATTCTATATTTTATTTACTTAAAATTTATTTTATGGAATGCTCTACAGATTTGCTTGTCATCCTTGCATAGGGGGGCCATTCTTATCTTTTCTGTATTGTTCCAATCTTGGTATATGTGCTGTTGAAGCAAACACAACTTTCAGAATCAATGTATTTATCTTATCCATCTTTGGTTTTTATTTTATCAAATTAATTTGAAGTGTTTCTAAAATTTTATTAAGATTATATTCAAGATTTACTGGTTTTGGCTTGGGCTGGAGCGATAGCACAGCATTAGGGTGTTTGCCTTGCGTGCAGCCGGCTCTGCGGAGCCGGGTTGGATTCCTTTGTCCCTCTCGGAGAGCCTGGCAAGCTACCGAGAGTATCTCACCCGCACAGCAAAGCCTGGCAAGCTACCTATGACGTATTCAATATGCCAAACACAGTAACAAGAAGTCTTACGATGGAGACATTACTGGGCCCACTCGAGCAAATCGATGAACAACAGGAGGACAGTGACAGGTTTTGGCTTATCAAATATGCCACAGATAGCTTGCCAGGCTCTGCCATGTGGGCGGGATACTCTCGGTAGCTTTCCAGGCTCTCCGAGAGGGATAGAGGCTTTTAGGGCGGCCTCTAATTGCCCTTGCAGGTGTTCCCATGGTTCAAACCATATTTGTGCCCTATCAAATATGGTGCAGCAATCCTGGAAGATGTTGTATTAAGTGTCTTATGATGTGTCGCAAGGCTACGAGCTGCTGTGTGATCCAGAAAGTGTCCTGGAGCATGGCGGCGGCTGGGTAGTGGAGGTATTGGAGGTAGTGGAGGTCTGCCAGGGAGGTATTTATCTGGAACCGGTAGGGGGGGTCTGTGGCGTATTAGATATGCCAAAACCAGTAAGTACAATGGGTCTCATTCCCCTGACCCTGAAAGAGCCACCAATACGGCAGCGTTAAGAAGGATGAGGAAGGAGAGGCTGATAAAATCGCAAGGCTGAACTAGGCTGCCAAAACGAAGAAAGACAAAAATGACTGTCTGTACTTTCAATGCACGTACGCTGGCATCGGATGCATCCATCGAGGACCTGATGGTACAAGCGCGAAAGATCAAGTATGACATCATTGGTCTGACCGAAACAAGAAGGCATCAATCACATCACGCCGTTTTTGACACTGGAGAAGAACTGTTCCTTGGAACGTGAGACAAAAGAGGCATCGGAGGTATCGGTGTCCTTGTCAATATGAACTTGGCCATGAGCATTGATTCATTTGATTGCCTAACAACCTGAATTGGACGATAACACTTGAATAGATGTGGCTCACTGCCGGCAGTTTCTATCTTCATTGTCTACGTACCAACATCCAATTATGATGAAGGAGAAATTGAGAAGTTCTACATGGAGCTGGAGAAGTTCTATAAAGAAGACCACACCTTCTACAAGATCATTGTCGGTGATTTTAATGCCAAGATAGGACTGAGAAGATCAGCCGAAGAACTCCACATCGGGACCCATGGCCTAGAATGGAACAAACGGTGAGAGACTATCTGAGTTCATCATGTCGACCAAGACCATCCATGGTAACTCACAGTTCCAGAAGGCTGAATCTAAACGTTGAACTTGGGAATCTTCTGGTGGACAGTTGCACAACAAAATTGACCACATCATATTCAATTGATGGTTTTGCCTGACCGATGTCGCTGTTGTCCCAAAATTCCAAACAGGATTGTACCACCATCTCCTTCATGCAAAATTCTACTTCATGGAGCGGGGAGAAAGGGCTGCAAAGTTTAAGAAGAGAACTCCAAGAACGACCACCAACTGGGAGCTCTTTGGCACTATTGCGGCAACATGGGAAGATGCCATCATTGACAACATTGATGAGGAATACGATTGACTGGTTCAGCACCTCCATGATTGTGCGAGGAACACCAAGAGAGAGATAGCCACAAAAAAAGCCTGTCTTTGAAAACTCTTGAGCTTATTTGCCAATGTGGCTTGGTACAAGCCTCAGGCAACCGCAAGTGAACGTCTGAGCCTGCAAAGCAGTGCAGAGAAGCAATAAAGGAAGACCTCAAAGAGAGAAGAGCAGCAGTGCTGGCAGATGTGGCAGAAGCTGGGAAAAGCATTCGCAACATCTGCCTGTCCTTTGCCAACTGTAGGACCAAGATGACTATCCTCCGACATCCTGATGGATCTATCACATCTTCCAGAAGATCAATGGAGAAGATTATTCATGACATCTACTCGTATCTCTTTGATAGCCATATCCACCTGCCCACATACCAAATTCCGCAGGATGGATATGTCATTCCCAACGTTCTCCCTTCCAAAATCCGACACGCCAATTTGTCAGTAAAGAAGCGAACAGCACCTGGCTCAGACAAGGTCAGATCCAAACACCTGAAGAATCTGCTGTTGGTACTCATCAATACACTGGCTCGGCTCTTCACACGCTACCTGTCTGAATGCAAGGTTCCATCCCAATGGAAAACCAGCAGGACTGTACTACTGTGCAAGAAGGGAGACATCCACAACATTGGCAACTATCGCCCAATGTGCCTGTTGTTTGTCGTCTATAAGCTGTTCACTCGAGTCATCCTGAATAGGATTGGCAGAACACTAGATGAAGGACAACCATGCGAGCAAGCCGGGTTCCACAAAGGGTTCAGCACAATCGACCATATCCACACAATAACCAAGCTCACTGAGGTTTCTCGGGAGTTCAAGATTCTGCTCTGTCTAATGTTCATTGATTTAAAGAAGGCCTTTGATTCTGTTGAGATGGAAGCAATCATCAGAGCCCTGGCCACACAGGGCATTCAAACTCAATAGCTCAGGATCCTCCATGAACTGTATTATGGATTCACTATCAGGATCTCATCATTCTACAAAGAAGTGATCATCCATGTGAAGAGAGGGGTTCGACAGGGTGATACCATTTCACTGAAACTCTTCAGTGCCACCCTCAAGAACGTCATGCAATGACTGGAATGGGAAGGAATGGGAGTAAAGATAGATGGTCAGCAACATACCACCTCCGCTTTGCTGATGTCATCGTTTTAATAACACCAAACATTAGCCAAGCAGCACAAATGTTGGCCGACTTCGACTGTGAGTGTGGAAAGGTCAGACTACAGCTGAATCTCATGAAGACAGCTTTTATGAGAAACAGTCTCGTTTCTGATGTTCCACTCACTCTAAATGGAACAAACATCTCCAAATGCAAGTTATGTGTACCTAGGTCGAGAAGTCATCATGATGAATGACCTGGCACCTGACTTGCACAGGAGGAAGAGAGCTGCTTGGAATGCCTTCAAGAGCGTCGAAGAAATAGCTAAGAGGATGAAGAACCTCTGGCTCTGGGCACATCTCTTCGATTCCACTGTTCTTCCTGCATTAACATATGCCTCAGAGACCTGGGCCCTACGCAAACAGGATGAGAATGCTATTTGGGTCTCCCAAAGAGGAATTGAAAGAGCTATGCTTGGAGTATCACGCTACACTCAAATGAGAGAAAGAATTCGGAGTTCTGACCTCCGTCGACGATCAAGAATCAGGGACGCTGTCTCGTTTGCCAAGGTGTCAAAAATCAGATGGGCTGGACACATAATGAGATTTAGAGACGACCACTAGACTAGAGCCATTACTGACTGGATTCCATGGGACATCAAAAGATCACGTGGCCAGTCACCTACGAGATGGTCAGACTTCTTCGTCAAGACCCTGAACGATCAGTTTGAGGCTCTTCGTGTTCCTAGAATGAGCAGACGCCATTGGGCTATACTAGCACACAACAGGGACGAATGGAGACGTCACTGGTGCCCCTCTAGCAAATCAATGAATAATGGGATGTCAAGTGCTTAAGTGATATTTAAGATTTATGTTTAGTTTTAAATATTGCTGTACATTTTGTTTTTATTTTTAAATTTGTTGATATATTTTTAATTATAAATGTATTGAATTTCATTAATTTTTTTTGTGTATGTATTTTTTGTTTGTTTTGGGGGCATACCTAGTGGTTCTCAAGGCCTGCTCCTGACTTTGCACTTAGGGATCATTTTGGCACTCAGGAATACTTTATGGTGTTGTGATTAAACCCAGGTCAGCTGCTTTCCAGAAAAGTGCCTTCCTTGCTGTACTCTTTCTCCAGCCCTTAAACATTATTTTATTTTATTAGTGAAACACCATGAGGTACAGTTGTAGACCCACAAATCTTCGTGCTTGGGTTTCGATTATACAATGATCAAATACCCATCCTTCCACAAGTGCCCATTTTCCACCACCATGGATAAAATCCCTCCCACCCCCATCCCCCCATCCCACCCTGCCTCTGTGGCAGGGCATTCCCTTTTGTTCTCTCTCTCCCTTTGGGTGTTGTGGTCTGCAAAAGAGGCATTGAGTGGCAAACATGTTCAGTCCATAGTCTACTCCCAACACGCATCTCCCCTCCTGGGATGAGCCTCCAAACACCCTTTTTTGGTGCTCCCTTCTCTATCTGAGCTGCCCTTTCCCTTAGAATACCCGGCTGGCCTCTAAGCTATGGAATAATCCTCCTGGTGCTGAACTCAGCTATTCTTGGGTATTAATCTTATATTTTGTTACTTTATATCCCCCAGATGAATGCAATCTTTCTACGTCTATCCCTCTCTTTCTGACTCATTTCACTTAGCATGATACTTTTCATGTTGTACCACTTGTATGTAAATTTCATGACTTCATCTTTTCTAACAGCTACATAGTACTCCATTGTATAGATATACCAAAGTTTCTTTAACCAGTCATCACCATTTGGGCATTCAGGTTTTTTCCAGTTTCTGGCTATTGTAAAGAGTGCTGCAATGAACAAACAAGTGCAGATGTCACTACGACTATATATTTTTGCCTCTCTGGGATATATTCCCAGGAGTGGTATTGCTGGGTCAAATGGGAGCTCAATTTCTAATTTTTTGAGAAACGTCCATATTGTTTTCCAAAACTGCCCTTAAACATTTTTTAAGTGGGGCCGGAGAGTAGTACAGTGTCCAGGACGCTTGCCTTGCACCTTGGGCAACTTGGGTCCAACCTGGCATCCCTTATGATCCCTCAAGCCTGCCAAGACTGCTCCCTGAATGCAGAGCCAGGAGTTTTCCCTGAGTACCACCAAGTGTGGCCCCCAAACAATAAATAATATATATGTTTCAATTTAATTTTTACTTCCTTAAATTTTTTTATTAATTTAATTCTTTTTTTTTTGCCTTTTTGGGTCACACCCACGATGCGCAGGGGTTACTCCTGGCTCTGCACTCAGGAGTTACTCCTGGCGGTGCTCAGGGGACCATATGGGATGCTGGGAATCGAACCGGGGTCGGCAGCATGCAAGGCAAACGCCCTACCCTCTGTGCTATCTCTCCAGCCCCTGATTAATTTAATTCTTAATTACATTTTACTTGTTTTTGTTTTATTTAGATTTCTAAATTTTATTTTACCTAATTAAAATTTTTGTTTAATGTTTAAAATGTTTAATTTTTTAAATTTTATTTATTTTTTGGCTTTTTGGGTCACACCTGGCAATGTACATATGTTACTCCTGGCTTTGCACTCAGGAATTACTCCTGGTGGTGCTCAGGGGACCATATGGGATGTTGGGAATCAAACCTGGGTCGGCCGCATTCAAGGCAAATGCCCTGCCCACTGTACTATCCTCCAGCCCCTAAAATTAAAAAAATTTTTTTAATATAATGATCAGATTTTATTTATTTATTTTTAAAATTTTTATTAATGAGACATCATGAGGTACAGTTGTAGACTTACAAATTTTGTGCTTGGGTTTCAATTATACAATGATCAAATACCCATCCCTCCACCAGTGCCCATTTCCCACCACCATGGCTTAAAATTTTTATTTTTAATAATTAAGTTTTATTTTTATTATTTATATCTTTTATGGGCTAGAGCGATAGCACAGCGGTAGGGCGTTTGCCTTGCACGCAGCCAACATGGCCAACCCGAGTTCGATTCCTCTGCCCCTCTCGGAGAGCCTGGCAAGCTACCGAGAGTATCTCGCCTGCACGGCAGAGCCTGGCAAGCTCCCCGTGACGTATTCGATATGCCAAACACAGTAACAACAAAGTCTCCAATGGAGACGTTACTGGGCCCACTCGAGCAAATCGATGATCAACGGGAGGGCCTTTACTTTACTTTTACTTATATCTTTTATATAATTTATTTTTATGTCATCTTAAGTCTTAAATTTATAAATGAAGTTTATACGTTTAACTATATTTAAATAAACATTATTTTGTTTTCCAGGACAGAGAGTTAGTACAGTGATAGATGGGGCTCTTACCTTGCACATAGCTGACCCTAGTTTTATCCCTGGCACCCAGAATGGTCGCTGAAGTCTGCCAGGAGTGATTCCTGAGTGCAGAGCCAGCAATAAGCCACTGGTACCCCCAAGCTCCTGAGCTCCTGAGTCCTCCCGTTGTTCATCGATTTGCTCGAGCGGGTCCAGTAACGTCTCCTTCATGAGACTTATTGTTACTGTGTTTGGCATATCGAGTACGTCACGGGTAGCTTGCCAGGCTCTGCCGTGTGGGCTAGATACTCTCGGTAGCTTGCCGGGCTCTCCAAGAGGGGCGGAGGAATTGAACTCGGGTTGGCCATGTTGGCTGCATGCAAAGCAAACGCCCTACCGCTGTGCTGTCGCTCCCAAAACAAACTAAAACAAAAGCATTTTATTAATTTAATAAACTTAAAAAATTTGTCTAACATTTTCATTGATCACTCGACTTCCCATTAATCGTTGATTTGCTCAAGCGGGTGCCAGTAATGTCTCCATTTGTCCCTGTCATGTGCTAGTGTAGCCCAGTGGCGTCTGTTCTAGGAACACGAAGAGCCTCAAACTGATCGTTCATGATCTTGATGAAGAAGTCGGACCATCTGGTAGGTGGGCGGCCATGCGGTCTTTTGACGTCCCGTGGAATCCAGTCGGTAACGGCTCTAGTCCAGCGGTTGTCTCTAAATCTCATTGTGTGTCCAGCCCATCTGATTTTTGACGCTTTGGCAGATGAGACAGCGTCCCTGATTCTTGATCGTCGACAGAGGTCGAAACTCCGGATTCTTTCTCATTTGAGTGAAGCGTGATATTCCAAGCATAGCTCTTTCGATTCCTCTTTGAGAGACCCGAATAGCGTTCTCATCCTGTTTGCGTAGGGCCCAGGTCTCTGAGGCATACGTTAATGCAGGAAGAACAGTGGAATCAAAGAGATGTGCCCGGAGCTGGAGCTTTTCAGTTGTATTTAATTTTGGTTTTCAGTTGTATTTAATTTTGTATTTTTCTTCTACCATATCTGGTGGTACTCAGGGCTCACACCTGGCTCTGTACTTAGGATCACTCTCTAACAGGGATCAGCGGACCAAATGGAGTGCAGGGATATAACCTGGGTCAACTTCCGCAAGGCAAGCACCATATATGTTTTTCTATTAAAACTTTTATGAATACATTTTTATTTTAAAATGATATTTAAAGTATAACTTAAAAAAATTTTTTTATTAGTGAGACACCATGAGGTACAGTTGTAGACGTACAAATTTTGTGCTTGGATTTCAATTATACAGTGATCAAATACCCATCCCCCCCACCAGTGCCCATTTCCCACCATAACTTTTATATTAATAAAACAGTTGTTTTCTAATGATGATTTTTTAAAAACAGTACTTGGAAAATCAAGGATGTCCAAGACCAGTTAGCATCCTAGAAACTTGCTCATACCAGGCTGGGGGTGTGTGTATTGAAATTGACCAACAGATCCAGTGTCATGCAAAAGCCTCTGTTCTCCTGAAGGGCAGCAGGCCTACACTGCGGGGCGCTGCAGCTCAGACAGCACAGCACAGAATGGTGGTTTCAGAAACATCTGTGTGATAGCACACTCCCCTCCTCTGTGTAGAGTGCAGAGCTCTGTAAGGCTGAGGGAACACTGGGGGCTTGGTCTGTGGGGCTCTCACCATTCCACCTTGAATATGCAGGGTGGGAAAAGATGTCTTGAAAGGACATAATCACGGAAACAGCCAGCCATGTTTTATTTCACTGAAAACCTTGATTTATCAAGATGTGACTTAGTGAATGAGAGGCGGGCCACACAGGAACGTAACACAGTAAATGAAGATGGAGTCTTGGACACAGTACCCCAGAGCCAACGGGGAAATGCAAATTGGGTGTCCAGAGGATCCTTGCTCACCTCATTCAAGAATAGGAAGAAACTGAGTGGGAGCTCAGAAGTCTATGTGAAGACCTGAGCTTTAGATTTCTCCTGGATGTGATCAATCAGAATGGCATCCAAGATCCTCAGTCAAATAAATTGAGGTTACGAGGGCTACAGATAATTAGAAGTCTCGAGCAGTGATTCCAAAGGGGCAAACCCTCAGACACTGCGGTTTTATGTCAGTCATGAGAGACTATAGGGAATAGCCACAGGACACACAGCTCCCACATTCCAGCAGTGGACACTACGGGGAGGAAGAGCTAGAGCTCAGGACACACGTGAGGGCAGCTGCTGGTTCCTGCTTGGTCCTCTGCAAAGATGACTCCTCAAGGAAGCTTAAAGCACACCATCCACCTGCTCCTGCTGTGCCTCTTCTGGGCGGGGGGCGGGGGGGTATGTGCGTGGACTGCTCTTGGGGAGGAGCTCACCAGAGCCAAGGTGGAAATAGAGATAGAGTGTTCCTGCAGTTCCTTCTGGTGGTGGGCATCTGAAGGCCACATAGCCGGGCAGCTTCTGGCTTCCAATAATCTCTGCGCAGCTGCCAGTCCACAGACCTGGCTCCCAGCCTCAACTTAACTGGTGTTTGACCCTTGTCTCTTCCTGTCCCCAGAGCCCAAGGCGGTGTTTGCCAAGGAGCAGCCAGCAGGCCAGGTGGTGCAGGCCGAGGCGGGGGCCAGCGCCACCCTGAGCTGCGAGGTGGCCCAGGCCCAGACAGAGGTGACGTGGTTCAAGGACGGGAAGAAGCTGAGCGGGAGCTCGAAAGTGCGTGTGGAGGCCCAGGGCTGCACGCGGCGGCTGGTGGTGCAGCAGGCGGGGAAGGCGGATTCTGGGGAGTACAGCTGTGAGGCCGGGGGCCAGAAGCTCTCCTTCCGCCTGGACATCACAGGTATGTCTGGGGTTCTCAGTAGCTTTGTTTAAAGGTGTGGAAGCAGTCTTACAGCATCATGGTGCTGAATAGAAGGTGAATGCACATGAGAGAGTCTCTTCCTGTGTGCCCTGAGTGGTATTTTCTCAGTCATTTTGGAATTCCTGGTGTTTAGGTCTCTGACTCCACCTGGCTCTTGGGTCTCAGGTTATCTGTTGCTTTGGGCTATATGGATGTATTTTTCACATTTTGGCATTTCCCTCTGTCCTAACCTGAGGATTCTCTCATGTTTGACTTGACGAGTACCCTACCTGACAGCAGAGATAAGTGGAAATTTCATGTTGGCCACTACATCAAGACTGCGCTTTGGGTTTTCACGTTTTTACTTATAGGAAAACACCTGTCCTTGCACATTGAGCCCTGATGTCACAAAGTCTCAATCCCTATTCTATTACAGAGTTTGTGTCAGTTAAATTGAGAGAAGTAGGAAGTCAAAGTACCACCTTTGATGTACAGCAGGGAGTTACAGCCATGCTCTTTTTTTGCGGGGGGGTCACACCCGGCGATGCACAGGGGTTACTTCTGGCTTTGCACTCAGGAATTACTCCTGGCGGTGCCCAAGGGACCACATGGAATGCTGGGGATCGAACAAGGTCGGCCAGGTGCAAGGCAAACGCCCTCCCCGCTGTACTATCACTCCAGCCCCTACAGCCATGCTCTTTCAAAAATGTTGAGTCGGGGAGATGACTGAAAGCTGGAGTATGTTTTGCATTCAGGAACCCCAGGTTTAATTCGCAGCTGATCACTGTGTGTGTGTGTGTGTGTGTGTGTGTGTGTGTGGGTCCCTCCTGCCCCCTCCAGAAGAAACCCCCTCTTAACTTTCTTTGGTAGAACATCCATCCCTGACAGCTTTTCCACTGGAGCTGAACTGTAAGAATTGAGAAATGGAGAGGGGTATACAGCTTAAGCTACACAGTAGCTTTGCTAGAGATGAGTTACTACTATTGCCACTGATGAGTGGCAAAATATTATTTATTTCCTGAGGGATGTGATTGTGTGTGTGTGTGTGTGTGTGTCCCCATTTGTCCATGTTCCTGGATGAGTCACAGAGGTATCAGCATAGTGATTTTATTTCATTAGGAGTGGATTGTAAGAGAGGTCCGTCTCAGACATAGGTCAACTGATTTCACATTAGCTCCTAATGCTATCAGAGGGCAATTGGTATTGGAACAATATAGAATGATTGATGGGGATATTGACAGCAAGAAACCCACTGAGTCAGTTCCACATTTTAACAGTACAGGATAGTGTTTTATGTCAATAAATTTGAACTCAGCTGGCCAATTTCCAAACAATGTATTGAACATTACACCAGAAGACATAAATAATCATTTTGCCCCCCAGGATGGGGTGGGTGGGAGGAGGGTGTCTCTCAAGGGGTGCTCAGGAGCCCTGAAAACCCCTCCTGGTAAGTCTTGGCCAACTGGGTTGGGGTTTTAGTGTAAGGGTCTGAGGATGCAGTGTTGCTCAGGTCATATGATATGTGGTACGGTGACTCTCTGGGTCTCTCCACAAGTGCTCTCAGGCCTCCAGGACTGCACCCAGGGATGATTGGGACCATGTGTTTCCAGGGAGTGAAATTGGGGTTGGCTAATACAAAGCACATGTCTTAACTCCTGCACCGTCGCCCAAGTCTCTCTTACAACCCTTTAAATAAATATACTAAAAGTATTTTTTTCATGCAGCCAGTAAGCTACTAGCACTAGTAGTTCATCTACTAGTAAACTATACCAAATTGTTTATTTCTAAAATGGCTTTACTTAGAAAAATGCAGGGTGAGTGAGAAGAGAGAAGGAAGGAAAAGAGGGAGAGAGAGAGAGGGAACGAGAGGGAGGAGGAGACAGAGAGAAGGAGAGGGAGAGAGGGAAAGAGGTTGTGATGTGGGGAGCAGAGAATATACCACCAAATTTTTTAGGAAAAAAATATTCATACTGATTTGTCTGGGTTGGAGCGATAGCACAGCGGGTAGGGTGTTTGCCTTGCATGCGGCCAACCTGGCTGACCCAGGTTCGATTCCTCTGCCCCTCTTGGAGACCCTGGCAAGCTACCGAGAGTATCTCGCCCGCACGGCAAAGCCTGGCAAGCTACCCATGATGTATTCGATATGCCAAGCACAGTAATAACAAAGTCTCACAATGGAGACATTACTGGGCCCACTCAAGCAAATTGATCTACAACAGGAGGATAGTGACAATGACAGTGACTGATTTGTCTAGAAAATAGGAAAAATGTATATTTCTTTTAATGTTATTTAGGAGCGTAGCATTGATTCTAAAATCTAAGAAAGATAATACATAGAACTGAAATAATAGGTCAACTCTTGTGGATATAAGTACCAAAGTCTATGTAAAATATTACTAACTTATGAGAAAAACATGTTTTGTATTAAAATATGGAATATAAGTGCTTGATAAAATTTTTACATGTTGTTTAGTATATTTTATTATAAATTTTGTATATGTTTGTGTTTTGCATAAACTAGTAGTAAAAGGATTGTTATTTAATTTACTACAGCATATTACAGCATAAACTAAGTTCTGCATAAACTAGTAATAAATGGACAGTTAGTTACTTTTATACAGGGTACTCCCGAGAACAACAGAAACATAACACTCCAAGTGCTTTCAGATTGGCAGAGTTCAAGTGGCTCCATGCCATAACCTTAATCCTACAGAGAGTTTATGTAGAAGGGTAGAAAATGATTAATAAAGTTTGCAGAAATTAAAAATTGGTCCCAGATGATTAGAGTAGTAATACAGGAATAGAAGTTGAGTGTTAGTTGAGGAAGACTGGCATATGAAAAATATAAGAAAAGACTTCTAGTGGGAAAGAACTGGAAAGTGACGTTTTAAGAGAATTGATTAGCACTGAGAGTATCATGCTTCTGACTCATGTCTGTGCCTGTCCTGGGGTGTGTGTTATTGGACAGGTTTTGGGAAGGAGCACCCCAGAGCCATGGTCGAAGTAGAGAAGTAGTTTCTGTGGGTCTGTGCAGAGAAAGTGCTGGGCATTTGCAAGCCACACAGTTGGGACATATCTGGGCCCTTAGTCTTCATGCAGAAACCTGTCTCCAGAGTTGTCCCCAACCACACAATTTCATCTTAGCTGGTGTTTGACCCAAGTCTTTTCCTGTCCCCAGAATCCAAGGCGGTGTTTGCCAAGGAGCAGGCAGCAGGCAAAGAGGTGCAGGCCGAGGCGGGGGCCAGCGCCACCCTGAGCTGCGAGGTGGCCCAGGCCCAGACAGAGGTGACGTGGTTCAAGGACGGGAAGAAGCTGAGCGGGAGCTCGAAAGTGCGTGTGGAGGCCCAGGGCTGCACGCGGCGGCTGGTGGTGCAGCAGGCGGGGAAGGCGGATTCTGGGGAGTACAGCTGTGAGGCCGGGGGCCAGAGGCTCTCCTTCCGCCTGGATGTCACAGGTCAGTGTGAGCGGTGAATAGCCTGTTGGGTGGGGTGGGTCTGGCTGTGGTCCTGGTGGTCTCTGCCTTGGTCCTGCTGCGAATGGGCCGACCTCATATGTCCTGGTGGGGCAGACCTGGGGTGATGGGGACCATGGGTGATGACTGAGAGGAGGTACAGTGTGGGGGTCCCCCTTGCTGTCAGCACCCCCATGTGCCTGTGGTGACCCAGACAGATGGAGGAGCAGGTCTGGCTGTGGATTTCACAGGCATCTTCTCTGAGCCCTGTGCCTGGGCATGGTGGGCACAGGTAGGGGCAGAGCAGGCCTGGGCTCGGTACCAGGGGCTGTGCTGTCCCTGGGAGCTGGACAGAGGTGGGAGGCCCGAGGCCACGGCCTCTCAGCCATGTGCACGGGCCTCAGGTGTGCAGAGGGAGGCAGTGGGCTACAGGTGAGAGCGTGTGCACTGTCCAGTAGGTCAACATCCCTGCGGGGGTCCTGCCTGGACCATCGCCTGCAGACATGAGCTGGGTCTGATCCAGGCCTCTGACCCCGTGTCCCTCTGTCTCTAGAGCCCAAGGTGGTGTTTGCCAAGGAGCAGGCAGCAGGCCAGGTGGTGCAGGCTGAGGCGGGGGCCAGCGCCACCCTGAGCTGCGAGGTGGCCCAGGCCCAGACAGAGGTGACATGGTTCAAGGACGGGAAGAAGCTGAGCGGGAGCTCGAAAGTGCGTGTGGAGGCCCAGGGCTGCACGCGGCGGCTGGTGGTGCAGCAGGCGGGGAAGGCGGATTCTGGGGAGTACAGCTGTGAGGCCGGGGGTCAGAAGCTCTCCTTCCGCCTGGATGTCGCAGGTTGGTGCCAGTTCAGTGCAGGAGTGAGCCAGTGACGTCTGCACGGCACATGCTCCTGTCCTGTGTGACTGTTCTCTGTGGATTCCTTGTGCGTTGGTGCTTTGCGTCTCCAAGCCTTGCTCTGAAGTTCTTCCCATGTCCCTCCTCTAGAAATGTTGCCTCCCTCTGACCAGGTCTTGTCACACTCCTCATCCCAACAGCAGCATACTCCCTAGTGAGGATTCTTCTGGCTTCTGTGGCTGAGATGCTGAGGATGGCAGACAGAGATGGCCTTCCTGTCCGGCCTTGACTGGACTCTTTCTGAGTTGGCGCAGCCCTCTCTGTGTCCTCCTTGGTCCTGCTCCATGGCCTGCCTTTTCTCTTCTTTCTGTACTTTGCCCCCTGTTGGATTCAGGATGCCCAGACTGGCTCACGCTTCATGTTCACAGTGACCCCACCCTGACCCAGGCAGCCCTCCCTGCCCCCTCTGACCTGATCCCCCTGTCAACCTCCTGCTTTCTGTCCTTTCCGCTTATGTCACGTTGCTTCCCTGGGGGGACAGTTGTCTGCAAAGCTGGTGGTCTCAGTGCTGTGGTCCTGAGGGAGTGTGTGTGGGGGTGCTCATCTTGCCAACCTTTTGTAGACCCTAGGTGCCTGAGGAATGCTCAGGTCATATCCCTGCTGCATTTACTGAGTGCTCTGGGTGGGCCTGACAGGAGGCCAGCGGGTGCAGGAGCTGGGGGCATTTTTCATTCTGGTCTGAGTGTGGTCCCAAGGGTGTGGGTGCCTGCAGGAATGGGTGGGTCCTGGCTATGCTGCTTCCTCACCTCCTGTGCCTTCTCTCAGAGCCTGAGCCCCCCGCCGCGGAGAGGCCAGGTCGCAGGGAGCCCCTGGTGGTCAGGGAGCATGAGGACATCGTCCTGTCAGCCACACTGGCTGCCCCCTCTGCGGCCACAGTGATTTGGCTGAAAGACGGGGTGGAGATTCGTCGCAGCAAACGGCATGAGATGGCCAGCCAGGGGGTCAGCCACACCCTGACGGTGCGGGGCGCCCAGAGCCTGGACAGTGCTGTATACAGCTGTCGTGTGGGCACCAGTGGGCAAGACTTCCCAGTGCAGGTGGAAGGTGAGCAGGTGGGGACTGCAAGGGTTGGGTGCTGGGTGCGGTACCCCCCTAGACCCCATGACTGGTGTCCCCTCTCCTCCCACAGAGGTAGCTGCCAAGTTCTCTAGGTCTCTGGAGTCTGTGAGTGGGGAGCTGGGTGGCACCGTGACCCTCTCCTGTGAGCTGAGCCCTGAGCAGGCTGAGGTGGTGTGGCGCTGTGGTAACACCCAGCTGCGGCCTGGCAAGCGCTTCCAGATGGTGGCAGAGGGACCCCGACGCATGCTCATGGTGTCGGGCTTGCGGGCAGAGGATGCGGGCGAGTATGTCTGCGAGAGCCGTGACGACCGCACCAGTGCACGTCTTGTGGTCAGCGGTATGTGGGCGGGCACCAAGGCAGCTGGGGCCAAGGGCGTGTGCTCCGGGACGAGACACCCTACGCCTGGGGTGGGGGCTTCCTTTCCTCCACTGGAGATGTGTTTCTCCCCACAGTTCCCCGCGAGGTCAAGTTCGTGTCTGGGCTGAGTGCCCTGGTTGCAGAGGAGGGCTGTGAGGCTACCTTCCAGTGTGTGGTCTCCCCTGCCGATGCTCTGGTCACCTGGTTCCGGGAGGGTGCCCAGCTGCAGCCCAGCACCAAGTTTGTCATATCGCAGAGTGGCGGCAGCCACAGCCTGACCATCTCAGACCTGACCCTGGAGGACGCAGGCCAGATCTCTGTGGAGGCAGAGGGTGTCAGATCTGTTGCTGCTCTGCGGGTCCGAGGTACGTGAGAAAGGCAGGAAGAAGCCCCCAGCTGCCCCATGTACCTCTGGCAGATCTTGGGTCAGGATTTACCGTGGCAGAGGGGACAGCCCTCTTCTCGTTGTAAGCGTCTGGATCTGTTAAAATATGCTGGCTGGTGCGGTGGGTCTGTGTGTTGCTGTGGCTCCCAGACCAAACTTAGGGGCGCGGGCACTGGGATATGTTGGAACAGACGAGGGAAGCCGGTGGCCCCTCCATTGATTTCTTTGTAAAACTCCTGAGTAGAAGGTGCAGCATCTTAGGACAGGTCGGGCTTGGCCCTGCTGGGAGAGAGAACATAAGGCTGCAGTGGGGCTGCTTGATACCTTGCTTTGGGAGTGGCCATGGCTACACCCACTGACCTCCCTTTCCTGGGGCCGCAGAAGCCCCCGTGTTGTTTAAGAAGAAGCTGGAGCCCCAGACAGTGGAGGAGAGGAGCTCGGTGACCATGGAGGTAGAGTTGACACGACCGTGGCCAGAGGTGAAATGGACGCGCAACGCAGCCACTTTGGCTCCAAGTGAGAATGTGGAGATCCATGCTGAGCAAGTGAACCACCGCCTGGTGCTCCGCAGCGTGGGCTTTGCCGACCGTGGCTTCTATGGCTGTGAGACGCCAGACGATAAGACACAGGCCAAGCTCTCGGTGGAAAGTGAGTGGTGGTGGCTGTGTCCGGCACCCAGGAGCAGGGCAGAAGGGCTGGGTTTCCCTGGAGGGACAGCGTGTGTCCCCTCGAGGAGCCTCCGGAGATGTGAGTGGGGCTGGTAGGAAGTTGGGGTCTCTGTGAGTGGCTCACCCGGGTCCCCTCGTTTGTCCCCCAGTGCGACAGGTCCGGCTTGTGCGGGGCCTGCAGGCCATGGAGGCACGGGAGCAGGGCACGGTCACCATGGAGGTGGAGCTGTCCCACTCAGAGGTGGAGGGCAGCTGGACGCGTGACGGCTTGCGACTGCAACCGGGACCCTTGTGCCAGGTGGCAGCACATGGCACCACCCACACCCTCATCCTCTCCGGGCTGCAGCCTCAGGACGGTGGCCTGATCGCTTTTAAGGCAGAGGGCGTGCACACTTCTGCACGGCTGGTGGTCACAGGTGAGTGAGCTCAGGAGAGACACTCACCTCATCCCCAGCAGTCTGGGAGGCCGTCTTGTGAGATGCTTTTGTGGTTGTAGTTTGGGGTTTTGGCCGAGAGCCTAGAATGGACCCTGTCCAGGACCGGTCCTATTTCTCATCTCCCTCCATTTCCTCCCCTCCAGAGTTACCTGTGAGATTCAGCCGCCCGCTGCAGGATGTGGTTGCCACAGCAAAGGACAAGGTGACCCTGCAGTGTGAGCTCTCCCGCCCCAACGTGGATGTCCGCTGGCTGAAGGTCTGTGTGTGTGGTGGTGTGGGAGTAGAGCCGGTTGCTGTCACTCCTGGCACCTGACTCAGCCTTGTCCCTACGCAGGATGGTGTGGAGCTTCAGGCCAGCAAGACGCTGACCATGACATCCCAGGGCACCTGCCGGAGCCTGGTCATTTACCACTGTGAGCCTGGGGACCAGGGTGTGTATGTGTGTGATGCCCACGATGCTCAGAGCTCTGCCTCCGTGAAGGTGCAAGGTGAGGGTTGGACAGAGGAGGGTCAGGGCCAGGTGGGTGGGTAGAGGTTCTGGCCTGTCTGTAGCTCCTGGTGGTCCTTGGCCCCTGGCTCGACACCCCCCCCCACTCCCCTTGGTGCATCTTCAGCAAGCTGGGAAGTGTAGCAAGGACTCTGTGCCTCAGGTCGAAATGTCCAGATGGTCAGGCTCCTGGAGGACGTGGAGGTGATGGAGAAGGACAGTGCTTCCTTCTCCTGTGAGGTCTCCCATGAAGACGTGCCTGCCCAGTGGTTCCGTGAGGGTGTTAAGCTCCGGCAGAGTGACAATGTGCGCATTCGCCAAGAAGGTGCGACCACTGGGGTGGGCTTACTGGGGAGTTCACCCCTATCCCACCCCACATCTTCCTCCCCTTGTGCTAAGTGACCTTTGTCCCTAGGAAGGACTTACACTCTGATCTTCCGGAAAGTTTTGGCAGAAGATGCAGGGGAAATCAAATTTGTAGCAGAAAATGCAGAGTCTCGAGCTAAACTCCAAGTGAAAGGTGAGGGTGCACGGGCAGGGACTTCTAGGTGGTGTGTGTGAGTCCTTCCCAGGGCAGGCGGCTGGTCCCACTGAGAGGAGAGCAGCAGTGGCCCATGAACAGGATCAGGGATGGAGCTTGTCTCTGGCAGAAAGATGCGGCTCTCAGGGAGGAGGCTTTGAGTGTGTGAGGATGTAGGGCCCCAGCCCTTATTTAAAACAATGCCAGTGAATTCCTTCTGGATGACAGCAAGAGCCAGAGAGAAGAATTGTGAGGCCCTGTGGAGAGTGTGTGGTGGAGAGTGTGTGTGAGGACAGTGTGGTGGCAGGCTGAGTATGGGTGTGGGTGTGGGTGCTCGGATGTGCAGGGCAAGACGGGGCCTGCTGGGCAGGGCAGCTGAACAGGGGCAACACCTTCCTGTCCAGATGTATGGCATAGGTTCTGGCCTTGTTGCCTCACTCCGCCTGTGAGTGTGCAGCCCTGGGCCATGCCCACATCTGTACAGTGCTTGACTGGTGGCAGGGGTGTGGCTTAGTCTGTGTGTGTCCCTGGGCACTGCACTCGGCCAGTTGTAGGCATTGGAGATTGTTCTGTGCTGACGGGGGTGGGGGCAATTGGAAATACTGAATGCCTTTCTGACCTCACCACACCATCTGCAGAGCTGCCGGTGACCATTTTGCGTCCACTGCGGGACAAGATAGCCATGGAGAAGCACCGTGGTGTGCTCGAATGCCAGGTGTCCCGGGCCAGTGCCCAGGTGCGATGGTTCAAGGGTGGAGTGGAACTGAGACCTGGATCCAGGTATGAAATGGTCAGTGAAGGCCTCTACCGCAAGTTGGTCATCAGTGACGTGCAGCCTGAGGATGAGGACACCTATACCTGTGATGCAGGAGACGTGAAGACCAGCGCCCAGTTCTTTGTGGAAGGTATGGATGGGCTGGGCAGGCACGGGAGCAGGTAGGGGTGTGAGCGTGTGTGTATGTATGTATGTGTGTGTGTGTGTATTTGTGCATGTGCATGCTTCTGCATGTGTGTCCATGTGTTTGCATTTGTGTGCAGTGTGCTCATAAATGTATGTGTATGTGTGTCTCTGTATTTGTGCACGCATGCAAGTGTGTGTGTTTGTGCATGTACATGCTTTTACATGTGTGTGTCCATGTGTTTGCGTTTTTGTGCAGTATGCTCATAATTTTATTTTATTTTTGGGTCACACCCAGCGATGTTCGGGTGTTACTCCTGGCTCTGCATTCAGCAGTTACTCCTGGAGGTGCTTGAGGGACTATATGGGATGCTGGAAATTGAACCTGGGTCAGCTGTGTGCAAGGCAAGCGCCCTACCCGCTGTGCTGGGCTGGAAGATAGCACAGTTGGTAGGGAGTTTGCCTTGTACTCGGCTGACCTGGGTTCGATTCCTCCATCCCTCTCAGAGAGCCTGGCAAGCTACCGAGAGTATCCCGCTTGCAGGGCAGAGCCTGGCAAGCTACTTGTGGCATATTTGAAATGCCAAAAACAGTAACAAGTCTCACAATGGAGACGTTACTGGTGCCTGCTTGAGCAAATCAATGAACAATGGGAGGACAGTGCTACAGTGCTACATGCTCATAAATGTATATGTGTGTCTCTGTATTTGTGCATGCATGTGTGTGTATGTGTGTACATGCGTGTGTTTGTTGGGGGGCTCTGTCCCTAGGGAGGCACACGGAGCCTGAGGGATGGTGACAGCCCTTTCTTACCACAGAGCAGTCCATCACCATTGTGCGGGGTCTGCAGGACATGACGGTGATGGAGCCTGCGCCTGCCTGGTTTGAGTGTGAGACATCCATCCCCTCAGTGCGGCCACCCAAGTGGCTCCTGGGGAAGACAGTGCTGCAGGCAGGGGCAAATGTGATCATGGAGCAGGCGGGCACGGTGCACCGGCTCACCCTGCGGCACACCTGCTCCACCATGTCTGGGCCGGTGCATTTCACCATCGGCAAGTCCCGCTCCACTGCCCACCTCGTGGTCTCAGGTGAGCCCGTGTGTGGCTGGTGGTGATCAGAGGCTCGGGGCAGGTAGGTTCTCTGACCTGTGCCCAACTGCGACCCTCTCTATTCACCCAGACATCCCCATGGTGCTGACACGGCCTCTGGAGCCCAAAGCAGGGCGTGAGCAGCAGTCCGTGGTCCTGTCCTGTGACTTCAAGCCACCCCCCAAGGCCGTGCAATGGTACAAGGATGACACACCCCTGGCACCATCAGACAAGTTCAAGATGAGACTGGAAGGCCACATGGCAGAGCTGCGTGTCCTCAAGCTCACACCTGCTGATGCTGGCGTGTACCGGTGCCAGGCAGGCAGTGCCCAAAGCAGCGCTGAGGTCACCGTGGAAAGTAGGGAAGAGGGGACACATCACCAGGGTCTCTGAGGGGGGACAATCACTAGGGTCTCTGAGAGAACACTAGTAACCAGGGCCTCTGAGGGGATACCAGTCATCAGGCCTCTGAGGGGACACTAGTCACCAGGGTCTCTGAGGGGACAGCAGTTACCAGGGTCACTGAGGGGGACACCAGCCACCAGGATCTCTGAGGGGGGACCGATCATTAGGGTCTCTGGAGTTGCTGGTCACCAGGGTCTCTGAGGGGACAGCAGTTACCAGGGTCACTGAGCGGGACACCAGTCATCAGGGTCTTTGGGGGACACCGGTCACAAGGATCTCTGAGGGGGGACCAATCATTAGGGTCTCTGGAGTTGTTGGTCACCAGGGTCTCTGGGGTCACTGGCACCAGGGTCTCTGGGGGCAGCAGAGAGTAGCTGAGTAGTCATTTACTCCTTGCAGCCCGGGAGGTGACCGTGACACAGCCACTGCAGGATGCAGAGGCCACGGAGGAGAGCCGTGTCTGCTTCTCGTGTGAGCTGTCTCATGTGGATGAGGAGGTGGAGTGGTCGCTCAACGGAACCCCCCTGTACAACGATAGCTTCCACGAGATCACAAAAGAGGGTCGCCGCCACACCCTGGTGCTGAAGCGAGTCCGGAGGGCAGACACAGGCACTGTGTGCCTCTCCTCCCCCAAGGTGACGGCGAGTGCCCACCTGCAGGTTAGAGGTGAGCATCCCACAGCTCTGGGGGGCTCTGCAGTGGGAGGAGGTGGTAGCCTCCTCACTCGCGTCTGCCCATGCTCCAGAGAAGCCGGTGGTGTTCTTGAAGGCCCTGGACGACGTGTCCGTGGAGGAGCAGGGCACGCTGACTCTGCAGTGTGAGGTCTCAGACCCCGAGGTCCGTGTGGTGTGGCGCAAGGACGGCGTGGAGCTGGGCCCCAGCGACAAGTATGACTTCCAGCAGACCGCGGGCACGCGGGGGCTTGTAGTGCACGACCTGACCAAGGATGATGCCGGCCTGTACACCTGCAGCCTGGGCGCGGAGGAGACCCAGGCCAGGGTTAGCGTGCACGGTGGGTGTTGGTCCCTTCAGCATCGACTGGGGCCTCTAAAGCCAGGCGCAGGCTGTGGGGCAGCAAAGCAAAACTTCTGAGGTCCGACTTGGCCTGCCCACTGGAGGCCTGAGGGGTTGCGAGGCCGGAGACAGAAGCTTTTAGTCTGATTGTGGGGCAGATGGGTTGTAACGCAGTCAGGAACACTTGCAGGAGGTGGAGAGGAAGAGAGGTGGTCTGTCAGGTAGGAGTTACCCGGATGTTCTCGAGCATTGCCTATCCAGGAGCCACCAATGGGATTTCTGCAGGGTTGTGGCCATCAGAAGGGCCTGGGCAGCAGGGTGGTCTCTCCAGGGCACGGACTGGAACTACTAGGTGGTCCTGGTAGTCCTGGTTCTGGGCACATTGCTCTTTAGCTGATAGGAAGGAGGCCTCCCACATTAGAACTCACCACTGCTAGTGACCAAACACCAGGGTGTGACTGGCTGAGGGTCTGGGGGCATTTTCAGAGGGGACCACTAGCTTGTGGGGGTGGGGGGCTCATGGAGATTTCACCCTGGGGCTGCTGGGCCCTTGAGCTTTCCTGTTCTCTCTCGGTCTGGTGTGCCTCAGCCTGGCTGGGTTTGATACTCTCTCATGGGCCTGGCAGACCTGCACGTCGGCATCACCAAGAGGCTGAAGACCATGGAGGTGGTGGAGGGCCAGGGCTGCAGCTTCGAGTGTGTCCTGTCCCACGAGAACACCAGTGACACGGCCATCTGGACAGTTGGCGGGAAGACAGTGGGAAGCTCTGGCCGCTTCCGGGCCACACGCCAGGGCCGCAAATATACCCTGATGATCCGAGAGGCAGAGCCTGGCGATGCTGGGGAGGTGGTCTTCTCTCTGCGGGACCTCACCTCCAAAGCTTCCCTCATCGTCAAAGGTGGGTAATGTGGTAGGTGGCACAGGCTTGGGGGAGGGGTGGTGAGCTGGACCCGGGGCTGCTGGGCCTGGGGCCCCAACTCTAGCCCTAGAGTGGGGCCCAGAGGTGTGTTCCAGAGACCCAACAGAGGCTTATTTCAGGGAGCTGACAGATGTTTCGGAGACCTGATAGGCATGTTTCAGGGATCTGACACAGGCATATTTCAGGGACCTGACAGGTGTGTTTCAGGGACTTGACAGGCATGTTTCAGGGATCTGACACATATTTCAGGGAGCTGACAGGGGCTTCTCCAGCAACTAGACAGGACAGCATTATGGGTCTCAGCTATATGATCTGAATGCTGTAACCTCCTCACTGTGCAGTGAAGTTTCTGAGCTTCTGTTCCCCACCCGATTATCTGGTGCAAATAGTTAACATCACTGTGTCCACTTGGACATGATGAGCCATGATGTTGTCCCCTCCCAGGCCCCTGCCTCATTGGGACAGTGGAGGAGCTCTGAGGTCCCCTAGTGTGGGGGCTGCTGGGTCTTTGGCCTGTCTTCAGCCTTGGGGTGTCAGGGTGACAAGTGCCTGCCCTCCCAAGTGTGTCTCATGGACACAGTTGCATCTGCTCCCTTCAGAGAGACCGACAGACATTACAAAGCCCCTGGAGGATCAACAGGCAGCACCAGGCGAGGATGTGATGCTGAGCTGTGAGCTGTCCCGGGTGGGTGCCCAGGTGCGCTGGCTGAAGGACGGAAAGGCCATTCGCAGGAGTCAGAAGTATGAGTTGCGCACCGAAGGCATGCAGGCGGTGCTGGTCATCCATGGCGCCTCCCTCCAGGACGCGGGAGAGTACACATGTGAGGCGGAGGCATCCAAGAGCACAGCCCGCCTCCGCGTGGAAGGTGACCCCCCCCCACCGGTCTTTCCTAGGGAGGGAGGCTGTGGGCCCCTGCAGGGTCTGGGAGGCCTGACAGCTCCCTTCTCACCCCCTTCTGCAGAGAAGGCAAACCGATTCACAGAGGAGCTGGCTGACCTGCAGCTCGAGGAGAAGGGCACAGCCACATTCCAGTGCAAAACAGAGCGGCCTGCGGCCGTGGTGGTCTGGCGCAAGGGCCTCATGGAGCTGCGCTCCTCAGCGAAGCACACACTCAGCCAGGAGGGCCTGACCTTGAGGCTCACCATCAGGGCCCTGGAGAAGGTGGACAGTGACACCTATACTTGTGACATTGGCCAGGCTCGCTCCCAGGCCCGGCTTCTAGTGCAAGGTGAGGCGTGATGCAGGGCCCAGGCTTAAAGGCTCTGTTGAAAGTAGGCTGAGTCGGGTGGGGGTATTTGCAGTCAGGGCTCAGTCTGGCTCTGGGCAAGCTGCCTCAGTGTCCCCATGTCTAAGGGCCTGGTCAGCTTGAGGTCTTCAGCTGGACTCTTGGGAGGGGTGCTCATGCTTTGGTGCATTTGATTACCCCTACTGGGTGCTGCATGTACCTGGGCCCCATGCCAGGGCCTGTGTTATAGATTCTGCTGCCCTTCCCTGTGGAAGGAGACCCATTATGAAGCCTCTTTTGCTCTGGCCCATGTTGGTGGGATGGGACCAGTTCCTCTGTGGGTGTGCGTGGCATGTTGAGGAGGATAGTCTGGTGGGACATTCCATCCCAGTGGACAGGGCATGGGGGAGCACTGTGGTTCATGACTATCTGCACGGATGTCCAGTGGCTTGCGTAGTGGAGGGTGGGGATTATCATTTGTCTCATGCTACGGACAAAGATGCTTTACTCTTTAGGGCAAGGCCAGTTCAAGGTTGGGAGGCATTTTGACATGCCTAGGGAGCTGAGCCGGGTCCTCTAACCCCAGTCCCTGGGACCAGAGCTGGTGTTCACAGAGTCAGCTTCAGGTCCTTCCTGGCTGGGGTCTCTGCCCAAGAAATGTCATAGCAAGGACAGCTGACACAGATCCTTTTCTCTCCTTGTTGGTGATCTGGGGGAGTCTTTGAGCTGTGTGAGGTGGGTACTCTAGAAACTTCTCTCCACTAACTGACTTGCTGAATCAGAAAGATGGTTAAAACTCCATTACACAGCCGAGCCTGCTGGACAGTGTGACTGAGCCTCCCTCGTCCAGTGGGTCTGGGAACCTCGGTTCCTCTTCTTACTGTGCATCCTTGACAGTTGTCCACACTCTGCTGTCCCACAGCTTGGCTCTGCAATGTAGACCCGTTTACCTCCATGGTGAGCCCTCAAAGCCACACCCAACAGAAAAACACCCCTGCCACCCACCCTGAAATTCAGTGACAAACCACCACAGCATCTGACTTGTTCCTGATTCATCACGTGACCTGCTAATGGGCTCCCGGGCAGAGATGGGGCTCAGGGCAGGCCTCTCTCCATCAGTCCCGCTCTGTGGCCGGGGTTCTTGGGGTCCCTAAAGCAATTGCTTTTCAGTAGTCGAGCTCTGACAAGCTTTGTCAGTCTGTGCCTTTCAGGGTCCCTTGTGAGCCCACCAGGTTGGGCGCCTCTGCCCGGTGAGCCCTGACCAGCCGTCTGTCCTCTAGGCCAGAAGGTACTCATCTCTGAGGACTTGGAGGATGCAGAGGTGCAGGAGGGCTCTTCAGCTGTCTTTAGCTGCCGCATCTCTCCTGCGGACTATACACCTGTCCGCTGGTTCTTGGACAAGACGCCTCTTCACAACAATGATCTCAACGAGGTAGAGGTCCGGCCAGGTGGCTACCATGTGCTAACGCTGAGGCAGCTGGCGCTCAAGGACTCTGGCACTGTCCACTTTGAGGCAGGTGACCAGCGAACCTCAGCTTCTCTGCGAGTCATAGGTGGGTTGTAGCCTCCCTCATTCCCCCACCTCACCCCCCGCCCTGGACGAGGGTGCAGCCTTACATAGGAGCCTGACCATGAGCTGAACATGGTCCTGATGGAGCTAGGGCCCTGGGTCTGGGGAGATGTGCTTGGATCCTGGGGAGGTGGATCTGAAGGCTGATTGCTAGACCTCTGGCTGGCATGCATGGGCCCCTCTGCTGTGCAGAGCAGTGAAGAGCCTGCCCTGCCCTGCCCTTCCCGCCCAACCTCCCCCCCAACCCCGGGCGTACAGTGGGATCTGGAGCAGCCCCAAGGCTCTCTGAGTAGCCAAAGATCTGCTAAATGCCTTGTGTTTCCCTTTGTCTGCAGAGAGGCCGAGTGTCTTCTCCCGGGAGCTCACAGATGTCACCATTACGGAGGGTGAGGATCTAACCCTCAGCTGTGAGACCACCACTTTGGACAGCCCCTGCTGGACCAAGGATGGAAAGGCCCTGCGGCCCTCAACCAGATGCCAGCTGAGTCACGAGGGTGGCCGGGCCCAGCTGGTCATCAAGGCGGCCACCCTGCAGGACGGTGGTCGCTACAAGTGTGAGGTGGGGGGCGCCTGGAGCAGCTCCATTGTCAGGGTCCATGGTGAGTCTGGAGTGGGGTGGGGTGAGTCTGTCCATGCTCAGGGCTCCCCTTTGAGGCAGAACACCCCAGTTTCCCCTATCAGTGCCCACTTCTGTCCTCCAGGAGTTCTGCGTACCATTTGCTCCTGTCTCTGTCTTTGGGACAGAGCTTTGTGTGCTCCTGTCCCCTTTCTTCACTCCCTAGTTGTTCTTGGTTGTGAGGTCTCTGGGTTCCCCTCCTGGCCTGGCCGTGTCCTTCCCTCGCACTAGAACACGGCCCCAGGAGGTGCCAGCTGCAGCTGCTCCTCGTCACGGAGGCTGGGCTGGAGAGCAGGCTCTGAGGGGCTGGGTCTCTCTCCTGGGTCCTCATACATGCGGCTGTGTGTCCCTCCTCCTGCTTATCCCACGAACCTCACGTCACCTTTGTGACTTGAGACGTGGCCCCACACTGGGTGGGGGCCACACACGCAGCTCCCCGGTGTGTTTGTAGTGAGCCCTGGCTCCTTGTGCAGCTTTCTCCAGGCCAGTCCCCAGAGCAGCAGTGGGTGGTGTGCCTGCACCCTGCAGTTTCTGCCCCCGCCTTCCCTGGGGCTCCAGGTGCTGAGGGCCCTGGGAGCTGAGCCATATCTGTCCACAGCTCGGCCAGTGCAGTTCCGCGAGGGACTGAAGGACATGGCAGTGCTGGAGGGAGGCGCTGTGACGCTGCGCTGTGTGCTGTCGTCTGTGGCTGCTCCCGTGGAGTGGCGGCGTGGCGATGAGGTGCTGAAGCCTGGGGGCAAGTACAGCCTGCGGCAGGAGGGGCCCGTGCTGGAGCTGGTTGTCCGGAACCTGCGGCCGCAGGACAGTGGGCAGTATTCCTGCCGCTTTGGGGACCAAGTAACATTGGCCACTCTCACTGTGAATGGTAAGTGTCTGCCCTGCATACGTCCATTGTCCACCCCCTGCCCCTAGACTCTGTGCTCCGGGCCAGAAGCTCAGAGAGGACCATGTCCCTCTAATCTGGCTGCAGCCCAGGCCGCTGAGTTTGTCGGAAGACTGAGAAGCAAGGAGGCTGTGGAAGGGGAAACAGCCTCACTGTGCTGTGAGCTGAGCAAGGCAGCCCCCGTGGAGTGGAAGAAGGGATCGGAGACCCTCAGGGCTGGAGGCAGACTCAGCCTGAAGCAGGATGGAGCCATGTGTGAACTGCAGATCCGAGACCTGGCTATGGAGGATGCCGGGGAGTACGCATGCGTGTGTGGGCAGGAACGGACCTCGGCCACGCTGACCGTCAGGGGTAAAGACCATGAGAGGCCATGTGGAGCAGCTCTTTGTGCTTTTTCTTGTCTCTCCCTGGGACAGCTATGTGGATCTGTCTGCCCCTCTGTGTCCAACGTCCCACAGCCCCAGTTCTTCGCGCTCTTGTGGGAGACTGGGCTTCCTACCTTCTCGGGTGGGCGTCCTGTCCTGGGGTGCCTCAGGTGGGGAGGGGAGGACAGAGGTAACACACAAGGATTCTGTGTTTTGGGAGAGGGAGCAGGAAGAACTGGGGAGTGTCCCCTGAGACCAGGGACCGGAAGGTGGCCGGACCTACGGGACCCTGAGAGCCTCTGTCCAGCATACTGGTCCTGGGGTGGGCGAGATGAGGTCAGGTAGAGAAGAAAGGTCAGTCAGCTCCCCTGACAGGGCCAGGCTCTCAGGGCCAGCGGTCACACAAGGATGTCCAGCTCCTCCTGGGAGTAGTCTGGGTGATAGGGCCAGTACAGGGCTCTGCATGAGCAAGGGAAGACTGCACTGCAGGCACACAGGCGTCATGCTGTGATCACACAGGATGGAGTTCATGGCAGCAGGGATAGGTGGTCATGCACAGATGCATGGCCTTGGGGCAGTGCTGGGCAGGCCCGCAGGTCATCAGCACACTAGGCTCCAGCTGTTGCTGGGTGGGAACTTTGTCCCTGGCAGGGGCTGTGGTGGTGGAGGAGCAGAGGCCCTGAGGGGCAACAGTAGGGGCTTTACATACCATTTTCTAGAAGTGTGCAGGTTCTAATGTCAGGTTGAGGGTGATATACCAGGAGAAGGCTGACTTCTAGTCCCTCCTGATGGGTATTGTGGCCTCAGAGGAGTGAACATTGGTCCATGGTGTTGAGAGGTTTTACTCTCAGACATAACTATCAGACTCTAATTTCAGTGAGCAGGATGCAGACCTGGACCTGCGGATGTCACTGTATTGAGAAAGGCAGGGATCACAGAAGTGGCCACAGGGAATGGGAGGGGTTGGTTTTTTAGAACCTTGGTGTTATATTCAGTGGTGCAGGGTAGATCAGATACCAGTAGAACATCCGACTGGTTATATCTATCCAAGGGTCCTGGATCTGGTTCGGTGTGTCTGCTGTGTTGGGTTCTTGTTCAAGATCCAAACTCTTGCATCTCCTCATTGGCCTACCCACAGCACCACTTTGACCATGGCAAGAGGTCGTGGGTCCTGGCTTGTATTTACTCTAAATGTGAATATCACATAATCTACCATTCACATCCTACATCCCAAATTTGTTGGAGAATCTTGAGATTTTCTCTGACCCTCTGACCACACCACGCCCCACAGCCCTGCCAGCCAAATTCACAAAGGACTTGAAGAAGGAAGATGCCACAGAAGGGGCCACGGCCAGCCTGCACTGTGAGCTGAGCAAGGCAGCCCCCGTGGAGTGGAAGAAGGGGCCCGAGACCCTCAGAGCCGGGGGCAGATTCAGCCTGAAGCAGGACGGGGCCGTGTGTGAGCTGCAGATCCGAGACCTGGTTGTGGAAGACGCCGGGGAGTACTCGTGTGTGTGTGGGCAGGAGCGGACCTCTGCCACGCTGACCATCAGGGGTAAAGACCATGAAGGGCCCACGTGGAGTACTGATGTTTGCACCTTGTCCTTTGTCACTATTTGTCCTTGTATCTCTGTGGGTGTCTGTGTTATCATGAGGTTCCTGCTCCCTCCCAGACTCTGTTCTGTCCAGACTTTTACCTCGTTTCATCTGGTCCTGGGTGTCTCTTGTCCTCATTCATTTTCTGCTGTTACGTTTACATTCGTTCATTGTTCCTTGACTTTACTATGTTTGTGGTGCCTTGTTCATGGTTCCCAGACTGTGACATCTCAGTGACTTCTTGACCCCTCCCCAGCTCTGCCCGCCAAGTTCACAAAGGACTTGAAGAAGGAAGAGGCCACAGAAGGGGCCACGGCCAGCCTGCGCTGTGAGCTGAGCAAGGTGGCCCCCGTGGAGTGGAAGAAGGGGCCTGAGACCCTCAGAGCTGGGGGCAGACTCAGCCTGAAGCAGGACGGGGCCGTGTGTGAGCTGCAGATCCGAGACCTGGTTGTGGAGGACGCCGGGGAGTACTCGTGTGTGTGTGGGCAGGAGCGGACCTTGGCCACACTGACCGTCAGGGGTAATGAGTGTGAGGGGCCATGTGGAACAGTGATGTCTCTGCATCCTGTCTGTCTGACTGTTTGTCTCTGTATCTCTGTGGGAGTCTGTGTTCTCACCAGGTCCCTGCTCTCTCCCATCTCCTCTCCTGTCTGGACTTTCACCTGGTTTTCACATTTGGTCCTTTTTGTCTGTTGTCATTCGTTTTCTTCGTTCTGTTTATGTTCCTTCATTCCTCCACGCTGTGGCTTTTTACTATGTGCAGTTTCTGTGGTCCTCGTCATGGTCACAGTTCCCTGAGTGGCATTCTCAGTGACTTCTTGACCCCTCCCCAGCCCTGCCTGCCAAGTTCACAAAGGACTTGAAGAAGGAAGAAGCCACAGAGGGGGCCACAGCCAGTCTGCGCTGTGAGCTGAGCAAGGCGGCCCCTGTGGAGTGGAAGAAGGGGCCTGAGACCCTCAGAGCTGGGGGCAGACTCAGCCTGAAGCAGGACGGGGCCGTGTGTGAGCTGCAGATCCGAGACCTGGTTGTGGAGGACACCGGGGAGTACTCGTGTGTGTGTGGGCAGGAGCGGACCTTGGCCACACTGACCGTCAGGGGTAATGAGTGTGAGGGGCCATGTGGAACAGTGATGTCTCTGCATCCTGTCTGTCTGACTGTTTGTCTCTGTATCTCTGTGGGAGTCTGTGTTCTCACCAGGTCCCTGCTCTCTCCCATCTCCTCTCCTGTCTGGACTTTCACCTGGTTTTCACATTTGGTCCTTTTTGTCTGTTGTCATTCGTTTTCTTCGTTCTGTTTATGTTCCTTCATTCCTCCACGCTGTGGCTTTTTACTATGTGCAGTTTCTGTGGTCCTCGTCATGGTCACAGTTCCCTGAGTGGCATTCTCAGTGACTTCTTGACCCCTCCCCAGCCCTGCCTGCCAAGTTCACAAAGGACTTGAAGAAGGAAGAAGCCACAGAGGGGGCCACAGCCAGTCTGCGCTGTGAGCTGAGCAAGGTGGCCCCTGTGGAGTGGAAGAAGGGGCCTGAGACCCTCAGAGCTGGGGGCAGACTCAGCCTGAAGCAGGACGGGGCCGTGTGTGAGCTGCAGATCCAAGACCTGGTTGTGGAGGACGCCGGGGAGTACTCGTGTGTGTGTGGGCAGGAGCGGACCTTGGCCACACTGACCGTCAGGGGTAATGAGTGTGAGGGGCCATGTGGAACAGTGATGTCTCTGCATCCTGTCTGTCTGACTGTTTGTCTCTGTATCTCTGTGGGAGTCTGTGTTCTCACCAGGTCCCTGCTCTCTCCCATCTCCTCTCCTGTCTGGACTTTCACCTGGTTTTCACATTTGGTCCTTTTTGTCTGTTGTCATTCGTTTTCTTCGTTCTGTTTATGTTCCTTCATTCCTCCACGCTGTGGCTTTTTACTATGTGCAGTTTCTGTGGTCCTCGTCATAGTCACAGTTCCCTGAGTGGCATTCTCAGTGACTTCTTGACCCCTCCCCAGCCCTGCCTGCCAAGTTCACAAAGGACTTGAAGAAGGAAGAAGCCACAGAGGGGGCCACAGCCAGTCTGCGCTGTGAGCTGAGCAAGGTGGCCCCTGTGGAGTGGAAGAAGGGGCATGAGACCCTCAGAGCTGGGGGCAGACTCAGCCTGAAGCAGGACGGGGCCGTGTGTGAGCTGCAGATCCAAGACCTGGTTGTGGAGGACGCCGGGGAGTACTCGTGTGTGTGTGGGCAGGAGCGGACCTCGGCCACACTGACTGTCAGGGGTAATGAGTGTGAGGGGCCATGTGGAACAGTGATGGCTCTGCATCCTGTCTGTCTGACTTTTTGTCTCTGTATCTCTGTGGGAGTCTGTGTTCTCACCAGGTTCCTGCTCCCTCCCAGCTCCTGTCCTGTCCAGACTTTCACTTGGTTTTCATGTCTGGTCTTTGGTGTCTCTATTCTATTCATTTTCTTTCTTTATTTTTTATGGAAAAAAATTTATTATCAATTCCCACAGATAAAACTAAAACAAAAGAACATATAATGCAAATCCCATAGCTCCTATTACAATATCAGAGATAGGGTTTAATTGGAAGTGTTATTTTAAGAAATAGTTTAGACACTGGTACAGTGGATAAGACACTCTCCTTACACTGGAAACTGGTTTCATCCCCATCAGCACATACTGTCCTCTGAACCCTGCCAGAATCATGCCTAAGGAAAGACCCAGGTTTAAGCCCTGAACATAGTCAAGTGTGACCCAAAGACCAAAGAAGAAAAAAGGCAAACAAAAAATACATTCTTTCAAAGTTTTCGCAAAGAAAAATTCTAACATGATAACTATGTCTTGATCTTTTGAGTAGTAAAAGTATATCCTGAATTTTCATTGCTACCACCCATATGCTGAAATTTGGTGGTTACTTACTTATCTGAAGTGTACTTGAAACAGTACAATTTATGTCTCTTTCAAAATTCTTACATAAACTAATAGTAGACGACCTGACTACTTAACTAGAAGGTCCCAGGTGGTGTTAGTGAGGTAAAAGATAGTGTTCAACATTAACTTTTATTAGAAAGTTAAGCAACTCAAGTTGCAATACATTGTTTTTAAAGTTTAGAGGACATGTTGAATATTAAGATTCTTGAATACCATCTCAAAATTTTTGATTCATTAGGCCTGGAAGTCATCCTATTTATTTTCTTCTGTTACATTTACATTCCTTCATTCTTCCTTTTTTTAAATGTAGGAGTACTGCTATTTATTCAGCCACTGATTAGCTGATTGAACTGGGCATGAACTTCACCTTATTTTTTTTAATTTTCATAGTTTCATTTATTCCTTCATTCTTCCTTAACATGACTTTTTATTGTCTGTGGTTCCTTGGTCATGGTTCCCAGACTGTGACTGGAACTTAGCAACTTTTTGACCCCTCCCCAGCTCTGCCTGCCAAATTTACAAAGAACTTGAAGAAGGAAGAGGCCACAGAAGGGGCCACGACCAGTCTGCGCTGTGAGCTGAGCAAGGTGGCCCCTGTGGAGTGGAAGAAGGGGCCCGAGACCCTCAGAGCCGGGGGCAGACTCAGCCTGAAGCAGGACGGGGCCGTGTGTGAGCTGCAGATCCGAGACCTGGTTGTGGAGGATGCCGGGGAGTACTCGTGTGTGTGTGGGCAGGAGCGGACCTCGGCCACGCTGACCATCAGGGGTAAAGACCATGAAGGGCCCACATGGAGTACTGATGTTTGCAGCTTGTCCTTTGTCACTATTTGTCCTTGTATCTCTGTGGGTGTGTATGTTATCATGAGGTTTCTGCTCCCTCCCAGATTTTGTTCTGTCCTGACTTTTACCTCGTTTCATCTGGTCCTGGGTGTCTCTTGTCCTCATTCATTTTCTGCTGTTACATTTACGTTTGGGCTGGAGCGATAGCACAGTGGGTAAGGCGTTTGCCTTGAATGCTGCCAACCTTGGTTAGATTCCTCAACCCCACTTGGAGAGCCTGGCAAGCTATCGAGAGAGAGTATCTCGCCTGCACGGCAAAGCCTGGCAAGCTTCCTGTGACGTATTCGATATGCCAAAAACAGAACAACAAGTCTCACAATTTGTTGTGGGACATTACTGATACCCACTCGAGCAAATGGATGAACAATGAAGGACAGTGCAGTGCAGTGCCATGTTTACATTTGTCCATTCTTCCTTGACATGGTTTTACTGTGTTTGTGGTTCCTTGTTTGTGGTTCCTTGTTCGTGGTTCCCAGACTGTGACATCTCAGTGACTTCTTGACCCCTCCCCAGCTCTGCCCGCCAAGTTCACAAAGGGCTTGAAGAAGGAAGAGGCCGCAGAGGGGGCCATGGCCAGCCTGCGCTGTGAGCTGAGCAAGACGGCCCCCGTGGAGTGGAAGAAGGGGCCTGAGACACTCAGAGCTGGGGACAGACTCAGCCTGAAGCAGGACGGGGCTGTGTGTGAGCTGCAGATTCGAGACCTGGTTGTGGAGGACGCTGGGGAGTACTCGTGTGTGTGTGGGCAGGAGCGGACCTCGGCCACACTGACCGTCAGGGGTAAAGACCACCAGGGACCTGTGAATGACCTCTGCACTGCTCTTCTGTGGCCCCATGTGTCCCTGTCACTGTTGTGTCTAGACTGTGCCCATTGGATCTGTTCTGTCAAACACTCAGTGGAGCAGCAGCTTTGCCCTCTCAGGTCTCAGGGAACTGTGGGGGTTGTCAGGGTCAGGGATGCTGGGAGTGCCTGGCTCGTGTTGTGTCCTTGAGTGCAGGGGCTGTTGAATCCAGAGACAGATGCGCAGCCTGGGAGGCTACAGGACCCACCTTCTGTGTCTGGTGACAGTGGGTCTGGAGGTCTTCACGCTCTCCACAGAGGGGATCCAAGTCATATATCCTATCTTCAGGCCTGGAGCTGGGTTGCTGATGCACGTGTCTACATCCTTTCTCTTCTTGGCACACGAACAGCTGATCTGGTGCGCTCTGGTGTTTGTGTGCTCTATCCTTATGTCCTGCCTCCAGGCCACCATCCTGTGACCTCATAGTGCCCTTATCATTGCTTGGAGGATCACGATCACGATCACGACCACCCTGTTGTTCGTCGATTGCCTCGAGCAGGTGCCAGTAACATCTTCTTCGTCCTAGCCCTGAGATTTTTTTTTAAAAGTGCCATATTCAAGGCTTTTTCAGGGTTAGGAGAATGAGACCCATCATTGTTACTGGTATTTGGCATATTGGGTATACCACGGGGAGTTTGCCAGACTCTGCCGTGTGGGCATGTTACATTTGGTAGCCTGCCAGTTTGACCAAATTAGGAATGAGATGATAAGATGTCGCGCGGCTGCGCGCTTCCGGGAGCTGAGTGTGATGATCTCTGGATCCTGGCCGTTGTTGGAGTTACACGACAGTTGGTGGGTGTAACTGTCTAGTTACTGGCAGGTCCAGTCCCAAACTGTGCAGGCTTGGAGATCTCAGCCCCGGGTCCCACACACTTGGGTTCCTCTGTCAGTTCTTTTATGCGTGAGGCTCATCCAAGTGTGTGGAGAGTGCTCCCAGCATGGCCTTGGCTGGGCCTCAGTGGTCTTCAGCTGTTGGGCCCTGGTGGAGACAGTCAGGCATAGGGTAGGAGACTCTGCCTTGTTCTCTCCCAGGAGCTGAGTGTGATGATCTCTGGATCCTGGCCGTTGTTGGAGTTACACGACAGTTGGTGGGTGTAACTGTCTAGTTACTGGCAGGTCCAGTCCCAAACTGTGCAGGCTTGGAGATCTCAGCCCCGGGTCCCACACACCTGGGTTCCTCTGTCAGTTCTTTTATGCGTGAGGCTCATCCAAGTGTGTGGAGAGTGCTCCCAGCATGGCCTTGGCTGGGCCTCGGTGGTCTTCAGCTGTTGGGCCCTGGTGGAGACAGTCAGGCATAGGGTAGGAGACTCTGCCTTGTTCTCTCCCAGGAGCTGAGTGTGATGATCTCTGGATCCTGGCCGTTGTTGGAGTTACACGACAGTTGGTGGGTGTAACTGTCTAGTTACTGGCAGGTCCAGTCCCAAACTGTGCAGGCTTGGAGAGCTCAGCCCCGGGTCCCACACACCTGGGTTCCTCTGTCAGTTCTTTTATGCGTGAGGCTCATCCAAGTGTGTGGAGAGTGCTCCCAGCATGGCCTTGGCTGGGCCTCGGTGGTCTTCAGCTGTTGGGCCCTGGTGGAGACAGTCAGGCATAGGGTAGGAGACTCTGCCTTGTTCTCTCCCAGGAGCTGAGTGTGATGATCTCTGGATCCTGGCCGTTGTTGGAGTTACACGGCAGTTGGTGGGTGTAACTGTCTAGTTACTGGCAGGTCCAGTCCCAAACTGTGCAGGCTTGGAGATCTCAGCCCCGGGTCCCACACACCTGGGTTCCTCTGTCAGTTCTTTTATGCGTGAGGCTCATCCAAGTGTGTGGAGAGTGCTCCCAGCATGGCCTTGGCTGGGCCTCGGTGGCCTTCAGCTGTTGGGCCCTGGTGGAGACAGTCAGGCATAGGGTAGGAGACTCTGCCTTGTTCTCTCCCAGGAGCTGAGTGGATACTTGGAGGATACGTGCCAAAAAATTCTCATCTGAGGTCCTGGGGATCAGGACTGCCATATTTAAGAATTGGAGGGACACAGTGAAACCCATAACAGCCCATACTCTTGTGCTCCCCAAATGAAGTATATGTTCACCTCACCTTCACGCCTTCATTAGTGAGCTCAGTGCCAAGTTTTCTACTCAGTTGGAGTGGGCTGTGACCGGTCATTCTTAGGCATAGCCCAAATGGCGTCATACATTTCCAGTGATCCTTGGACAGTTTGTTGGGAAAGAAATTAAACTATGAGAAGATGGTTTCAGTGTCCCATAGAGACCCAGCATATGCACAGATTGTTTGATCTGCATGGGGAGAGTTTTCGTCATTCCTGCCTTGCTCTGGGGTTAGTTCTGATTCTGTGCTCAGGAGTGACCCTGGGAGGTACTCAGGTGCTGGGGATTGAACCAGCGTTGGCCAAAGCAGCCACATAACAAGGCAGGTGCCTCACATCCTGTTCTGTACCTTCAGCCTCAGTTGTTAGGTTGTTATGACTTAGGACACATCATCTTTGTCTCTGTGATTTGTATCACAGCGCACAGTGCTGGACAGAATTAGCTCACCTCTAGGCCTCACTAAGGTGCCTTAGGCTCACTGCTCCCTGTTACAGATGGGCACAGAAAGCGCTTGATCCAGATTGCTGAGCTTGAACTGGAGGACGTGGGCTCGACCTTTGCTTTCAGAGTCTGCACCAGGGCTGGTAGCAAAGGACAGACATGTGATGGGTGTAGCTGCGGCTCAGACTCATGGACATTAGCTGACAAATGAGGAAGACCCACAATCTCATGGCTTAGTTAGCCTCTTCCCAGAATCTCAGCCTTCCGGCTTTGGATTGAACTGAATTGAGATCTGATTACAGATGCCCCAAAGAATTGATGGCTACTGTCCACCTGGCCCTTCTCAGCCCAGCTCATTCATTCATCAAAGATCTGATGACTGAAGAAGCCTCACAGGGTATCTCGTACCCCTGTCACACATAGTCCCTGTCGCCCTCCATGGGGGGTCTGTGTCTCCTGGTCTATCCCAGATCCTGGCTCCATGTCCAGCCCTTGTACTTCCTGTCACATAGTCCTTTGTGTCTTCCTTCTGGGCCATGTTCCACCTTAGTGTCTAGTGTTCCTTCGTTCTTTCGTGTTGTAGCTTTTTACTATGTATGGTTTCTGTGGGGTCCCCATTGTGGTCACTGTTTCCAGACTGACATACTCAAGGACTTCTTGACCCCTCTTCAGCTGTGCCTGCCAAGTTCACAAAGGGCTTGAGGAAGGAAGAGGCCACAGAAGGGGCCATGGCCAGTCTGCACTGTGAGCTGAGCAAGGCAGCCCCCGTGGAGTGGAAGAAGGGGCCTGAGACCCTCAGAGCCGGGGGCAGACTCAGCATGAAGCAGGACGGGGCCGTGTGTGAGCTGCAGATCCGAGACCTGGTTGTGGAGGACGCTGGGGAGTACTCGTGTGTGTGTGGGCAGGAGCAGACCTCAGCCATGCTGACCATCAGGGGTAATGACTGTGAGGGGCCACATGGAGCAGTGATGTGTCTGCATCTTGTCCTGTCTGACTCTGTCTCTGTATCTCTGTGGGAGTCTGTGTTCTCAACAGGTTCTTCCTCCCTCCCAGCTCCTGTCCAGTCCAGACTTCCACTTTGTTTTCATGTCGGCCCTTTGAGTCTATTTATCATCACACATTTTCTTCAATTACGTTTATGTTCGTTCCTGCATGTCATGGCTTTCTACTATGTATGTAGTTTCTGTGGAGTCCCCATCCTGGTCACAGTTCCTAGACTGTGACATTCTCAGTGACTTCTCAACCCTTCCCCAGCACTGCCTGCAAAGTTCACAAAGGACTTGAAGAAGGAAGAGGCCACAGAAGGGGCCACGGCCAGCCTGCACTGTGAGCTGAGCAAGGCAGCCCCCGTGGAGTGGAAGAAGGGGCCCAAGACCCTCAGAGCTGGGGACAGACTCAGCCTGAAGCAGGACGGGGCCGTGTGTGAGCTGCAGATCCGAGACCTGGTTGTGGAGGACGCCGGGGAGTACTCATGTGTGTGTGGGCAGGAGCGGACCTCGGCCACACTGACCATCAGGGGTAATGAGTGTGAGGGGCCACATGGAGCAGTGATGTCTCTGCATCCTGTCTGACTGTTTGTCCCTGTATCTCTGTGGGAGTCTGTGTTCTCACCAGGTCCCTGCTCTCTCCCATCTCCTCTCCTGTCCGGACTTTCACCTGGTTTTCACATTTGGTCCTTTTTGTCTGTTGTCATTCACTTTCTTCGTTCTGTTTATGTTCCTTCATTCCTCCACGCTGTGGCTTTTTACTATGTGCAGTTTCTGTGGGTCCTTGTCATGGTCACAGTTCCTTGAGTGGCATTCTCAGTGACTTTTTGGCCCCTCCCCAGCCCTGCCTGCCAAGTTCACAAAGGACTTGAAGAAGGAAGAGGCCACAGAAGGGGCCACAGCCTGCCTCTGCTGTGAGCTGAGCAAGGCGGCCCCCGTGGAGTGGAAGAAGGGGCCCGAGACCCTCAGAGCCGGGGGCAGACTCAGCCTGAAGCAGGACGGGGCCGTGTGTGAGCTGCAGATCCGAGACCTGGTTGTGGAAGACGCCGGGGAGTACTCATGTGTGTGTGGGCAGGAGCGGACCTCTGCCACGCTGACCGTCAGGGGTAAAGACCATGAAGGGCCCACGTGGAGTACTGATGTTTGCATCTTGTCATTGTCACTATTTGTCCCTGTATCTCTGTGGGTGTCTATGTTATCATGAGGTTCCTGCTCTCTCCCATCTCCTGTCCTGCCCAGACTTTCACCTGGTTTTCACATTTGGTCCTTTTTGTCTGTTGTCATTCACTTTCTTCGTTCTGTTTATGTTCCTTCATTCCTCCACGCTGTGGCTTTTTACTATGTGCAGTTTCTGTGAGTCCTCGTCATGGCCACAGTTCCCTGAATGACATTCTCAGTGACTTCTCGACCCCTCCCTAGCCCTGTCTGCCAAGTTCACAAAGGGCTTGAAGAAGGAAGAGGCCACAGAGGGGGCCACGGCCAGCCTGCGCTGTGAGCTGAGCAAGGCAGCCCCTGTGGAGTGGAAGAAGGGGCCTGAGACCCTCACATCTGGGGACAGACTCAGTCTGAAGCAGGACGGGGCCGTGTGTGAGCTGCAGATCCGAGACCTGGTTGTGGAGGACGCTGGGGAGTACTCGTGTGTGTGTGGGCAGGAGCGGACCTCAGCCACGCTGACCATCAGGGGTAACAATCTCAGGCTCTGTAAAGTTCTGTGTGCCTTTCCCTCCCTGAATCTCTGTCCACTCCGATCAGTTTTGTCTGAGGTTGTGTAGTCCTTGTCTATGTCCAGAGTTCCAGCCTGCTCTCCTGTGTGATGGGCTTGTGGCAGGGTTAGCCACCATCTGGATACCCTCTCCTGTCTTTGTCCACCTTCTCTGTCATGTCCTCTGAGCCTGATATGGGGGACTGTGGTGACCCCCCAGCCTCCTGTGTTAGTGGTCACCATGACATTGACCTGGTCAGATCTTCCGTGCTTTCCCAACTTCCTCCAGCCCTCTGCTTCCCCTCAAGCTGCCTGCTGCCTGGAGACCATTTCCTGAGCTGTGCGTTCTGCAGAGGCCGGGCTGCTGGGATGCTGCCATCCCTGTGGGTGTCCAGAACTGAGTGGATGCTCTGTGCTTACCCTGCACTCTCCCCACAGCAGTGCCCCAGGTGGGGTTCCGGGAGCCGCTGCAGAGCCTGCAGGTTGAGGAGGGCGCACCTGCTTGCCTGCGCTGTGAGCTCTGGGGACCTGGCACTTCCGTGGTCTGGAGCAAGGCCGGCCTAGAGCTGCAGGCTGATGGGCGCCGAGAGCTGCGGAGACAAGGGCCCGTGGCAGAGCTGGTGCTGCGGGAGGCGCGCAGGGAAGACGCAGGGGAATACACTTGCACCTGTGATGCCCAGACCACCAGTGCCACCCTCATGGTCACGGGTGAGCCCACCATGGCCCTGGGGGCTGCAGTCTCCCCAGGCCCCTGGGAGGGGACACAGTTCCCGTGGGCCACAGCAATTTGCACGGGCTCTGTCCCCTCCTGTGCCCCACGGCTGCTTTCTGTGCCCGTCCCACGATTGTCCACCCCCACCATCCACACAGATGCTCTGGGTATGCACCTGTGTACCCTGATGCCTTACACTCACCCTCTCTTTCTCCTGTAGCTGCGCCTGTGAGGTTTGTTCAGGAGCTGCAGGCCCAGGAGGTGGGCAAGGGATCCACAGCACACCTGCGCTGCGAGCTGAGCCAGGTGGGCACCAGTGTGGAGTGGCGCAAGGGCTCCCTGCAGCTCTTCCCCTGTGCCAAATACCAGATGGTTCAGGAGGGCCTGGTAGCGGAGCTCCTGATTCATGACGTGGAGCAGGAGGACGCCGGTCTGTACACCTGTGACACGGGTCACATGCAGAGCACAGCTGCCCTCTCTGTCCAGGGTGAGCTGCCTGCCAGCCCCGGCCCCTCAGGGCCCTCTCAGCTCGGTGAGTATGTGATGCCCTTGCCCAGCTGCCCTAAACTCTCCTCCTGGCCCTCTAGTCCCCAGACCCAAGTTCAAGACGGAACTGCAGAGTGCAGAGCAGGTGGCTGGTGGTGTGGCTCGACTTCAGTGCCAGCTGAGTGATGTGGAGCCTGGGGCCCCTGTGCAGTGGCTCAAGGAGGGCGTGGAGCTTCATGGGGGCACCAAGTACGAGATGCGGCGCCAGGGGGCCATGTGTGAGCTGCTGGTCCACGGGCTGGATGCTGCAGACACCGGCGAGTATGCCTGTGTGGTGGGCAGCCAGAAAAGCCTGGCCTCCATCAAGGTCAAAGGTGAGCCTTCCTGCCACCCCAACTCCTCCTCACCCCCAGTGACCACATGTGTCCCTGCTGCACCCTCTGTCGGAGACACAGGGGTTCCAGAACTGCCTGGAGATGGAGGGTGAGGCCTTCAGAGCTACTGGTCAGTGGGGCCCCATGCCCTGCTCTGCCCTGGGTGGAGAGGGCCAGGAACCGCACTACTCCCCACACCTCCAGAAAGAGTCCTGGCCTTAGGAGCTCATTGTTGGGGCGGGCTGTGTCTGGAGCGAGTAAGGGGCTGAATGCCTCCTGGGCACACAGGCACACGTTTCTGAAGACTTTTGGAGGAGGGGATGGGAGGATCTGATTGGGGTGGAAACGGAGCACCCTATCCCCATCGCAGAGCCTGAGGTCACCATTGTACGGGGGCTGGTGGATGCGGAGGTGCAGGCAGACGGGGATGCTGAGTTCACCTGTGAGGTGTCGTGCGCTGAGGCTGGAGCCGTGGAGTGGCGCCTGCAGGGCCTGCCGCTGCAGAACAATGACGTGACAGAGATATCCGTGAGAGGGGGCTGCACCCACACGCTGCGGCTCAAGGGTGTGACACCCGAGGATGCAGGCACCGTCTCTTTCCACCTGGGTCCACACACGTCCTCCGCTCAGCTCACCGTCCGAGGTAGTTCTGCGCCCACCTGTTGCGGGCCGGGTGTATCGGGCAACAGAGACAGACCCAGGCTCTGACCTGCAGGGTGGGAACTGGCCAGAGTGGGCCTGAGAGTGGGGACGTTTGGGATGAGCTGAGACCAGAACCACAAGCATTGTAGCTTTGCTGCCTCTAAGCTTAGATCTCCTGTCTTCTCTTTCTGGGGGTCAGCCCAGCCCAAACTAGGTCCTGCCCACCATCTCTGGGTCAGCGTCCTGATCTCAGGCTGAGGAGGGAGCAGGTGGGGGGGGGGTGCAAAAAACGGCCCTTGTGCTTGATGCCAGGAGTCTTGGCAGAGATATCCTTCCCGATGGGGAAGCACTGAAATTAATATCACTCCTCTACTGTGTCCAGTTCCCGAGGTGACCATCCTGGAGCCCCTGAAGGACCTGCAGCTCAGTGAGGGTCAGGATGCCCACTTCCAGTGCCGGCTGTCCCGGGCCTTGGGCCAGGAAGCCCACTGGGCGCTGGGGGGCGTGCCCCTGCAGGCCAACGAGATGAACGACATCACAGTGGAACAGGGGGTGCTTCACAAGCTCACCCTGCACAAGGTGTGCTGGCCGCCTTGGGCGGGGGCTGCCCTGCTCATAGGGCCAGGAGGCCAGCCTTACCTCCCTTCTCTCCTGCAGGTGACCCCTGAGGATGCAGGCATTGTCAGTTTCCAGGTGGGCTCCTGTAGCTGCGAGGCCCAGCTGAAGATCACAGGTAGGTGTCCTTTGCCTGGCCCCTTGCTCTCAGTGCCTGTGTGTCCCCAGATCAGCTGGGGGAGGTAGTCCCCAACCAGCCTGTGTCAGCGAGTGTTGTTCTCCAGCCACTGGATATTGTCTCTGCCCAGAGAGCCCCCTGGAGGGCTGGTGAATAAAGACTGAGTCGTTCTGATCTGGGGGTCACCATGTGGGGTTCGTGCTTGCCTGCTGGAGGAAGCTGGGGAGCCCCTGAGATGGACACAGGGACTTCCAGAATCACTTTCTGTACAGCTACTCACTGATACCCTTGGCACTCAAGCACAGTGGTGGGCTCACATGCCCAGGACACAGCTCGCCCCTGACATATGGACACTCTGGGTCATGGTATGATATGGCCCAGGGAAGTGGAGAGGTTATCAGAGACCTTCAGCTTGGCTGTAACTTGTCGTCAGAGTTCCCTGCACACCCTCCACTGATGTTCTACTTCAGATTTTCAAACTAGCCCCAACCACTGAAGCGTCTGTCCACCCACAGATCCATTCACATCTTTCTGTTCATCTGTATTCTTATCCATCTAACATCTGTTCATTCCTATATCAATCATCAACCACACTAAAAATCCATTTGTCTGTCCATCTGTACATTTACCCACTCACCATCCATCCGTCAGTACGTTCACACATGACCATTCATTGATCTCATCTGTCTGTCCAACTGTCATTTGTGTGTTCATTCACCCGTCATTCAGCCTTTCATCCATCTGTCCACCGCCCCTCCAGCCCATCTTTCACGCCTGCCTCGGCTGCTCTTCCATATATATCCGTTATCTACGTACCAGGTACCTCAACGAGGGGCAGATACAGCTGTGTCCTCAGGGAACCTGAAGCCCCCCCCACCCCCATATGCAGGGGGGATTGGATATGGAGTATCCTGAACAAGGTCAGGGACTGTCCAGAGTGAATGCTGTACTCAGGAGATAATGCTAGAAGAGAAAGCTCCGTGGGTGTCCAGGAAGGACCTTGCATTCACCAGGCTTGCAGATCCTGTTGTCTTGGGTCCTTTTGACTGCATGTCACAGCCAGGGAGAATCCTGGATGGATGTCTACTCTCAGGGAGAGGGCCCATGGGTGTGGCTGTTTGGGAATAGGTGTTCAGTGGGCAGTCTGTAGGCAAAGATGGGACAGGGGAGAAGGTAAGGGTGGGTGGGATGGGGTGGTGATGGGCCTACCCACCAGGGGCATTGGCTGAGGAAGTTCCAGCTAGAACAGACACAGGGATGCTGTGCCTGGTGTGATGCTGTGTCGAGACCCCCATGTGCCCTTTGTGCCCTCATTCCCTGGACTGGAGTTGGCCATTGTGGGAGGTGCATGATGGTATCTGACCTTCGCCAACTGTGGGCGTGAGTCCTCTTTCATGGTGGGCAGGAGGCTTTCACTTTGTGGTGTGGGAGAGGTGAGTGAGGGTGGCTTGTGCCCAGTGCAAGCAGGCAGTGTGGTGCAGCAGTTAGGAGCAATGTGGTATTAATGCTCTGAATCTAAGGACCAGGGTTCTTGGGCACTTCTAGGCAAACCCTCTGGGGATGGGAGAAGCATCTGTCTCCACACTTCAGTAAAATTAATGCTGTGTGTTTGTTTGTGTGTGTATGTGTGTGTGTGTAAGGCTAAGAGAGAGGCAGCTGATACTGGAGGTGTAGGTGTGTAGGGACTGAACTGACTTTTGTAGAGTGGATGTTTGTGGGACTGATCTGGTCCTGGGGCGTGTGTGTGTGTGTGTGTGTGGGTGTGGGTGTGGGTGTGTGTGTAGGGCTGAGCTGGTTCTGGATGTGTGTGTGTGTGTGTGTGTATAGGGCTGAGCTGGTTCTGGGCATATGTATGTGTGCAGGGCTGAGCTGGTTCTGTGTGTGTGTGTGTATGCGCGCGCACACACACAGAGGACTGAGCTGGTTCTGCGAGAGTATGTGTGTGAGAGGGGTTGATTTGGTTCTGAGGTTGGGTGTCTGTAGGGCTGATCTGTTCTGGGGGTTGAATATATGAGGGACTGTGCTGGTTCTCTGTGTGTGTGTGTGTGTGTGTGTGTGTGTGCAGGGCTGAGCTGGTTCTGGGGTGGGGTGTGTGTGTGTGTGCAGGGCTGAGCTGGTTCTCTCTGTGTGTGTATGTATAGGGCTGAGCTGGTTCTGGGTGGATATGTGTGTGTATGTGTGTGTATGTACAGGGCTGAGCTAGTTCTGTGTGTGTGTGTGTGTGTGTGTGTGTGCAGGGCAGACCTGGTTCTGTATGTGTGTGTGCAGGGTTGAGCTGGTTCTGGGTGTGTGTGTGTGTGTGTGTGTGTTGTGTGCGTATATATAGGACTGAGGTGGTTCTGGGTGTGTGTGTGTGTGCAGGGAAGAGCTGGTTCTGTATGTGTGTGTGCAGGGTTGAGCTGGTTCTGGTTGTGTGTGTGTGTTGTGTGCCTATATATAGGGCTGAGGTGGTTCTGGGTGTGTGTGTGTGCAGGGCAGAGCTGGTTCTGTATGTGTGTGTGCAGGGCTGAGCTGGTTCTGGATGTGTGTGTGTGTGTTGTGTGCGTGTATATATAGGGCTGAGCTGGTTGTGGGTGTGTGTGTATGTATAGAACTGAGCTGGTTCTGTGTGTGTGTGTTGTGTGCGTATATATAGGGCTGAGCTGGTTCTGTGTGTGTGTATGTATAGGGCTGAGCTGATTATGGATGTTTGTGTGTGTGTTGTGTGCGTGTATATATAGAGCTGAGCTGGTTCTGTGTGTGTGTGTTGTGTGTGTGTATATATAGGGCTGAGCTGGTTCTGGGTGTGTGTGTGTGTGTATAGGGCTGAGCTGGTTCTGGGGTGGTGTGTGTGTGTGTGAGGGGTTGATCTGGTTCTGGGGGTGGGTATGTGTGCAGGGCTAAGCTGGTTCTGGGGTGGGCGTGTGAGGGGCTGGACTGGTTCTGGGGGTTGGGTGTCTGAGGGACTGAGTCAGCGCTACATGACCGTGCGGTAGGAGTCCTGCAAGTAGGGTGGTCCATACCTCTGTCCATCTCCGCCCCACAGTCTCCACTAGGGTGGGCCGGGGGTTGCCAGTAGCCCAGTTCCCAGCCTGCCCTCCTTTTGCCCTCTTGTGCAGAGGCTGCACTGTGCCTGGTACGTGGCTTGCAGAACGTGGACGTCTTTGCGGGGGAGGTGGCCACATTTTCCTGTGAGGTGTCCCGTGCAGGTGGGCCAGAGGCCCGCTGGTGGCTGGATGGGACCCTGCTGCAGGACGGCCCCCAGAGTGCCATCTCTGTGCGTGATGGGACCATCCACTCCCTCACGCTCTCGGGCTTGGGGTTGTCCGACTCAGGCACCGTCACCTACTGCGCAGGGCCCCTGGTCTCCTCAGCCAAGTTGCTGGTCAAAGGTATCGGCTGCTGGCCCCGCCCTGTGCTGGCGTCCTTGCCGCTGCTGCTGTCCCTGCATGCTTCTTGCTCGCTCAAGGCTGGAGGGGGAAAGGCAGGGTCAGGAACCAGCATTAGGTCACCTACTGGCATTGCCCTCCATGGCTGTGGGGGCGTCGTAGGCAGGGGGCTCATGAGGCTGAGGTTCCTTGGACACATCTGCTGGAAGGCTGGTGGCGGGCCCCCGGTCATACTCTGAGGCTGTTTCTGTGAGCACACATCCCAAGGCAGTGTAGAGTGTGAGCCTGGTCCCATCCTCGAGGCTGGAGTGCCTGCCCATGCCTTTTGCCCTTTTGGGGAGGGCATCGGAGAGGACAGTGAACCCTCGGGACCCCTTGACCCACACCTGAGAGGGGTGTATCAAATGCCTGGGAATAGTTTGACATTCTAGCAGAACAAATGTGTTCCTCAGCTTGAGGAGAACCACCCCCACATCCCCTGCCACCGCAAGGTTGATGAAGGAGGAACAGCTGGGCATGGATGGAGTGGTGGGTGCCCAGTTGAGTCTGTGGACCCTGAGCAGAGCAAGAGAGCTTTGAGGATAGAGTGTTGTGACTGCCAGAGGACGTGGGGCCCAGGAGTTGGAGGGTCAAGAGGGGCAGTGGACCGGGGTGGGCATAAGGCGCGAGGCTTCTGGGGGGAATCCAGCCAGCTGCGGTGCTTGCTTGGTGCTGGACTGCTGGTGCTGACGGAGGGAGGGAGGGAGGCCCGGCTGCACCGCCTGGCTGACGGCTGCCTGGCATGTTGGCTGACAGATCCCGTGGTGGAGGTGGTCAGTGCCATGCAGGACCTGGCGGTGGAGGAGGGTAGCCCAGCCGAGCTCCTCTGCCAGTACTCACGGCCCGTGCAGGCCAAGTGGAAGATGAACGAGCAGGAAGTATGCGCCGACGGGCACCGAGTCGTCATAGAGCAGGACTGGACAGTGGCCAGGCTGTCCTTCAGGCCAGCCTTGCCCCGCGACAGCGGCATCTATTCTTGTGAGGCCGCAGGCACCCGCGTGGTGGCCCTGCTGCGTGTGCAAGGTGAGGCCACGGTGAGGCCACGGGTGGGCCTCGGCCTGGAGTGGCCGCTGGCTGGCAGCCAGCATGCCGGACTAGTCCAGTGGGGTGGCAACTGACTCCACCTCCCTAATTTGCCCTATGCAGCAGGACAAAGCAGGGCATTAGGAAAAGCTCCAGGCAGAGGCTGCAACCAAAATGCCCTGTTGGGAGGTTGAGGCGGGACAGGAGGGCAGCCCGTGGGGTCCCATGAAGTAATGAGGTAGGAGCTCTGTGGAGGAGGCTGTAGTCTGAGCTGGACCTTCAGGCGCAGACGGAGGGTGGGGAGTGCTCAGGGCACAGACGGATGGGGGCACAGACAGAGGTGGGCACAGATGGATGGGGGGCACAGACAGATGGGGGCAGGCACAGACCGGAGGGGGGGCCCAGGCACAGACATTTGGAGGACCCAGGCACTATGGATGGGGGACACAGGCAAGGACAGAGGCGCGGCCACTGTAGATGGGGGGCCCAGGCACAGACAGATGGGGGACCTAGTCCTGGCACATCTGGACAGTGCAAAGAAGTAGGAGGCAGTAAGATGCTAGGGGTATCTCTGCTGCCCTAAGATCTAGGGCTTGGAGCTGGAGCACATGCCTTGAACCCCACGTTTGATCTCTCGTACTTCATCATTTCCTGTGTACTACCAGGAGTGGCCCCCAAGCATTGCCCCATCAGTACCACTGGCTGTGACCCCCCAAATCTAGTGTATTTATGGAAACAAGAACCCACTCTGACTTGGGATTGGAGATGAGGCTGAATGGGGGCAGCCACCTTTTCTGGTTGTTGGGAGCAGAGCAGCCCCTCCAGAGGCCTCTGTGCAGCTGCGTGACTTGGGCACTGCCAGTTCTGACCACCAGTGTGTGGAGGCCATGCCATCAGGAAGGCTGAACACTCAGACCCATGATTCTTCCTTTCAGCCTGGGGATCCTCTCCCCAGAGTGGGTGCTGATGTCCACGTCACGTCTGTGGACAAGCTGGAAGGGAGCATCAGGCCAGGTGTGGGTGCCCCTGTAGAGCATTAGGGCCAGGTGTGGGTACCCCTGTGGAGCATCAGGACCAGGTGTGGGTGCACCTGTGAATCATCAGGGCCAGGTGTGGGTGCCCCTGTGGAGCATCAGAGCCAGGTGTGGGTGCCCCTGTGGATGATCAGGGCTGGGTGTGGGTGCTCCTGTAGAGCATTAAGACCAGGTGTGGGTGCCCCTGTGGATGATCAGGGCCGGTGTATGTGCACCTGTGGAGCATCAGGGCCAGGTGTAGGTGCCCCTGTGGAGCATTAGGGCCAGGTGTGGGTGCCCCTGTGGAGCATCAGGGCCAGGTGTGGGTGTACCTGTGGCTGATCAGATCCAGGTGTGGGTGCTCCTGTAGAGCATTAAGACCAGGTGTGGGTGCCCCTGTGGATGATCAGGGCCAGGTGTATGTGCACCTGTGGAGCATCAGGACCAGGTGTGGGTGCCCCCATGAAGCATTAGGGCCAAGTGTGGGTGCCCTTGTAGAGCATTAGGGCCAGGTGTATGTGCATCTGTGGGGCATCAGAGCCAGGTGTGGGTGCCCCTGTGGATGATCAGGGCCAGGTGTATGTGCACCTGTGGAGCATCAGGGCCAGGTGTGGGTGTACCTGTGGCTGATCAGATCCAGGTATGGGTGCTCCTGTAGAGCATTAAGACCAGGTGTGGGTGCACCTGTGAATCATCAGGACCAGGTGTGGGTGCCCCTGTGGAGCATCAGAGCCAGGTGTGGGTACCCCCGTGGAGCATTAGGGCCAGGTGTATGTGCACCTGTGGAGCATCAGGGCCAGGTGTGGGTGCCCCTGTGGATGATCAGGGCCAGGTGTATGTGCACCTGTGAATCATCAGGGCCAGGTGTGGTTGCCCCCATGGAGCATTAGGGCCAAGTGTGGGTGCCCTTGTAGAGCATTAGGGCCAGGTGTATGTGCATCTGTGGAGCATCAGGACCAGGTGTGGGTGTACCTGTGGATGGTCAGGGCCAAGTGTGGGTGCCCCTGTAGAACATTAAGACCAGGTGTGGGTGCTCCCGTGGAGCATCAGGGCCAGGTGTGGGTGTACCTGTGGATGATCAGGGCCAGGTGTGGGTGCCCCTGTAGAGCATTAAGACCAGGTGTGGGTGCACCTGTGAGTCATCAGGGCCAGATGTGGGTGCCCCCATGGAGCATTAGGGCCATGTGTGTGGGTGCCCCTGTGGATGATCAGGGCTGGGTGTGGCTGCACCTGTGGAGCATCAGGGCCAGGGGTGGGTGGAGCCTTAGGGCCAGGTGTGGGTGCACCTGAGGAGTACAGGCTGCAGAATCAGGTGGGCCATGAGCCTTGACCTAGTATCTGCCCTGCGTCTACCCACAGCTTGGCCACTGCCTGGCTTCCCACTGTCCTGTGGGTCGGGCCAGCCCTTCCCTAACATTGAGGCCAGTTCTGATCACTTTGGGGGTCCTGCCTACCTGTTCCCTCTTGCTCCCCACTGGTCCCTGGCATTCCTTATCCCACGGCCCTCTGAAACCCCTGTTGCTACTTCCCTCCATCCTGGTGTCCTCTTACCACTCTGCTGCCTGCACCTCTCCCTTGGCCCAGTTTTGTCCATCATCTCCCTAGAAGCCTGGTGGAGTCACCGCAGACCAGGGCCCAGAGGGAACAGCTGACTGCACCCCACATGTGCTGGGGAGGCAGAGGCAGCCGAGGAGGACTGGGCAGGGCAGGTCTGGGGTGTGTGGCCTGAGCTCAGGGTCCATCTGGGCTCAGGATTCTGGTGAGGGGGGTGGTGAGGGCCAGGGCTCCTCCATGCGGCTGCCATCTGTGCTGGGGAGTTGGGATATCTGGGGCTGGTCTGGCCCAGGGAAGGCCCCTGAGCTGCCCTGTCCTCTCTGCAGCCAAGAACACGGTGGTGCGTGGCCTGGAGAACGTGGAGGCCCCTGAGGGCGGGGAGGCGCTGTTTGAGTGCCAGCTTTCGCAGCCGGAGGTGGCGGCACAAACGTGGCTGCTGGACGACGAGCCGGTGCACAGCTCCGACAGGGCCGAGGTCGTCTACTTTGAGGACGGCCTGCGGCATCTGCTTCTGCTCAAGAGCCTGCGGCCGCAGGACAGCTGCCGCGTGACCTTCCTGGCGGGGGATGCCGTCACGTCTGCTTTCCTCACTGTCAGAGGTGAGTGTCTGGGTCGGGGCCGGGCTCAGGTGGCGGGGCAGGTGGGCAGCGCCCTGAGGCCTTGCTCCTCTGTCTCTCTGTCTGTCCCCCTCCACCCAGGCTGGCGCCTCGAGATCTTGGAGCCCCCTCAGGACGTGTCGGTGCGTGCTGGGGAACAGGCACACTTCCGCTGCACGCTGAGCGAGGCTGTTCCCGTGGGAGAGGTGTCCTGGTACCTCAACGGGGCCGCTGTGCAGCCTGACGACGCCGACTGGACAGTCACGGCGGACGGTAGCCACCATGGCCTGCTGCTCCGCAGTGCCCAGCTCCACCACGCTGGTGAGGTCACCTTCGCTGCCCGCGAGGCTGTGGCCACAGCACGGCTCAGTGTGCTCGGTGAGTGGTGCCCTGGTTGCTGGTGTGGGAATGTGACCTCCAGCTCCTGCCCAGGGGCCCTCTCACTGGGCCGAGGCCTGTGGTGGCCACGTGACTCCTGCCTCTCCTGGCCCTGCTGCCGGGACACAGCACAGTTCCCCGAGGGCTGGCATTATGGGGAGACAGGGGCGAGGGCAGACAAGACGCTGCAGTACCCATGTTGGGGGGTCTGAGGATGCAGACCACCCACTTCCTGCCATCCTTGACGTGGGAATGTGGTCTGGCCTTAGGCCTCGGGGGCAGCTGGCAGGCCCCCACACCTCTTTCTGCTTTAAAGAACCCAGTGCCCCCAGCATCTCCCAGAGAGGGGGCCCCACGGTCTCTCCTCCCTGTTATCAGCCCGGTGCAGACTTGAGGTTAGCTCTTGGGGACAGAAGGACAGGCTTTGGAGGGTCCCTGGGTGTCTGTTACGTGGACACTTGCCCCTCATCTGCAGGAGAGCAGGGTCACCTGACTCAGTCCTCGGGGCCACTGCCTGGCCACTGCAGCCCTGAGTGTGGGGCTGGGTTCCCCTGATCAGGCTCCCCTCTCCACAGGCCTTCCTGACCCCCCAGAGGATGCAGAAGTGGTTGGTCGCACTGGCCGCTCCGTGACACTGTCCTGGGTGGCGCCCTCGAGTGATGGCGGCGGCGGCCTCTATGGCTATCGGGTGGAGATGAAGGCAGCCACCACAGGCGAGTGGCAGCTGTGCCAGGAGCTGGTGCCCGGGCCTGAGTGTGTGGTGGACGGCCTGGCCCCCGGGGAGACCTACCGCTTCCGCGTGGCAGCCGTGGGCCCTGCAGGCGCCGGAGAGCCTGTGCACCTGCCCCAGACTGTGCGGCTCGGTGAGTGTCTCTGTCCTGGGGATGGCTCCCGGGCCTCCTGCGACAGGGGCCTTGGGCGAGCTTGCTTGTAGGACGTGTGTCATCCTGGCTGCTGTTCCCAGCAGAGCCATCAGTACCCAGCCCTGAGAGCCGACAGGTGGCAGCGGGCGAGGACCTGTGTCTGGAGTGTGAGGTGGCCGAGACAGGCGAGGTCACCTGGATGAAGGGGACAGAGCGTGTCCAGCCCAGTGGGCGTGTCCAGGTTCTGTGCCAGGGCCGGCGGCAGATGCTGGTGATCCGGGGTGTCACAGCAGAGGACCAGGGCGAGTACCGCTGTAGCCCAGCCCAGGGCCCCGCACCTGTGGCATTCCAGGGTATGTGCTCCTGTGCTCACCAGAGGTGGCCAGTCCTGGGGTGTGGGGGTACTGGCCTTTTTCTCCAGCTCTCTGAGTCAGGGGCCCACTTAGGGGGGCTTCTGTCATAGCAAGGGAAACTGAGGCTGGGGGCTCATTCCTGGAACCCTTGTGGTTAAGCACTTTTTGAGAATCTATCGCTAGCAACCCAGTGTCCTGATCACTGCAGATGGTGAGTGCCTGTGACCCTGCCCTGGGATGCCCTGCCCTTCGGCCCTCCACCCCGGAGTGTTGCTCTCTGCAGCCCTGTGCTCCGCCCCCTGCCCAGGTCCTGCTGTATCTCCTCCATGTCCTCTGGCTAAGGACCCTGGGTTCAGGCCTCTCAGGCTTCATGGGTCCACTCTGTTCTACGTCTGCAAAGATGGAGGCCCAGGGCTCTGTCCAGAGCCTCTATTTCCTGGTGCTTTGGGCTCCTTGGGATTCCAGCAGGCAGCAGGGCCGTATCCTGACCATGCCCAGACTGGCCTGGGATCTCCCTCTGTCCTGACCATGCCCCTGTCCTCCTCAGTGCTGTTGACCCCAGGGTCTGGGGCTGAGGCCTCCGCACAGCCCAGCCTGCCCCCCGAGGCTGCCCAGGAGGGAGACCTGCACTTGCTGTGGGAGGCCCTGGCCCGGAAGCGCCGCATGAGCCGGGAGCCCACGCTGGACTCCATCAGCGAGCTGCCCGAGGAGGACGGACGCCCGCGGCAGGAGGCTGAGGATGTGGCCCCTGACTTCTCTGAGGACTACTCCACGGCCGACGAGCTGGCCCGCACCGGTGAGGCCGACCTCTCGCACACCAGCTCTGACGACGAGTCCCGGGCAGGAACTCCTGCCCTGGTCACCTACCTCAAGAAGGCCGGTGGACCTGTGCTCTCACCACTGGCCAGCAAGGTGTGTCTGTGAGCTGACTTGCGACAGTGGTCTTTAGTGTTCCTAGTTGTCACCACCTGCCCACCATCCAGCCGCATACCCTTCACCCTCTATGCATCCACCCGCCTGTTCACTGGCCCATCCTTCATCCACCCACCATCCATCTGCGTACACCCACCATCTCCCCACGTATCTACCCTCTGCTGTCCACCTGACTGTTGGGGCGTGGCTTGATGACCTGGCGTGGTTCCTCAGCGCCCTTCAGAGTCTACCCTGTCCCCTTGGCGGGGGGAGCAGGCTTGCATTTGGCCACCACCTGGGTGTTGGGCATCAGGATCAGAGCTTGCAGTGTGTTTGTGACCAGTGGGGGCAGAATTTGCAAGTGGGAGGCGGGGGGGAGACTTGCACTCTCAGCTTGCCAGTTCTGGACCCGTTTTCCTTCCTCCCCTGCACGCACAGGTTGGGGCCCCAGCAGCTGCCTCCGCAAAGCCACAGGCGGGGCAGGAGCAGCTGGTTGTGGAGCGCCCTCCTCCGGGAGATCTGTCTGTGGGGGATCTGGGCGACCCCTCCCTTGACAAGGCTGCTGTGAAGATCCAGGCTGCCTTTAAGGGGTACAAAGTCCGGAAGGAGATGAAGCAGCAGGAGGGGCCCGTGTTCAGCCGCACGTTTGGGGACACAGAGGCACAGGTAGGGGACGTCCTGCGTCTGGAGTGTGTGGTGTCCAGCAAGGCGGACGTGCGGGCCTGCTGGCTGAAGGATGGCATGGAGCTGACCGACGGCCGGCACCACCACATCGACCAGCTTGGGGACGGCACCTGCTCCCTGCTGGTCACCGGCTTGGGCCGTGCAGATGCTGGCCGCTACACCTGTCAGGTGCTCAGCAGGTTTGGCCAGGCAACCCACAGTGCCCGTGTGACAGTCAGCGGGACGGAGAGCGAGGCCGAGAGCTCCTCGGGGGGCGAACGGGATGACACCTTCCACCGGGCCGCCCGGCGGCTGCACCGCCTCTTCCGCTGCAAGGGCCCGCTGGAGGTGTCGGATGAGGAGCTCTTCCTGAGTGCGGACGAGGGCCCTCCCGAGCCCGAGGCCCCTGGAGACTGGCCCACGTACCGTGAGGACGAGCACTCTGTCTGCATCCGCTTTGAGGCTCTGGCTGAGGCCCAGCAGGCAGCCACACGCTTCCAGGAGATGTTCGGCACACTGGGCATCAGGGTGGAGACCCGCGTGCTGGAACAGGGCCCCCGGGGAGTGGAGGTGCATATTGGGAAGGTGGCGCCCGGCCCAGCTACCACAGAGGCAGGTGAGCCTGCGGGGACACCCTGGGGTGGAGGCATGTGTGGGAGCTGTGGTTTGAGCAAAGTGGAGCCCTGCTCTGGTTCTTCCCCAGGCTTTTTTGGGCCAAAGGGCTGACCTGCACAATGGGGATGGACTGCAAATTCCTAGGGGGGCTTGTTTTTCCCGTGGGGGCTCCCCGGGTTCAGCCTGCACCCCGTTTCCAGTGCTAGCGACTGAGGTGACTAGAAGGAGGCTCCAGGTGTCCCTGCATCTCTGGGGCCAGCAGCAACACTGCTGTCTACACTCTCGCGTCTGAACTCTGGACGTCTGCCCATACAGCTTTGTGCCCTGGTGCCCTCCGCCCCATTTTCCACCCTCCAGGGGCCTCTTAGCTCAGGGGGCTCTCCCAGAGACCCTGGAGAGAAGCCTGGTGTTTGGTGCTGGGGCTGCGTGCAAAGCAGGTGCAGCCTACGTGCAGTGTGAGGAGGGGTGTCCAGGCTGACGTGCTGCCCGTTGTCCCCCCAGCCCCAGTGTTCCTCACTGAGCTGAAGAATCAGGAGGTATTGGATGGGTACCCCGTGAGCTTTGACTGCGTGGTGACCGGCCAGCCAGTGCCTAGTGTGCGCTGGTTCAAGGACGGGCGGGTGCTGGAGGAGGATGACCATTACATGATCAGCGAGGACCAGCAAGGCGGCCACCAGCTCATCATCACAGCCGTGGTCCCCACAGACATGGGGGTCTACCGCTGCCTGGCCGAGAACAGTGTGGGCGTGTCATCCACCAAGGCTGAGCTCCGTGTGGACCGTGAGTATGACAGGCCTTCCTGGGGGGCTTCAGTACCAGGCAGGATCTATGAAGCAATGGTCTTTGGTGGATTTTTAGTGCCAGAAAAGCTGTCCAGAAGTGGTACTGGAACCAGGTTTGTCCATGGTAACTGGCCAGTAGGTTTATTACCTGCCACCAGGTTTGTCCCTGGTAGCTCACCCCATCCTTGGGTATTTGGAATAAAGGTTATGTCTAGAGGTCAGGATGCTTGCCTTGCACATGGCTGACCCGGGCTCAGTACCCAGCGACCCATATGGTCCCCTGAGTACCACCAGGAGTGAGCCCTGAGCACTGCCAGGTGTGGTCCAAGAACAAAAACGAATGTTCCATTTATGTTCATGTTACAGGGACCCCAAGGGTTGTAGGAAACAGGAGCAGAAATAGAGCAGTGATCTCAGTCTTGTTTCCTGTATTGCGGGGCGGGAGTGGGGGGGAGGCAGTGGTCTTGGTGTTCCCAGTTAGGGTTGCTATGACACAGGTCACAGATGGGGCGTGTTCTTTCCTCATGCCCTGGTCAGACCAGGGGCTGGGGGAGGGGTCCTGATGAGACCGTCTCCAAGGGTGGCCCACAGCTCTGCTCCACAGCCTGGCTCCACTGCGAGCCCACAGGGGCAGAAATATCAGGGTCATGGCAGGGCAGCCCAGGACCTATTCCTCCATCGTGCCCAGAGCAGAACCCTCTGTGGGATAGCTGGTCAGCTCTTCCCCCAATCCTGCCAGCAGTCTGGGACCACTCTGTGGTCTCTGAAGGGCCCCGGGCCCCGGGCCCCGGGCCCCGGAACAGGGCAGGGGTGCAGGATTCCCTTGTCTGTCTGCTGTGCTGGCAGGGGGCTCATCTGGACCCCCCTTCCCCAGTTACCAGCACAGACTACGATACAGCAGCCGACGCCACGGAGACCTCATCGTACTTCAGCGCCCAAGGCTATCAGTCCAGGTAGAGGGCTCTGCTGGTGGTGGCCCTGCCCACAGCCCCCTCCTCGTCTGTGCAGACTGCAGTCTGCCTCATGGATCCTCTGCTCTGTGTCCACTGCAGCCGGGAGCAGGAGGGTACGGAGTCCACCTCGGAGGACGGGCAGTTGCCGCAGGTGGTGGAGGAGCTGAAGGAAGTGCAGGTGGCCCCAGGCACACGCCTGGCCAAGTTCCAGTTCAAGGTGAAAGGTGAGGGCAGTGGCTTTTCCTGCAGGTCAGGTGGTCTCCCGGGACCCTTGCCCTTGACCCACCCTGTGCTGACCACATCCCTGTGCTCCAGGCTATCCGGCACCCCAAGTGTACTGGTTCAAGGACGGGCAACCCCTGACCGCCTCCGAGCACATCCGCATGACTGACAGGAAGGCGCTGCACACCCTGGAGATCCTCTCGGTCACCAGAGAGGACGCTGGCCAGTACTCGGCCTACGTCAGCAACACAGTGGGTGCTGCCTACTCCTCCGCCCGGCTGCTGGTCCGAGGTAGGTGATACAGGCTTTGTGGTCACTCCTCATGTGTAGGAGCATCATGGAAGACGGAAACCCTCAGGAAGCTGGTGCCCACACCTGCCCTGCCTTCAGGACCAGGCTTGCTGTCTGGTCTTTGCTGTGCCCTGTGAGATCTTGACTTCATGGAGCACAGACTCTTGGGCGGACGGGGCTGCAGCCTTTTGGGTCCCGAGGCATCAGTGGGCACGCCCAGGTTCCTGCCAGCCAGGCTTTCAGGAGAGGGTGGAGGTGCCGTGTGGTCCTTGAGGAGAGGTCTTTTAGGCTACAGGTCTTGTCCCTGCCTCTTCCAGGCCCAGGTGAACCAGAGGAGGAGCTGACATCAGGTGAGGCCTTAAGCTGAGAGGCAGGGGGCATGGCAGCAGCTGGCGCAGCTGCAGGCTACAGTGACCTGGCCTGGGCTCTGCCCAAGCTCACCGATAGCCCCCTGTGTCTCCAGGAGTGTACCCGCAGCTGGTGCCTCCCCGCATCCTGGAGAGGTTCACCTCCAAGAAAGTAAAGAAGGGTTCCAGCATCACCTTCTCAGTCAAGGTTGAAGGTAGGGCGTTCCTGCCTCCCTCCTCCTTCCAGGGCCCCGGAGGGAGGCTCAGGGGGGACTTCTTTGTCCCTGAGCCTTTTCCAGAAAGACTGTCCCTGTCTGCTCCTGCCCGCAGGGTGTCCGGCTCCTGTCGTGCACTGGCTGCGGGACGAGGCGGGGCGAGGCGTGCTGTGGATCGGTCGGGACACGCCGGGATACACGGTCGCCAGCTCTGGCCAGCAGCACAGCCTTGTCCTGCTGGACGTGGGTGCTCAGCACCGGGGCACCTATACCTGCATTGCCACCAACGTCGCTGGCCAGGCCCTCTGCTCTGCTCGTCTGCACATTTCTGGCTGTGAGTGGGCAGGGGGGACCTGGCAAGGACGGAGGTGGGTGCTGGGGGAGTCAGAGGCTTGACCAGCCCTCTTGTCCTCGGGGCTCACCCTGTCCTCTGACAGTGCCCAAGGAGACTGAGCCCATGGAGGACCAGGCCGAGGTGAAGGCTGCTCTCATCTCTTCCTTCCTGCAGGGGTGAGTGAGTGCCTCAGGAGTGGGCCCTCGTGGAAGGGCCTATTGGAGCCCGCAGAGCAGCTCTGCTGTTCACGGGTTCCTGACAGCCCTGCCTGTGTGTGCCTCAGTTTCTCCATAATGAAAAAGGGCTAGTCCGGGATCTTGACTGAGGCATCTGGGTCCACCCCCCCAACTTGTCTCAGAGGGCTCTGCCCAAGGGTGTGGGTGCCCAAGAGGCCTCTTAGGACTGCCCTCTTTCTCTAGGACCCAGGCCGTCTCGGCACAGATGTCGGGCTCTGTGAGTCTCACCGAACTTGCTGGTCAGAGGAAGGGTGAGTGCTGGGTGGGGGTGGGGGAGCTGGCACCCCTGCCAGCTGTGGGGGTGCCCTCTTGACACTCTGGTCAGCTCTAGTTGTGTCCTGAGTCACTCTTGCCCCGTGGATATGGGAGTCCAGTGGGCAGCTGCTGAGTGTATGTGTCAGTGGTGGGGGGGGGGGAGGGTGCTGCATGGGGACCCTGAGGGAGGTGGGTTCTTGTGCTGTCCTGTCTCCCCTCTTCATGGCCAGGTGCTTCTGGTAAGTGCATGGGCCTCCTGGCACCTGGCATGTTTGGATCTTCATGGCAGAGTCCATGCAGCAGCAGGACAGAACCCTGCATCCTCCTGGTGCTTCACCGTCACCCCATTCCCTTCACACCCTTGAACTCTGAACCCACCTCCAGGCTCTTCACAGCCCACCCAGCCCATTACTGCTATGGGGTGTCCAGCAATGCTCATGGTCCTCAGCTGTCCTTCACTGGGGTTCCCCTTCCCCACCTATGTGTGCCACCATGAAGCCGAGCTCTCCTGCGCCCCTTCCCTCCAGACCACAGTCCACAGTGACCGCTGCCCTCACCCCGGCTCTGGCCTCCACTCAGCTCTGCCATCAGCGACCCTGACCATCCTTCTGCCAGGACCCTCAGCTGCATGTCAGCCCCCTCATCCTAGAGCCCTCCGTGCTTCCAGCCTTGCTGACCCTACATCTATGTTGACGCTGTCTCCCTGAGCATCCCTGAAGATGAGCCTGGGGGGTGCTGGGGAGCTCAGCTGAGTAGGGTCTGCCCCCCAGGAGCATCTCCTGCAGAAGAGGAAGCTCGCGGCCACCTGTCCCTGGCAGAGGTGGGCACAGAGGAGTTCCTGCAGAGACTCACCACCCAGATCACAGAGATGGTGTCAGCCAAGTTCACGCAGGGTAAGGACACAGAGCAAGGATGGATGATGTGTCCAGGACAGAGCCTCTCCACTCCCGTACTGTGAGGCTCAGGGTGGGCACGGGGCTCTTCCGCTAGCAGCCCCCTTTGCCCCTAGCCAAGCTGCAGGTTCCTGGTGGGGACAGCGATGAGGAGTCCAGGACACCGTCTGCATCCCCCCGGCACGGCCGCTCCCGTCCGTCCTCCAGCGTCCAGGAGTCATCTTCGGAGTCAGAAGATGGGGACTCCCGGGGCGAGGTACTGGGCCAAGGTGGAGGGCCAACGGCAGGGGTAGGGGCCATAGATATAGTGCAGTGGTTAGGGCACTCACCTTGCATGTGGCTGACCCAGGTTTGGTTCCCTGAGCCTCGCCAAAAGTAATTCTTGAGTGCAGAGCCAGAAGTGACTTACCCACCCTGAGCACCACTGGGTGTGGCTCCAACACCCATTCCCCCCCCCCCCCCCAACTCTCACCGTCTATTCTCTCCTGAGATCTTTGACATCTACGTGGTCACTGCGGACTACCTACCCCTGGGGGCAGAGCAGGACGCCATCACACTGCGTGAGGGCCAGTATGTGGAGGTGCTGGACTCAGCCCACCCGCTGCGTTGGCTCGTGCGGACCAAACCCACCAAGTCCAGCCCCTCTCGGCAGGGCTGGGTGTCCCCTGCCTACCTGGACCGACGGCTCAAGGTACTGAACTGTCAGGGAGGGGACAGCAGAGGTGAGCTTTGAGTCCAGACACTGACCACCCTCTCCTCTGCCCCAGCAGCTGTCACCTGAGTGGGGCCCCACCGAGGCCCCTGAGTTCCCTAGAGAGGCCATGCCTGAGGCTGAGTACAAGACGCGGTTGAGGTGAGGGCCTGGCAGGGTAGGTGGTGGGGGCTGGGCCAGCAGGGCTTCAAGCTCAGCCTGCACAAGTCTCCCAGCGTCAGGTGCCCTCCCTAGCCTGAATGTGGGCCTTGATGAGGAGCAGCTCACGGCAGCCTGGGAGCCACACACTCTTCCCTCCTCAGCTCCACCATCCAGGAGCTGCTAAGCTCGGAGCAGGCGTTTGTCGACAAGCTGCAGTTCCTAGAGAGCCACTACATGCAACATCTCGACCGCTCCCCTCACGTGCCCCCTGCCGTGGCCAGCCAGAAGGCTGTCATCTTCCGCAACGTGCAGGACATCAGCCACTTCCACAGCAGGTGGGTCGGGTCAGCCTGGGCACAGCACTGGATGCATGGTTCAGTGGACGGTGAACTTGCTGCTGGCAGTACCCCTGAAGGAGGACAGCATGTCCCTGGAACTGATTGGCTATGGGTGCGCCAGCCTGCCCTTCTCACCCGTGGCACGTGTGGCGACGTGTGCAGGCATTGTGCTCTTCCTGCATCATCAGTCTCTCTCCCTGGGCTGCCTTGGCGTCCACTGGGTGCAGGGGGCCCTGTGGCTGGCCCTGACTGTCCCCCGCCCCCGTGGCAGGTTTCTTCAGGAGCTGCAGGCCTGTGAAACGGACGACGATGTGGCCATGTGCTTCATCAAGAACCAGGCGGCCTTTGAGAAGTACCTGGAGTTTCTGGTGGGGCGCGTGCAGGCAGAGTCCGTGGTGGTCAGCACGGCTGTGCAGGAGTTCTACAAGGTGCCCTACTGACTCCTTCAGAGCCTGCCCAGAATCCTGGGCGCCCAGACTAGTGAGGAGTGTGTGTAGGGGGACCCCTGTAGCTTTGCTTAGCAGGGGGCAGTGAGGCCCAGAGTGTGGGGCTTCGTGTCATGTGTGTAGCAAGCGTGGCCTCCCCAGGGCCCTGACAAATGGCTCTGCCTGCCCTGTTCCTTGCAGAAGTACACGGAAGAGGCGCTGTCGGCGGACCCCTCCCAGCCGCCCCCGCCGCCACTGCAGCACTTCCTGGAGCAGCCCGTGGAGCGTGTGCAGCAGTACCAGGCCCTGCTCAAGGTGGGAGCCGGGGGGCCGGTGACCCTGCCCCGGCCTGCCCTCACCCCAGCCTCGTGGCTGACGCCCCACTTCCCCCAGGAGCTGATCCGCAACAAGGCACGGAACAGGCAGGCCTGTGCCCTGCTGGAGCAGGCCTACGCCGTGGTGTCCGCCCTGCCGCGGCGCGCTGAGGACCGACTGCACGTGTCGCTCATGGAGAACTACCCCGGCACCCTGGAGGCCCTGGGCGAGCCCATCCGCCAGGTCTGGGGCCAGGACCTGGGGAGGCTGGTGGTGGAGCTTAGCGGCTGCAGCCGGGCTGGCAGCTGAGTCAGGCTATTCCCCCAGGGCCACTTCATCGTGTGGGAGGGGGCCCCGGGCGCACGTATGCCCTGGAAGGGCCACCACCGGCACGTCTTCCTCTTCCGCAACCACCTGGTGGTCTGCAAGCCCAAGCGGGACTCGCGCACCGACACCTTCAGCTACGTCTTTAGGAACATGATGAAGGTCTGTGGGTGCCAGCTGGGAGCAGAGGGCAGCCCTGCAGAGTCTGGGCAGTCCACTGACAGTCTCGCTTACCCCCAGCTCAGCAGCATTGACCTGAACGACCAGGTGGAGGGGGACGACCGTGCCTTTGAGGTGTGGCACGAGCGTGAGGACTCTGTGCGCAAGTTCCTGCTGCAGGCGCGGACGGCCACCACCAAGAACTCCTGGGTCAAGGAGATCCGTGGCATCCAGCAGCGCCTTGCTCTGCCTGTTTGGTGTGAGTGCCCCGCCCCGTCCTCCCCTGGCAGTCAACTCCAGCCTGACCGGGAGAAGCGCCGTCATGGCTGTGGGGCTGGCAGCCGTCCCTCAGTGGACCCTCCATCTGAGTCCCTTTGCCTCAAGCCCAGCCAGCGGGTGCCTGTCCAGCTTGTGGTAAGGCATGTGCCCAGGGTGTGAGCCCCTCCATGTCCCCCAGGTCCCCCAGATTTCGAGGAGGAGTTGGCTGACTGCACTGCTGAACTGGGTGAGACGGTGAAGCTGGCCTGCCGTGTGACAGGCACACCCACGCCTGTGGTCAGCTGGTACAAAGGTAGGGCTTTGGGGTTGACTTTGCTGACACGTGCTCGGCCCAGGAGCTGTGTTGGGTGCCCCTGGATTGCCCCAAGAGTCCCTTATGACACCAAGCCTGGGGACACTGAGCTTGACCACTCTATCCGCTCTGGGGGCTGGCCCACTCAGAGCTCCCATTCATTATGGCCAAAGGGGAAAGGTGGGGTAGCGTCAGGGCTTGCTCAGTCTGACAGGAGCCCAGGCCTTTTGTTGGGGACACCAGGTGGGTGTGACCCTGCCCTGAACCTCAGTGCTATGTCCTTCTCTCTCCCAGGGGGTGGTCTGAGGCCCCAGGTAAGCCAGGACACGCTTAGCGGGTTCCTTTTGCATTTCTGTGCCAGCCCTGGTTTTGATGGCTCCGTCTCCGGGAAGCTGTGTTCTCTGGTCTACTTGGGGCACATTCCACCACAGGGACAGCTCAGGGTGGCTTCGAAGAAGGCTGGTCTTTGGGGGCATGGGGGGAGTTTGGTTCTTGAGAGACCTGCAGGGGTCTCCCTGCAGCAGTGCTGAGCCTCTGTCTGCCACACACTGGGCTTCTGTGGACACCACCAGGTGCCACAAGGCCACAGGACAGCCATGGGTGGTCCTGTGTTGTGGTCTGGCTGGGTCCCTTCTGGCCTTGTGAGGGACCTTGGTGTAGAGGCCGTCCTCTGGCACCCAGGGTGGAGCTGTGTCTGTGGCCTTGGGACTGGACTCCATCAGAAGGTTCTGAAGGCACGGAGCCAGTGTCTGTTGGGCTGTGGAGAGCCTTCAGGCAGTTCCTAGCTCCCAGGAGAGCAGCGTCCCTGGGCAGACCCAGAGGTCAGAGTTGAGCCTGTTCCAGGCACTCTGGTTCCATCTCCCTACCCAGAGCACTGTCGAGAGGGGACCCAGTGGCATGTGAGCCTGACTGTAAGTGGCTCATAGGTCTGCTAGCATGTGGCAGAACTGCACAGCAGAAATAAAGGATCTAGCTGCGTTGCTGTTTGGGAACCAGCCCGGTCAGCCCCAGACGAGCCCCAGGACCTGTGGGTGGACACAGACTGCCATAGTAGAAGCAGTAGAGCCCACAGCCATCCCCTCACCCAGGGGAGGTGCCCACTGCAGGCGAAAGTGGCCATAGCTCAGGGAGGAGTGAGTGCTGAGGCAGAGGGTAGAGCCGACGGCTTTATTTGAGAGCCTCTGACAACCTTGCCCAGCACCTGTAGAGCTGTGGGATGCCCCATGGTTTCCCCACGGTGACAGCAGGGGACTGTGATGTCCTCCAGGACCTGTGAGCAGAAACTGAGAGTGGGGTCCTGGGACGTTTCCCGAGACCCCTACCGTATCCTGACGGAGGCTCTGCTTCTCCTTTCCAGATGGGAAGCCGGTGGAAGTGGACCCTCACCATATCCTCATTGAAGATCCTGATGGCTCATGTGCTCTCATCCTGGACAATCTGACTGGTGCAGACTCTGGCCAGTACATGTGCTTTGCAGCCAGTGCCGCCGGCAATGCCAGCAGCCTGGGCAAGATCGTGGTGCAAGGTGTGGTGAGAGGGAGTTATGAGGGGTGCTCAGGTCTAGCAGTGAGGGATCGCTGGGAGTGGGGTGATGATGGCCAGTGCCCTCTTGGGGAGTGGGGTCCTGATACTCACTGCCCTCTTGAAAAGTGGGGTCCTGATGGTCAGCTTCTATTGGGGAGTGGGGTCCTGATACTCAGTGCCCTCTTGAGCAGTGGAGTCCCGATGGCCAGTGCCCTATTTGGGAGGGAGTGGAGTCCTGATGGTCATTGCCCTACTAGGGAGTATGGTCCTGATGGTCAGTGCCCTACTAGGAAGTAGAGTCCTGATGGCCAGTGCTCTGTTGGGGAGTGGGGTCCTGATGGTGAGCTTTTATTGGGGAGTGGGTCCTGATGGTCTGTGCTCTATTGGTCAGTGCCCTCTTGAAAAGTGGGGACCTGATGGTCAACTTCTATTGGGGATGGGTCCTGACGGTCTGTGCTCTTTTGGGGAGTGGGATCCTGATGGTTAGTGCCCTACTGGGGATTGGGGTCCTATGGTCAGCTGCTGTTGGGGAGTGGGGCCCTTATGATCAATGTGCTGCTTCTTCCCTGCAGTGCCCCCGCGGTTTGTGACCAAACTCCGAGCTATGCCCTTCGTGGAAGGAGAGGAGGCCCAGGTGACCTGCTCCATTGAAGGCACCCCGCACCCTCAGATCAGGTGGGGATTTTGACCCTACGAGTGAAATGAGGGCCAGGTCACCTGGCACACTCACAGCCCTTGGGGCTTGACACTGTGTGATCCTGGCCATACAGGGAAGACTCAGGATGGCTGGTTGCGGGCAGCATCATAAGGAAAGGCCTGTCTCAGAACCCTGTGTTGTCTGCAGATGGTACAAGGACGGAGCCCTGCTGGCCCCCGGGGGCAAGTACCGGATGCTAAGCGAACCTCGAAGTGGCACTCTGGTGCTCGAGATCCGGGCAGCTGGCGTGCAGGACCTGGGCCACTACGAGTGTGAGGTGAGGGGCCAGAACTGCCACCGTGGGTACAGAGGTGGGTGGGCATGCTGCCCTGGCAGGGACACTGCACTGGACAGCCTATTCACTGTATCTGAACTGGAAAGACTCAGCTGTCTAAGCTACACTTTAGGAGTGGGGCCCTTTGGCCACCATCACATAGGCCATGCCTATGGAATGTCCCTATGTCCCAGGATACCCCAGGCAGTGCTGAGTCTCTTAAAGGATGCTGGGAGGGAGCCCTTTCTATTGTGGCCAGACTTGGGCCTCAGGACCTGCAGGGCCCCGGTCTCAGGAAGCTGTGAACTCTAAGCTGGCATACCCTTTGCTCCACAGTTGGTGAACCGGCTAGGATCGACACGCGGCGGTGCTGAGCTGTCTCTGCAGAGCCCGACACCGAGGGTCCGAGAGCAAGTGGCTGCTGTGGAAGGTCAGTATATGTCTGACTGCCCCAGAGCTGGGTCCAGTCCACCAGCAGGATCCATGAAGGATGAGGGTTTCCACACGTGGGGCAGCAGGGACAATCAGGGTGGCTTGCCAAAGAGGCTTCCTTACAGTGTCCAGAACTTGGGCTCCCTGGCCTGGCTCGGCACACTCCTGGGGTCCTGGGTAGGACTGATGAGGCAGAAGGGGCGTCAGTGGAGGAGGCTCATGCTCACCCTCCACACACACCTGGCTGTAGGCATCAATAGTTGAGACATGTACTCGACCCCCACACACGCCTGGCTGTGGGTGTCAGTAGATGAGGTGTGCGATCACCCTCCATACACATCTGGCCGTGGGCGTCAGTAGATGAGGCACAAACTCGCCTTCCACACACACCTGACTGTGGATGTCAGTCGATGAAGCGTGTGCTCACCCTCCACACACTCCTGGCTGTGGGCGTCAGCAGATGAAGCACAAACTCGCCTTCACACAGACCTGGCTGTAGGCATCAGTGGACGAGGTGTGCACTCACCCTCCACACACACTTGCTGTGGGTGTCAGTGGATGAGGTGTGTGCTCACCCTCCACACACACCTGGCCGTAGGCGCCAGTAGATGAGGCATAAACTCGCCTTCCGCACACACCTGTGTGAGTCCCTAGGTGCACAGCCTAGGGTGTGACAGGGATGGGAAGGAGACAGAGCTGCCTGTCCCGACACGGGTCATCCAAGAGGACTGCCGCCCCCGTGGAAGGGACTGAGTGCTGATGCTGGTGCTACACCTGGGGGAACCCTGGCTCCTGTGGCAGATGGGAAGGTGGACTGTGTCCTCCCCAGTCACAAAGTGACCTGTGTGAAGTGCCCACCTCGATCGAGTGCACGGGGCCAGCAGCAGCCCCCGACCTCGTGGCCCGCTCATCGGTCTGCCTCTGTACTTCCTGCATCGGTCTCTCAGTGGGGAACAGTGGGCCCGTGCCCGGCTCTCTTACCTGGCGCTGGCCAGCTCGTCCTGCAGAGAGACATTTGGTTTGTCATCGTGACGTCCTCAGCGGTGGGCTGGAGGAGCGGCAGGCCTGGGAGCTGGAAGTGTGTGCTGCTTCCCTGCTTCCTAATCCTTGTCCCTGCTTCACCTTTAACCAGAGAAGACCCTGGACGGCCCATGTGGTGGGCACTGGCCCCTTCGCTCTGTAGCTGTGCCAGCCAGGATCCCGCTTTGCTTGGCTTCCTGTCAGCCCAGCGCCTGGCGCAGAAGCAGAAAGGCCTTATCAGGGAGAACAAAGGACTAGCCCGGATTTCCCCACCGCCCGCTGACTGCCGGTGTCAGACAGGCTGTGCCCAGTATGCTCCAAACTTCCTCCATCCAGTCTTCCAGCTGAGGCCCCTGTCCAAGGGCAGCTAGTGCAACTCATGGCACTCTGGGTTGTCTGGAGGACAGTGAGCAGAGCCCCTTGGCTAGGAGGTAGTGGCTCTGTCGGTAGGGTGGAGAGTGGTCTTGGAGTCGAGACCGCCTGCTGTCTGTCCAGGCCAGGCTGGGGCACCTGTGCCCCAAACCACAGGTGCTGGGGGTCTGTTTCAGGGATCTGGACCCCCACCTGATACATGAGAGCCACAGGGCTGTCTGTGGCTCCCAGGAGGAAAGCTAGATGTAGCCAAGTTCGTGGGATCAGGAAACTCAGGGAGACACCCTCAGCGTCCCTGTCCACGTGTTCCCCAGCTCTCCCACGGGGGCTCAGATGTGGCCCTCTCCACTTGTCTGGCGGGCATTTCTGTAGGAGAGCTACCAGCCACTGGTGGCCACCCCAAGGAGCCCTGCCCAAGCGACTGGTCGTAACCCTCGCTGTCCGACTGTTTTCTTTGTAGTCACTGAGCAGGAGACTAGAGTCCCCAGGAAAACCATCGTCATGTAAGTGCAGGAGTGTGCCTAACCCCGACTGCTGTGCGCCTGCATGCTCACTCACCTGCTTGCCGCCTGCCAGCGCCGACCCGGCCTCGGGTGCCACTGACACAGGGTGGAGGCTGGATGGGGTCCTGTGGATCAGGCTGGACTGTGGGCATTGCCCAGAGCTGGCGTTCTGTGGCCACTGAAGAAGTGGCTCGAGCTGCGGATGGGAACCCGAGGGTGAGAATGATGCTTTACTCTTCCTCTTTGCAGCCCCGAGGCTGATCTCTTTCTAAGATGATCGCCAGGGTTTCATAGCCGTGCTGGTATTACCTGCAGAAGCAAGGTTAGGGCCAGACCAGGAAAATCTGGGGGGGCTTCCAGTAGGAGAAATCAGCTCAACCAGGAGGTGAGGCTGACACAAGACCTTTGCAGAGGTCCCACATGCTGTGGCTAGATGTGGGGGGTGGTGCAGTGAACCTGCATGGGGGCTTAAAGCCCGTAGGGACTGCTCACCCCTCCTTGACAGCACCTCCAAAGCAGGATGTCCTTATGCCAAACTCCCACGCGTGCACCCAACAGTGTCAGGCCGGCTGAGGGTCACTTAGGGTCCCTTTTGGCCTAGTGGATGTATCTGCCACTCCCAAAGGCGGGGTAAGCTGCCGCTCCTGTGGGTCACACTGCCCCTCACCACACTTGCAGTCCCTCTCCCATGGAGCCAGTTTCCTGGCCTTGCTGGGGCCCCTTGAAGCGGTGACGAGCAAGGGCAGTGGGGCAGGAGGCAGAGGGGCCTGTAGTGCTCTGGGAGGTTGGTGAGAGTAAGTACCAGCGGTGCTGGACGCGTTGGGATTGATAAGGATTGTGAGGTTGTTGGTGTGAGTGAAAGAGGACTGGAGGAGACAGTCGGGAAAGCCTTGTGCCCTCTTCTTGGTTTTGGTCTTGATTAAGTACTTACAGGTTACATACTTGGTTTGAGGTTATGGGGAAGGAAGGGAAGGAATCGCCCCATTGGTTAATGGTGGTTCTTAGAAGCTGGGATTTGTGAGTTTGAGACCATGCTCAGTGTTGGAGTGTAACCAGCTCCAGCACATGTGAGATCTTTCATTCTCGTGAGCACTGGACTTCAGGGTCAGGATTTTACATGTCAGATTCTGGGAGGGAAAGTCGTCCCTGTGCTGTAGCCCCCCCACCCGCTTCCTGTGCAGTTCTAGAGAACTAAGCAGATCTGGGCTTGCCTTCCCAGCGGCTGTCTGCTTGCTTGCACACTGACTGCCCCCGCATGCACTGCCAGCTGGGGTGTGGGGTCTGGCCGCACCCATCTCCTCTCGGGGCTCTCCCTGCAGAGAGGAGACCATCACCACCGTGGTGAAGAGCCCCCGGGGCCGCCGCCGCTCCCCCAGCAAGTCTCCGTCCAGGTCACCGTCCCGGCGCTCTGCCAACCCGTCCGTGCCTGTCCCACCCGACCCGGGGGCTGGCCAGTCCCGCAAGCCTGAGGCAGAATCCAGCTGGAGGTCCCCTGTGCCCACACTGTATGTGACAGAGGCTGAGGCCCGCACACCAGCCCGCCTTGGGGGCGCGAGGCCTCAGCCCAAGTGGGTGGAGGTAGAAGAAACGGTGGAAGTTCGGGTAAAGAAGGCCGGAGGCTCACCGGCGCTGCTCTCCGTGCTCCCGGGTGCCACCCCAGAAGGGGACCTCAATGCCAACAACTCCAACAACACACTGCTGGCCCAGCAGCCCCAGGGCAACCCCGGCATCTTCCCTGCGGATGCCAGGTGCCCCTCGAGCACAGAGGAGTCCCCAGAGCTGCTCCCTGTCTGGACAGTGGAAGAGGAGACACCACTGGAGGAGTGGGACCGAGAGCCCCAGGCTGCGGCTGCGCTGCAGGGCCGGCCCCCCAAGATCCTCACACACCAGGGCCGAGTGCTGACGCTGGCCGACCTGGACGACTACGTGCCCCAGGCGGGGGAGACCTTTGGATGCGGCCACCCTGCGCCCAGCACCCCGGATGACCCTCCCTGTGAGGTGTCAGTGCTCCAGAGAGAGGTCCGGGAGCCCATGGTGGGGCAGCCCGTCGTGCTCAATGTGGGACGCCCATCAGGCCCCCGAAGCTTCTTCAGCCACATCGCCAGGCCTCAGGAGGTGTCTCCATGGGGGCCCCAGGTCCTGGGCCCAGTGGGTGCCTCCCTGTATGCACATGAGGCCCAGGCTGGGGGTGCCTCCTCCTGGAAACCTTCCTTCTGCACCCGGGTCCAACGCTCTGCCGACACCGGCCAGAGCAGCTTCAAAACAGAGGTTTCCACCCAGACTCGCAGCTTTGGGACAGTGGGCGAGATGGTCACCCTGCACATCCGGCCTGATGGGGACGGAGCAGCAGGCCCCTCCCAGGACTGAGCCGACAGAAAGGACCTCCCCTGGGAGCCCGCACTGCCCATGTGCTTCTCCCCACCGGAAACCAGCCCTGCCCTGAGTACTTCCTACCTCGCCAGACTCCGCCTCGGCCGGACAGTGAGGCATAGGCCACCTCCAGTGTGTTCTGCAGCCCATGGCCCGACCCCTGCCCCTCTGCCCACAACCCCACTGTACAGTTACCCCTCCCAGACATTACCAACAATAGATTCTCTGCTTCAGTGTGCTCCTGGGGCCCAGGTTTGCTGGTCACCAGGGCATCTGAGGGTCAGACCCAGGGTCTGTACACAGGAACTACCTGGTCAGTTGGCCTGACAATAAATGTCTCCAAGTGCTGCCTCTGTTCTTTCTTCTTGCCGTCTGAATGGCAGCTCCTGTGGCTGGGGGTGGGGTGGGGGGCGCAGCAGTGACCATCATGAGGGTCTCTGTGTGGGTGGGACCAGGGCATTGGGTGGTAGTCATACCACACCCGTGAGGGGCTGATCAGGCCTTTCTGAGGATATGCAGCCAGTGCCAGCCAGGACAGAAGTGAGAGGCAGGGAGACATTCAGTGGAGAAGGAGAGGATGTACCTGCACCAGGAACAGGCAGAGACCAGGAGCACTCAGCCAGGGAGCCCCTGGGGTCCCGGCCACACTGGAGCGGAAGCCTGGTCAGGGTCTTGTTAAGAGGAAGCCGCGGGAGGAGGGGTGTTTTCCCTGTCTCCCCACTCTCCAGCACCTTCTCAGCCTGCCCTGTCCCCAGACTCAGACCTGAGACTCCAACCTTGGATGTGCTCCGGACCATGGACAGTGACCCCCCTGCCCTTTCCCATTCTTCCTTCTTTACTGTCTCCAGCTGTTGGTGTGGGAGCAACAATATTTAACTGGGAGAGTGACACAGTGACATAACAGACACGATTATGCCTTCTTGTTTACAACGTAATTTGTCGATGTTGCTAAAATGATCACAGCAGGTAGTCACTTCATAAGAATTACAAGTTTTCTTGGGATGAGGTCCTTTTTGATTTCTTAACAGCAATGAGATTTTATTTATTTATTTATTTATTTGCTTTTTGGGTCACACCCGGCGATGCACAGGGGTTACTCCTGGCCCATGCACTCAGGAATTGCTCCTGGCGGTGCTCGGGGGACCATATGGGATGCTGAGAATCGAACCCGGGTGGGCTGCGTGCAGGGCAAACACCCTACCCGCTGTGCTATCGCTCCAGCCCCAACAACAGTGAGATTTTAAAGTCACATTTGAAAAAATGTCCAGATATGAACTCCCCAGCCTTACTAGGTCAGTAAGGATGGGGCGTTCTGAGGAGAGGAGAGATGTCTGCTCGAAACTTTCACCCCCAGCAGTTTTCATGTTGTGGAGCAGTGAGTGCTTCACAGGCAAATGCTTTCTCCACATTTGTAGGCTGCCTGATTTGGGTGAGAATTTCTTTTGCTGTATAAAAACTTCGAACTTACTTGTTTCCAGATCTAGTCGTTAATCTTAACTTTGTTCCCCCTTGCCACTGGGGTGGGCTTCAAAAATATCTCGGAGGTTGAGGCCCTGGATTTTCTCAACCTCTAGTCTGATTTCTTGAATCCAGTTTGAGGCCCTGCCCACAACCCTAAAGTGGCCACTTTCTTTTGGCCAGCCCCAGGGGAGGGGCTGCACCTAGTAGTTGGGACGAGGGGATGGAAGAGAATGGAAGCTGCCCCCAGAGGTGCCCGTGTTGTCCAGAAGGCAGCCAGGATAGCACCCTCAGCTTCCTCCCGCACCTTCTGGGCCAGGTGGGTGGGTGGATGGGGCAGGCAGTTGGCTCAGCTGTCTGGCTCCCGGGCAGCCCTCTCATCAGCCCGGTCACCCCTCACTGTGTACTGACCTGCCCTTCCACAGATATTGCAGTTACACTCCCAGCTGCCTTGGAGCCCATGGACCAGGAAGTAGGAGATGCCCCCAGGACAGTGGAAAGCCCTGAGGCTCCCAGACCGGCTGTAGGGGGTCACGCAGGCCCCAGCCCTGGCCCTGGGGGGCTGCCTGAGCCACAGGCAGCAAGTCCTCAGGGCGTGGGAGCTGCTGCAGCGTCTGGTAAGACCTGGCCCCGCAAGCCTCAAACTGCCCAAGCCCTAGTCCCCTGGGTGCCTGTCAGGAGAAGCCTGGCAACCCTGGCCCAGCCTCAGTCTCCCCCTCTGGGAAACTGGGTGGGGTCTGGGGTCTGGGAGCTCTTGCCCTCTTTGCACTCCAACTCAGGGTGGGAGTGGGAGCTGCCCCTTCAGAAGGGCCTCAGGGCACTTCCTTCCCCCCTCTGGAGTGTGTCAGGGTGTCGTGTGCCCCGCACCCCCAGAAAGCCCTGCCTGACGAAGCCCCTTATCTCACCAGCTGAACCCTCCCAGACGGTGCCACAGCCCCTTCCCCACGTGGGCCCGCAGCATGACTTGGGCACCGAGACCCAGGAACGGATTGTGCCCATCCGGTAACCTCCCTACCCTCTGGGGCGGGTGGAGGAGGACAGGGTGGGATAATCTCACTGGCTTCCTGCCCCCAGGATGGAGGGTGCAGTTTGGCCAGTGACAGGCACAGCAGAACCCCTCTGGGACATCCACAGCCATGTGATCACGGAGACCACCCACAGGACAATCGTGTATCAGGCTGGTGACGCAGGGGCTACAAGTAGGCATCCACCTGTATACCCCTCTGCCCCCAGTGTGCCCCAAGCCGCCCCCTGGGTCTGGCAGGCAGCATGTTGAGCTCACTCTGCCCACAGGGCTGAAAGGTGGTCTTGTGTGTGTGTGTGTGTGTGTGTGTGTGTCTAAATATGTGTCTGTGTATGTCTGTGTCTGTGTGTGCATGTGTGTGTATGTGAGTGTGTATGTGTGTCTGTGTATGAATATGTGTGTCTGTGTGTAATGTGTGTATATATGTGTGTGTGTGCGTGCATGCATGTGTGTGAGTATGGTCCAGCAGGCAATTGCACTTCCCTGTAGTGGATCACATGGCCTTGCTGCCCATTGGGGGTGCCAGGACATGCCCAAATGGCACAGACATTTTGGTGATTGCAGGCCCAACTCACATGGGTGGACTCCGGGGTAGGGTGGACGTGCGTTAGATGGATGCCACAGCACATGGCCTGTCTCCACCTGCAGAGCCCCCATCCATGCAGGTCACCATCGAGGATGTGCAGGTGGAGAGAGGCGGTACTGCCCGCTTCCAGGCAGTCATTGAGGGCTGCCCACAGCCCACGGTGAATTGGTACAAGGTAGGGATAGGCTAGGCTGGGTGACGTGGGCTGCATGGACTGCGCACTGGAGGACCCAGCCGTGGTTAAAGGGCTGCCTGTGTCCTGTGCCTCCAGGACAACGTCCTGCTGGCAGAGGGGCCCCGACTGGTCCCACAGCAGGAAGGAACCACCTATTCTCTGGAGCTGAGGGACGTCGCCCATAGTGATGCTGGTGTCTACACCTGCCTGGCCCACAATGCCGGTGGCCAGGTGCTGTGCAAGGCGGAGCTGCTGGTGCAGGGTGGTGAGTCAGGGTCTTGGATGGTGGACCTGTGTGGTCGTCTCTGTACCCAGCAGGGGCTGACCATAACTGGCTTATCCCTAGGAGAAGATGAGCAGGACTTAGAAAAGCAAAGCTTCCGGAGGAAACTGCACTCCTTCTATGAGGTCAAGGAGGAGATAGGAAGGTACGGATCAGGGGAGCCGCCCTGCTGCCCGCATGTGCCTCACTCTGCTGCACTCCCCCCCATACCTGCAGCTGCCTGTGTGTGTGCCCTGCTACCCTCACACACCCAACTCTGCTGCCTTCACACACCCTCACACACCCACTCTGCTGCCCCCACAACCCACTCTGCTGCACTCATACACCCCATTCTGCCACCCTCATGCACCCACTCAGCTGCCTACGCACACCCTCCTCCAGCTGTCTGCTGACCCCAACAGCCTCCCAAGATCACCGTCCACCCTCACTGTTGCGCTTCCCTCCTCCCAGGGGTGTGTTCGGCTTTGTGAAACGAGTCCAGCACAAAGGGAACCAGATGTCCTGTGCAGCCAAGTTCATCCCGCTGCGTAGCAGGACACGGACCCAGGCATACAGTGAGCGTGACATCCTGGCTACACTGAACCACCCCTTAATCACTGGACTGCTGGACCAGTTTGAGACCCGGAAGACCTTGATCCTCGTCCTGGAGCTGTATCCACCCCCTGGCCCCAGGTCCCGGTGTTCAGGCCTGGCAGTGCCTCTCCTGTAGGGGTTGGGGAAACTTCTGACCCAACGCCACAGCCCTGATGTGAGCCCTTGCCTCACATTCTCTGGGCCTGGCTGAGAGTCTCTTGCTGCCCACCCCGGTGACCCGACCTCGGCCCCTGTCTGCAGCCACCGGAGTGTTCTGCAGCACAGCTTCTCCCAGAAGGGGCATGCTAGTGTGTGGGTAGGGTGGGCTCCAGACCCCAGACTTTCCTTGACGGAACCCAGGTGCTCATCAGAGGAGCTGCTGGACCGTCTGTTCAAGAAGAGCGTGGTGACTGAAGCTGAGGTGATGTGGTGTCTGCTGCCGCCACGAACCTACCCTGCTGCACTCGGTGGACACCCCACTCTGCAGCCCACACGCACCTCATCCTGGTGCCTGCACATACCCCACTCTGCTGCCCGACTCTTTGCCCTCACCTGCCTTGCACTGCTGCCTGCGCACACCTGGCTTCCTGCCCAGGAGGGCCTCTCTCTGCTGCCCACCCTATCCCCTGCTCTGCCCTTCAGATGTGTGCTGCTCAGAGACCTGGACTGGGCTCCTGGTGGTCGTCCTGAGAACCAGCTCATTGCTCACACCGCCCTCCCACCCCAGACCACACAGGATCAGCAGTCAGGCCTCCTGCTCTTAGTCTGCTGCTCCCCTTGCCCCAGGCTTTTCCGCTTCCAGCTTTCAGGAGTCCCCAGTCTTGAGACACATGGAGCCCACTCTCACCTGCGCATCTAACTCTGCTGCAGGTCAAGGTCTACATCCAGCAGCTGGCCGAGGGGCTGCATTACCTGCATAGCCATGGTGTCCTTCACCTGGACATAAAGGTATTGTGGAGCCCCAGTCTGTGTCTCTAGAGTCCCCCGGCAGGGCCCCTGCCCTCGCTGCCCCAGCTGCCCCAGCGCCGCCTCTCAAGTACAGAGGCCTCCTCATGGCCTGATGTAACACCGACTGTGCCTGACAGCCCCCCAACATCCTGATGGTGCATCCTGCTCGCGAAGACATTAAAATCTGCGACTTCGGCTTTGCCCAGCGAGTGAGCCCGACAGAGCGGCAGTACAGCAAGTATGGCTGCCCCGAGTTTGTGTCCCCTGAGATCATCGAGCAAACGCCCGTGAGCGAGGCTTCTGACATCTGGTATGTGGCTGGGCCGGGTGCCAGCTCCCCACGCCTGCCTGTGGCCGGGCCCGGGGTGGGGGACTCATGTGTGTGGTTCTGTCCCTGCAGGGCCATGGGAGTCATCTCCTACCTGAGGTGAGCAGCCGCCACTGTCAGCCGCCTCTGCCACAGGTTCCTGCTGGCTCCCGGCCAGCCCAAGGCCACGTGCCCCACTGGCCTCTGCCCAGATCAGACCCAGGACCTGAGGGGCAGCTATCCTGGGAGCAGGCCCCCAGCCAACTTCGATAAGAGGCTGGTGCTGCCCCTGTCCAGGGCCTCTGCGGTCACAAGGCTGGCCTTCAGCTGTCCCTACCGTGTGGGTGCCTTGTCCAGAAGCCCCCCGTGATGCTGCCCTGGAGAATCTGGTTCCCGCCTCGCCCCGGGCGGAGGCTGGCCTTCAGCTGCACACCACCCAGTCAGCGCCACACCAACCCGAGAGCCACATTCTCTTTCCGCTTTCAGCTTAACCTGCTCATCTCCCTTTGCGGGCGAGAGTGACCGTGCGACCCTCCTGAATGTGCTGGAGGGCCGGGTGTCCTGGTCCAGCCCCACCGCTGCCCACCTCAGCCAAGAGGCCCGGGACTTCATCCAGGCCACGCTGCAGAGGGACCCGCAGTGAGTGTGGTGCTGCCCCACGCGGGCTTGTCCCGGTCTCCAGGGACCCTTGGTTGCCTGACTGCATCTTCCTGTCCCTCCAGGGCCCGGCCCAGCGCTGCCACCTGCCTGGCGCACCCCTGGTTCCAGGTGAGTAGCTGAAGTTCTAGGGAAGGACGCATGGTGGGAGTCTGCCTGGGTAAGCCCCCCCTCCCGAAACACACACACCAGGATCTCCCCAACCACCTGGCTCTCGCCTGGCCCCAGAAATCCGTGCCCGCGGAAGAGGCTCACTTCATCAACACCAAGCAGCTCAAGTTCCTCTTGGCACGCAGCCGCTGGCAGGTGAGCTGGGGTCCCAGGGGCTGGCTGTGCCCCCTCACAGCCAGTGGGGGGCCTGGGCCAGGCAGAGCCAGGGCAGTGGGGAGCAGAGGGCAAGGAGGGGCTCTGATGGCCCCTGCCCTGCCCTCCCACCCCGCAGCGCTCCCTGATGAGCTACAAGTCCATTCTGGTCATGCGCTCCATCCCCGAGCTGCTCCAGGGCCCACCCGACAGCCCGTCCCTCGGGGTGGCCCGGCACCTGCGAAGGGACACCAGTGCCTCCTCCAGCTCATCGTCCTCTTCTGATACGGAGCTCGCGCCCTTCGTCCGGGCCAAGTCCCTGCCCCCTTCGCCAGTGACCCACTCCCCGCTGCTGCACCCCCGGGGTTTTCTGCGGCCCTCGGCCAGCCTCCCCGAGGAGGCTGAGGCCGGCCCGCCCGCCGAGCCCCCGCAGGCTGGGCTCCAGGACACCATGCCGCCGGCCATCCCCGGCTGCGTGCCCCGGCAGAGCATCATCCGCAGCCTGTTCTACCAGCAGGCAGGGGAGGGCCCGGGCTCGGGCAGCCGGCGGCACCCGGCCCGGCGGCGGCACCTGCTCAAGGGCGGCTACTTTGCGGGTGGCCTCCCTGGCTTGCGGGAGCCCCTGCTGGAGCACCGTGTGCTGGAGGAGGCTGCTGGGGAGGAGCAGGCCGGCCCGCTGACCTCGGAGACCACTGGCCAGAGCCTCTGCACTGAGGCCAGCTGTGAGGGGCACTGTGCTGCCCCAGCTCCCTCAGGCCTCCAGGGGGATGGCCGGCCAGGTGGACTTGCACTGGGGGGTGCTGCCCCAGCTCTATTTCCACTCGCCAGTGGCGCTGGGGGCTCCCTTCAGCAGCACGGGTCAGTCCAGGACAGCCAGGGGGGGCAGCCCCCACCACCTCTGGGCTGTGAGCCCCCTGCAGCTGTCAAACCACTCTGCCCTGGCTCCGTTCCCCCAGAGACCTGCCTGGCACCCTCCAGTCTCCTCTCTGGGGAGGGCACCCCCTCCCTGAGTCCGGCTGGCCCTCAGCTGGGACCTGTCCCAGGGACACCGGCGCCCCCTCTGGGCATGGAGCCCGGCTCCTCCCTGGATGAGGACTTGGCCGAGGAGGAGTCTGTGCTCAACCCCCCTCGGCCCCAGGAGGCAACAACACGCAAGTTCTCCCTGGGCTTTCGTGGGGGCTACGCGGGGGTGGCGGGCTACGGTACCTTTGCCTTTGGGGGGGATGCAGGGGGCATGTTGGGGCAGGGCCCCCTGTGGGCCAGGATGGCCTGGGCCACCTCCCAGTCGTCTGAGGAGCAGGATGAGGTGGGGACCAAGAGCCTCCCAGCAGCCTCGGAGACCCTGCCAGAGAGCAGTAGCTCACCCCCCAGGGCCTCCCCAGAGCCCGGCTTGTGGGAAGACTGTGGCCAGGGCCCTGCTGTGTCACTGGTGCAGATCCGGGACCTGTCAGGTGACTCGGAGCTGGCTGACACTCTGTCCCTGGACATCTCGGAGGTGGAGCCCGCCTACCTCAATCTGTCCGACTTGTATGACATCAAGTACCTCCCCTTCGAGTTCATGATCTTCAGGAAGGTCCCCAAGCCAGCAGTGCAGGAGCCGCCCTCCCCCGACTCCGAGGCTGGGGAGGAGCTGGCCGAGAGCCTGGGAGCCCCCTGGCCCTGGCTGGGCCCAGGAGACCTGGAAATCTCCGAGGAGGCAGACGACATGCAGGCCCTGCTCGGAGAGATCTCTGGCAGCAGGAAGCGCAGGTGGTCCCCCCCGTCCCACGGCCTCCTGCAGGCGCTGCCAGAGGAGCCGGTGGAGCTGGGGCTGCGCCGCAGGGTCAGGGACTCAGTGGCCCACATCTCTCGCCTCCTGAGGGGCAGGCTCCAAGGTAAGTCCCCGCGGCCTGGTCCCTGCTCTGTGCCCTGGGCTCTCTGCCTCCCACGCCCTGATCCCCAGCCGGAAGCCTGAGATGGCCCGACACACACACACACACACACACACACACACACACACACACACACACGCATGCACACACGCATGCACGCACGCATGCGGCCATGTTCCCAAGGTCACCTTCCCAGTCCCTCTGACGCACCCCAGAGAGCTGCTTCCCTGACTTGGGGTCCTTGCACAGGCCTGGCACATCCTGGTGGGAGGTGGGGGACATAGCTTAGCTCTGTCCTTCAGCCAACCTGGGGCCTGAGCGGATCTGCACACGGAGATAAGGCAGTGGGCCAGGAACCCCGGACTCTTCCGGCTGTTCCAGGGATGTGCCGCAGCCCTCCTGTCCTCCCTGCAGGGCCAGAGAAGGAGGGGCCCCCCAGGAAGAAGCCAGGCCTAGGGTCCTTACAGCTGAAGAGCAGAGACCAAGGTAGGCAGACAGCTTGCCGGTATCTGTGGGGGAGGGGACCTCCGGAGCACCCCAGCCAGTGATATGACAAGCTGACACCTCTGGGCCCGGGCTGGGTCCCCTGCAGAGGCTCACCTCTCCTGTCTTGGCTTTCCAGCACCGTTGTTCATTAGGGAACTTGTGGATGAGACTGTGGTCCTGGGCCAGTCAGTGACTCTCGCCTGCCAGGTACTGGCACAGCCAGCCGCACAGGCCACCTGGAGCAAAGGTGAGGGGCTGTCCTGGGCAGGGGTAGGCAGCTCCGAGTCAGTGCACAGAGGGAAACCGAGGTGAATGCTGCTGCAGATGGGGTCCCCCTGGAGAGCAACAGCCGCCTGCTCATCTCCTCCACGCTGAAGCACTTCCAGTTGCTGACCATCCTGGTGGTGGGCGCCGAGGACCTCGGCACGTACAGCTGCAGCGTGAGCAACGCGCTGGGCTCGGTGACCACCACAGCCGTCCTGCGGAAAGCAGGTGCGTGGGCCGGAGGGAGGGGCTGAGGTTCACCACGCTGGGTGAGCTGTCTGTGCCAGCACCTCCACGGGCACCAGGGCTGCAGGCTTCCTGCTGCACCCCCAGTGTGACCCCGAGGAGACTGGCCCAGCTGAACCCCAGCCAGGAGGCACGGGAGGTACTGGGCCCGCCCCGCATTCAGAGCTGGAGCTGAGAACACAGCTGAGGGCGGGCGGGCAGGTGTCCAATGAGGATCCCCGTGGCCCCCAGAGCGCCCCTCGTCCTCCCCGCGCCCGGACATTGGGGAGGTGTATGCCGACGGCGTGCTCCTGGTGTGGAAGCCCGTGGAGAGCTGTGGGCCCGTGACCTACACTGTTCAGTGCAGCATGGAAGGTACGTGGCTCCGGGCCCCACGTCCTGGGGAGGGGCTGCGAGGACGAAGCACCAGGCCCTGAGTCGTGCCCTCCCCGGGCAGGGGGCGGCTGGAACACGCTGGCTTCGGATATCTTTGACTGCTGCTACCTCACCGGCAAGCTCCCTCGGGGCGGCCTGTACACTTTCCGGACGGCCTGCGTGAGCAAGGCGGGCATGGGCCCCTACAGCAGCCCCTCGGAGCAGGTCCTCCTGGGGGGTCCCCGCCACCTGGGTGAGTGCCTCACCCCAAAACCCACACTCACTGTCCCACCTGGGGGTTTCTGCCCGGCCCGTGGAATGAGGGGACGCCACAGAGGCCCCTGGACGGGGACGGGTGTGTCCCATCACTGGCTTCCCTTCCCACAGCTCCTGAGGAGGAGAGTGGCCCCACACGGCCAGCCCAGCTGCTGCCCAGTGCACAGACCTTCGCCTTCCAGACGCAGATCCGAAGGTGCCATCCCCCGCCCCACAGCCTCTGACTCCTCTTAAGGGGCTGAGACCTGAGCCCGGCCACTTCCCTCTCGCTCCAGGGGTCGCTTCAGTGTGGTGAGGCAGTGCCGGGAGAAGGCCAGCGGACGGGCACTGGCCGCCAAGATCATCCCCTACCGGCCGACGGACCGAGCAGCAGTGCTGGGCGAGTACCACGCCCTCAAGGCCCTGCGCCACCCGCACTTGGCCCAGCTGCAGGCGGCCTACCTCAGCCCCCGGCACCTGGTGCTGGTCTTGGAACTGTGCTCTGGGCCGGAGCTGCTCCCCTGCCTGGCGCAGAGGTAGGAGGGGCTGGGCCGGGCAGGGGCGTGGGGCTGGTGGTACCTCCACGACCTGAGCCCCGAGCTCCCCTCTGCCCCTAGGGACTCCTACTCGGAATCCGAGGTGAAGGACTTCCTGTGGCAGATGCTGAGTGCTGCCCAGTTCCTGCACGCCCAGCGCATCCTGCACCTGGACCTCAGGTCTGAGAACATGATCGTCACCGAGTACAACCTGCTCAAGGTGATTGACCTGGGCAGTGCCCAGAGCCTCGCCCAGGAGCGGGTCCGGCCCTCCGAGAGCTTCAAGGACTACGTGGAGACCATGGGTGCGCAGGGCAGGCCCCTGGCCTGACCCCCGGGGTGGGTGGGGGCTGGCCCTCCCGGTCGCCCACAAGAGCTCAACTCCCCCCTGTGGCATCCACAGCTCCGGAGCTCCTGGAGGGCCAGGGTGCCGTCCCACAGACTGACGTCTGGGCCATCGGGGTCACGGCCTTCATCATGTGAGTCCTCCGATGATGACCTGGGGGCAGGTGACCCCAGCTCCCGTTCCCTATCACGAGGGTGACCAGGACTCTTGACCCCACTGTGCAGGTTGAGTGCCGAGTACCCTGTGAGTGGGGAGGGTCCACGGGACCTTCAGAAAGGCCTGCGCAAGGGGCTACTCCGCCTTAGCCACTGCTACGCAGGGCTGTCGGGGGGCGCCGTGGCCTTCCTCTGCAGCACGCTCTGCGTGCACCCCTGGTAAGCTGCTCGCCCCTGCGTGCCCTGGGAACCTCCCCTGCATCGGGGCAGCACAGCTGAGTCCCTCTCCTTCCTCCCTTCCCTCCAGGGGCCGGCCGTGCGCGACCAGCTGCTTGCAGTGCCCGTGGCTGACTGAGGAGGGCCCTGCCAGCCCCCAGCCCACAGCTGTGGCCTTCCCCACCTCGCGGCTGCGAGCCTTTGTGCGGGAGCGTGAGAAGAGGCGGGCGGTTCTGTCCAAGAAGTACAGCCTGGGCCTTCGCTAAGACCCAGTCTTGCCCCAACACGCCAATAAAGCAGACTCAGATAAGGTGTTTCTGAGGTGCTTGCTGGGGGGAGACAGGATCCCACCCCCCAGAGGGGCGAATGTCTGTGCTGCCCCAGGATCAGACCTACACACCCTGGCCTGGCCGCACGCTCTGGGCGGCACAGGCAGCTCTTTGTGGGCGTGAGGCAGGAGAGCTGGGGTGGTGTTAGACTTCATCATTGAGCTCCAAGTTCTCCCTCCCCACCACGAGGGAGGCCTGCTCACAGCAGTGTCTTTACTTAATTTGCCGGCACAGCACAAAGCCCACTTTTCCTGGCTTGTTTGCTCGACACCCACCCTTGTCCGCCTGCACCTGCTCCAGGCCCTCAGAGCTGTTTCTCTTTGAGTTCCTGGGCTACAGACGTGTGAGTGGGCAGGTATGTGTGTGCACAGCCCCGAGGGGCCACAGCACCTCTGAACGGCTCCAGGCCTCTCATCCACTCCGGCAACTCCTTCGTCCAGCTGCCCAGCTTCAGCCCCCTCCCCACAGAGGCTGGCTCCTCCGCAGCCCCCCTTCTGCCAGGCTCGGGTTCCTGGGTCTTCCCCATAGTTCTATCCTCTCCCGTAAGCAGATGTCGAAGCTTGTGGGTCTTAGGAATGTCAGTTCCATTCCTGCCCGGTGGCCCAGTGGCCAGAACTGCCTCAACACTCCCCTCACCAGTCTCAGTCCCCGAGGCATCAGGGTGCCGTTCTCTGGCTGGCATTTCCCTGGCACCTCCACCCGGCTGTCTTTTCCCTCTGGTTTACCTTTCAGACACCTTGTCACATTCCAGGCACACAGGCCCCCTTGCATGTACCCATATTTCTCACCTCTGAGGTTCTATTTCTGGGCTTTCTCTGCGGAAGCCATCTCGGGCTCTCCTGCCTGCCAGTCAGATTCAGTGTGTGTTGGCCGCAAGCAGTCTGGTTCTTAAACTCTCGCCAAGTTTTCTTTCCATAGCAAGGTTAATGTCTTTCAGTTTTCAGGGGCAATCATAATGCGTAGGACATATTGAGAGTGCCGCAGTCAGCGTCACCTCTCTGTCCCTCCTGCCCCACCCCCAGGGTCAGCAGTGACCCCTCGGACAGAGTCACCCTGGGTCAGGTCACTTCTCCCTCCTGCCCCACCCCCGGGTCAGCAGTGACCCGTTGGACAGAGTCACCCTGGGAGCAGGTCACTTCTCCCTCCTGCTCCACCTCCTGGTCAGCAGTGACCCCTCGGACAGAGTCATCCTGGGAGCAGGTCCCTTCTCCCTCCTGCTCCACCCTGGGGGTCAGCAGTCACCCTATAAAAAATACGTACGCGGAAGGATGTGTGTTCGAGGACTCTCTGGGCAGCTCTCTCGCTGCCTGCATTCAGTGCTCTCGAGCCGCTGTGTATGGATTGGACTGGGACGGCTGTTGGTGATGGGCAGGTGAAGGAAGAACGAGGACCAAGCGGGTTGCTGATTAATTGCCGTTTATTCAGTCTCTCGCCTCTCCCATCTCACACACTCTTCCTTCCTAGCCCCTCATACCTAGATCCCAGATCCCCAGATTCTCCCTCTCCCCCACTCATCCCTCCAAGCCTAGCACTCTGGGCCAACGCTACACCCAGTCTGGTAGCAAAATCAGCTTAAGAAAGCCCTTCCTGACTGCCCATCAGGCTCAGGGGCAGAAACACCACCCAGGGGTATTCCTCTTCTCCTTAGTCCAGTAGCCTAATTAACATCTTAATATTAGTTATTTTTGTATGGACACACTAAGAGATACATTGAGGCTTATAGGGTGGCTCTCCTGGGAACATTGTGCCACAGACTCAGACTACAGTGCTCAGGCAAGATTAATCATTCCTTACCCTAGCAGGGTCTGAATCTAGTTATTACTTTTTGCATCATGACAGCATTTGTCCGTGACCATGCTCTTAGCATTTTGGCACTTTGGCCGGGCCCATTTCGATGCCAGGGTAGCACTGCTTGCCCTGGGTCCATCCAGTCCCTCGTTGGGACCTTGATTTGGGGGTGCTAGGAAGTAAGGGCAACTGAGGCTTAAGAAGAGAGAACAGATGCCCAGGAGGTAAATATCATAGAGAGTCAACTCCCACGTTACAAAAGCATAGCATTTACTGTCTTCTTGTGCCCATACAAAAAGGACATTGCTCTGAATTTACTATGCAAAGGATTTAAGGAGAAGAGAAAAACAATGTTTACAAGTTAACAGAGCACAAAGAAAGAAGTTACAAATAAACACAGAGGAATGAGAACACTGTAATGGGAGTAACCCAATATACCTAAGCCCCCTGCGGCAAAGCAGAAAGGACAAACTAATGTTATCCTACATCACCCCTCGGACAGAGTCACCCAGGGAGCAGGTTACTTCTTCCTCCTGCCACCCCTCCCCCAGTCAGCAGTGACCCCTTGGACAGAGTCACGAAGTCACTGAGTCAGGTCACTTCTCCCTCACGCTCAAGCCCTGGGTGAGTGGTGTCCAGTAGTGTCAGCCTCATGGCACAAGGGACACCCAGCATTCCTGGAGTCTCTTTGCTATTAGTGGCACTAAGGCATCCAAGTATCAGCGTACAAGGCCATTCTTGCTCCCCTCCACTGTGGTGCATGGACCTCTACTTCTCCCACAGGTCTGAGTGCCCCGGGGCAGTACTCGGGACTGTGCCAGCAGATCGTCCTGCTCGGCCCACCTGGAGTTGCAGCAGAGCAGGCGGCTATGTTGAGTCTCACCTTGGCAGGCTGGGGTTGGGGAACCTTTTACCCATCAGTGGGAAAGTACAAACGTCTTGTAAGGCGAAGTCAAAACTTTGTAGCTGTTCTTTGACCTCTTCTCTCAACGGTCCACTGCCCCTGTGGACGTAATTCAAGCAGTGCATTAGAATCCGCCAATATAAACGTCCACCCAGGAGTCAGAGTTGTGTGAACACTGTTTACTAAAATGCTGTGAACAAGCCAGGCCCCAAATAGGAGATTGACTGTGATCCAACACTCTCGTACAGAGTGGTACAGTTGAACTATTTAGACACAATAGCACACTGCACTGTGAAGAAAACCCTAGCCATCAACATAAAAAGTATGTCCTATTTTTGTAAAAATTTATCCTTAATTCAGGAAAGAGTAATACATGAAATGTTATTAGTGTTGATTTTGGGTTGTGAAATTCAGTTGCTTTCTGCTTCTTAATATATGTCTGAATTTTAAACAATGAGCATATGTTATTGCTGGTAGGAAAATTTTGCTCCTTTAAAGTTTCGGGGGACTTATAAAAGTAAGAAACCCATTAGTTACTATTGCAATGGGTAATTTTGCATCTGGATCCCCTGAGCCATGTGTTTTTTAAATGTTCATACTCCTGGACTCAGTTTGTACAGGCGCACTGACCCTGGAGTTCAGCAGCCACAGAACATGGGTCTCTTTCTGTACAGAGCTCTGGGCTCGGTCAGAGTCAGGGATCCGGGGTGCTGGGCTTGGGGGAACATCTCCCAAGTGACGAATAGAAGCTCTGTGTCCACTCAGCTGAGCCAGGGCCATCTAGGTTCTGAATCCGACCTCATGTTCCCCACTTGGTCTGTCCCGTGGCCTCGACAAGGTCCGAGAGTAGACACTGACGGGAAAAAGGGCTTACTACTTCTGTTCTAAGTCAGAAGCACACACGAGCATGAAGAAGCAAATGTGGGAATGTTGAAAACTAGAGCACTGCTGGAGTTCGGGGGCCAACACCTCATGGGCGGGTGGCTTGGGAGAATTCCTGGGGGAGAGGGGCAAATCAGTCAGACACAGTGTTCAGTGTTCATTCTCAAAGACTCAGCCCCAGGGGTCACATAATGGACAGCCAGTATATATGAAGACTACAGCTATAAGTCTTTTGTTTTGTTTTTTACTGATTGTTAACTGTTTTAAACTAAAATTTAAATTAAAAAGCTAATACTCTGGGAGCTGGAGTAATAGTACAGAGGATAGGGCATTTGCCTTGCATGCGCCTGACCTGGGTTCAATCCCCAGCATCCCATATGTTGCCCTGAGTACTGCCAGGAGTAATTCCTGAGTGCAGAGCCAGGAGCAACCCCTGTGCATCGCTGGGTGTGACCCAAAAAGCCAAATAATAATAATAATAACAACAACAATAATATTTTTAAAAAGCTAAGACTCTGATGTCAGCAGAGCAATAATACTGATTTCAGGTTTCTTCCAGACCCTGTGCATCTGACTCCATGGTTCTGTGGAGCTGTAGTTGACCTGCAATTACTTTCCAGAGAAATGGAATTTTAGAAGTGATAGATTCAACATCAAAGGAGTTAGGTTATTGAATATAAAATTGAATATACAGGGTAACAGTAGTAAGAAGCAGGCAAATTTTTTTTTAATTTGTTTTTTTGTTTTCGGGCCACACCTGATGGTGCTCAAAATTGCTCCTGGCTCTGTGCTCAGGCATCAGTCCTGGTGGGAATCGGGGAACTGGAGCAGTGCCAAGGATTGAACCAGGGTCAGCCACCTGCATGGCAATTGCCTTACCTGCTGTATTCTCCCTAGTTTCTTGGGGAGAAATACGTTGAGAGCTTGTTTGGAAATTCTAGCAGAGGAGCGCAACTATTTGCATACCCTTGACCAAATGGTCCGTCTCTATTCAGGGAAAGCTATTCTCTGACTGAGCACACAGCTTCAGGAGGAACTCACCTGGAGCAGCGAGGGAAGAAGGGGATACCTGCCTAGCCGGCCAGGTCACCGAATCAACCCTGGTGATCGATGGGGTAATAGATGTCACACATCATAAGTATCGAATACGTTGGCTATGATTTAAATAGCTGAAATGAAAGCAAAGGAGAATGCAGGAGTGCACCCTGGCACTGGGTAAAGCTTGGGTTTTGGCTAAGTCAGTTGCTCAATCTTGGGACTACAATTGAAAGAGAAAATACTGAAACGGATAGCTAGGAAATGAATAGTTTATTGATTAAGTCAAGGAAGAAGTTGTTTCAGTAGAGTAGAAAACTATATACATCACTAGTGAAATAAGGTAATGGGTTTGGTGGTTATAGGGTTTTTGT